CCTCTACGGTTTCTAATGCTTACCCCTACCTGTCCTAACAGATCACACCCTATTATGACTTGGTACTCCCGCGTCATGCTCTCTACCACATGCACCTTTAGCTCCCCCTTTTTCCCTGCCCACCGATCAAGCGTAATTGACGCTTCCCCTTCTACTTTACAGGGACCACCCAGAGTGATTAGCTGGCAGCCACAGTTTTGTATCCGGAGTACCCTCTCGCTCCCGCACACTCTCCCCAACGCCCCCCGAGTCAAGATAGTACTCGAGCTCCCTGTGTCCACGAGACACTTCACTCCCCCGTCTACCTCAATAATCGGCAACCAGCATGGCTTACCTCTAATATTGTTGCAGGTTGCTGTGCGGTCGCCTCTCTGCTGACACCCTTCTCAGATGCCACCTCGCTTCCTCCTTACCGCCGTCGCTCGTCGTTGCTCGCTCCGTTGGCTGCTCCTGCCTCCTTCGCCTCCACTGCTGGCTGGCTCGTCAGTCTCCGTTCCCGACGTCCCCGACTCCTCGGTTGCCTCTTCCGAAGATCCGTCTCTCTGCTGCATCCTAGCTCGTTTTTTCAACTTTTGAGCGTTCACCTCCATTGGCTCGTCTAGAGGTCTCTCTCTCCTGCGAAACATGTAAGGGCACTGTCTGGCAATATGCCCTTCCGTCCCGCACTCGAAACATCTAGTGCGCGGACATTGTGCTACCAAATGTCCCGGTTTCCCGCACCCGTGACATTTTCTGTCTTCCCTCCGGGGTCCATTCCTAGGCCTGGACTGTCCGGATCTTCTCTCGCCCGTCGTGGCTTTTTCTCCGTTCGGGTGTTTCATTTCCCTCTTCCTCCACCCGATCTGGGCTGTCCGGGGTCGTCTGTCACTCACCCGGGTCCACCCTGGTTCTTCTACTTCCATCCGCGTCTCTTCCTCTCTTGCACTCAGATCTATCATTTCTTGGGCACACTCGAGGAACGATCGCTCTCTAGGCAGTCCGTCCCTTCTCCCAGTCTCCTTAGCCAACTGAACCTTGAGTATTGTCGAAAGGAATTCCATCCTAGCTTCGACCTCTCCCACACTCATGGTTTCCCGCATTTTCTCAGTTATGCGGTTGTACTTCGCCACTAGTACCCCCGCATACTGTCCTCTTGATTGGCGTTGGGACCGACACTCCCTAAACATTTGGAAGATATCTTCTTCCGGCGTCCATCGGCCCCCTCCGAAAGCCTTCTTCAAACGCTCCTTAATCACTGGCCATGGTGTCTCCTCGTCCGCTTGGATTTGGTTGAGGATGTTCCTCCTCACTCGGCACACGAGAGCTGCCTTCAGTGCTTCTGCGTCTCCCAGGTTCACGAGGTCCTCCGCCACCTTTGCTTCGATTCTTGATATGAGGCGGTCTCCACCTTTCAGGAAGTGATTAAGTTCACCTATCTCGCCCCCGAATCGCTCCAGGTCTGCGATTGCTCTCCGTAGATCCTGCGTGGTCGCTGCCCTTATCTTCATCCACTCCAATGCATTGGCGTGCGCCTCTGCCAATGTGTCCCTAGGTAAGGGAGGGATCTCTTGTATCTGCGGTACTTGAGGTATCTGAGGTATCTGCGGAATCTGCGGAACCTGAGGGGCGATCTGAGGAATCTGCGCTATCGGCATTTCCTGAGGTTGCGGCATTTCAGGTGCGTTCAACACTCCTGGTCGAATTATGCCCTCTGTCGGCATCTCGTCTTTTCCTTATGACTAGGAGAAGAGAAAAAAAAATTAAAATAAAGAAAGGAAAAAAAAAAAATTTTACTTCCGTGTTCTCCTGACGTTCTCCCGGGTTTCGGCACCAGTTAAGCGTCTCCGGGCTTTGTAAATAAAAAAAAAGAAGGAAAGAGGAACGAGAAACAATACTCACGGCTTCTGAATTAACACTACTTTATTCGTTCAATAATCTGCCTTATATACAATTGCTATGTTTATTTACATTACAAGATGGTATTAAGGCTGATATCGCCAGTCTCCGGTCTTTATCTTATATATATATATATATATATTATTTTTTGTTGTTAGAGGACAGTGATAGATCAAAGGAAGACGTTTTGAAAATTAGACATTTAAGCCCCGCCAGACTACGTAAATGAGAATATCGCCTACCTGAAATTAAATACCATTCAGTTCAACTTTAATATAACTGGTCCAATCAAAATCTTTAAAACCGGTTTTAAGAATAGTAAAAAATGTAAATTCGATGTTAGTGTCAATACTGGTTAGTGAATTTCAAGGGTGTAATATATCAGATATATTTTAAATACAAGATTTAAATTTTGATGGACTTTTCATTTTTGAGCTAGGCTGCTTACCTACACTTATGCACAACATAAATAATCTTCCTTGACAATGGTGAACAAAAAAATAAAAATGAAAGAAAGTTAAAATAATGAGGTGAAGTTATTTTTTTAGAATTAAAAATTGTATCCTTTTTTTTTTTTTTTTTAAACTTTTATTATGATATTTACAGCTGTATTAGTATAAATACATCAAGTAAATTTGTACAGAGAAATATTATTACATGAAACACGCTTGTTGAGAAACTGCCCACTGGTAGCACTCTAATAATTTGTCTAGATGAGAAGATCACTAGGCCATCTTCTTTTCAGACGCCTCGGAGGGTTATCAGGAATCGAAGAGGAAGCAAGGTTAGAAACAAGAGGATTCGGATGGTTATGAAGTTTATTATGGAAGGATAGGTATCTGGATTTGGCCAAATCAGAAACATATGGAACATTGAGGAACTTGTATCCTTAAAATGAAATATCAAAATTAGAATTCAAATTTTGACAGAGAGCTTCTCTTTAGAAAGTGGGGAAGTGTTGAAAAAGTTTGATTTAATTTGAGATAAGGAAGAATAAAAAAATGTTTGAATTAAAAAAAAAAAAAGACTACAGAAGTTGGGAGATTGTATTCACCCTAGGGGAATATACGTCCATATCTTGTTAAACATTGGACTATTGATAGGGAAAACGAGATCTACGAATATTTAAACATGATGAAATAGTTGAGTGCCTTTCTCTACTCATTATGCCTCCAGGCCGTAAAAATAGTGAAAAATAATAATAGATTTAGTTTATTTTTTTATTACCGCTACAGTCAATAAAATGCTTTATTATAAATATTTCTTATTATGCAATATCGGAGGATATTTTAATGTGGGGACAATGTTAACAATTAGGTTCAACTGTGATGCGGCTCGGTGCACGAATGTGTACCTTATTCTCTACTGGATTACATGGCCAGCCATCCTGGCACTTTCCAACCGTCCTCCTGTTCTGCAGCATCCGTCCGATTGTCACTTTTTTAAATTTATTTTTTCTTCTCTTGCTCGCTTATTAGGCTATACGGGAGTTTTCCCGAACCATGTGGCGAGGTCGGGGTATTAATGCCAAATTAACAGACCCTCTTGGAACTGGGACGCGAACTTGCAATTATTTTATCGTTTACATCTACGGTTATCATTTTGCCAGGCAACACAGTGTGCTGTGCACACACGCGTTAGCCAGCTTGGCTACCCCGCTCCTCATCCGATTGTCACCTGCCGTCTTCTTGTGCCTCTTTCTCATGCGGCCCGCCAATATCTGGTGGCAGGGCCCTAGTGAAATGCGAAGGACAATGTATTCTACTTCCTAATGTCTACTTTCTTCTACCCGTAGACGAAATATCGGAAGAAGAAGTAGTTTGTCTCTTCCATCTTTTGGAAAAAAAACTGTATCGACAAGGGTAAAGATCCGTCTTTTCCGACAATCTGGCACGGTGTCCTACCATGTCAGCACAGGACATCACAATATGTTCTGCCGTCTCGGGGATTCCACCAGGAATAAATGTTCTTCCCATACATGTAGTTTTCCCCGGAACCCTCTGTGTTCTGTCCTGATCTGCGAGATCCAGTAGTCAGAAGGATCCATTTAGCATTTAACCTGGAGTGGGTGGTGGAGAAGATCTCCCTGAACGACATTCTACCAAGTATAACATACCACCGTCCATTCCATTTTTCGATGGAAATCTCCTTAACGATATTCTGCCATCTCGTGAAGTGCCTCGATCTCCTGCCTCTTAACATCGTAGGTCAGTGTATCCTAGGAGGACAGGTCTAAGCCTAGTTGCAATAGAACCTTAGTGATGGATGACCTGATGGGAGGAAATATATCAGACGATACGCCTTAGGTGATTGCTTTTTCTTTTTCTTTCTACCTTCATAGATTTCGGTCATCAACGAGAGTCTCAAGTTTCGTTCAGTTTGTGTTAGGGATCCGACTATTACATCAATTTTAAATATTTGTAGATGCTATTTTCCACATCAATCTGTCAAGATGTTTAAGTAGATATGGAGTACATGTCCCTAGGGTGAATAGTATGTCCCAGTTTCTGTATACGGTTTTTTTTTTTTTAGTTGAAATCTTTTTTTATTTTAACAATTTTAGTTTTTTAAAATATTAATAATTTATTTTTATGACATGTGATCAGATATTATTTTAAATCAACAAATAATCGAGGCACTTAAACTATAATAATTTTTTTGTCAGCATTTTGGGCTGAAATGATTTCAAAACATTCACGGTATCTCACTGAGATCCCAAATTCTCCCAAAAAAAGAACAATAAAGCTTACAAATAATAATTATATGATATGTTAAATAATAAATTGATTATTAACTATGCTTATTAACTTATTAACTATGCTACTAGTTTATGAATAGCGTTCTAGCCTTTGTCTTCCAATGCTTATTGATAACCTTTCCACTACCTAGTTTTGTAATGGTTAATTATCTATCTAACTTACTAATTACCTAATTAACTGTAACATTAATTTTTGTTGCGTAAATTAATGTTACAGTTACTACTAATGGAAATTGAGAGAAATAGCTTTGTTATCATCAATATGTGCGGCTTTAACCTATCGAAGAGGTTTTAGTGAAGCAAAAGAAGATGTTTGGAAGGAGATTATTGCAGTACTGGAAAGAGTATTTCAAAAGATTTTTTTTTTCATTTCTCATCGCTTTTATTCTAAATTATAACAGAATTAAGAATTCATTTAACATTGTTTATTTGTTATAATTATTTAAAATACCAAATAATAAACTAAAAATATCGAACGACAAAAATATCATCAACTGGCTTTCAATATATCACTAAATATACCTAATACGTTTACAATACTAGTTTATCACAATTGTCCTTGACACCTGATATATTCTAAATTAACCAATGTACATACATAATAGTATCAACTCTTATTTCTGGAATGATTTAAATTGAGGTGAGTAAAATTGTTCACAGACATGAAATTATCATTAACCAAATAATAGGTCACATGTTTTTAAGTAAGCAGTTTTTTAAGTTCATATCGAAGGACTTTGCCAACTGGATTCTTAGGAAGGCTTTCAATGAAGAATATTCCACCTCTAAGCTTCTTCTCATCAATGACATTCTCTGGAATAAAAGAAAAAAAAAATATATATATATATAAATACTGATCGAGATATCAATTTTTAATAATATATAAAATATTTAGGATTATTTTAAAATTAATATCGGTTATTGATTAAAATTAATAACAAATGTCGATTTGAATAAACCTTCCCCTCAACGGCCTTTAAATTTATCTATATCAGGGTTTTCAACGAAAAGAAGCTGGAAAAAAAGTTACGAGGGGTGGTAAAATTACATTTCCAAATAACTTAAGAAATATACAATTTTTGGTAATGTTATATATAGTTATTTAAAATTTTACGAATTTTACTGAAAAAAAAAATTCGTTACAATCCGACTATTTGGAGCAAAGCTTATATCTTTTTTTTTTTTTTAATTTTTTTTTTTAAATTTAACATCAACTATAGCAATGTTGTCTATTTTTTAAGCAAATTATAAATGATAAAAAAAAAACTACAAAGGCCAATATTAAGAATTCCTTCTTATGTATTTTTCTTAACATTACATAGACAGTAATCCTAATTTTGATGTTAAATAGTTTGGAAAACACAAACCGTCGTGTAATAATTTGCAAAGTTTTTATTATTCATTTTAATTTTCCACCTTGTAGGCAATCAGCAATATCGTTTAGACGATTTTGAAAACTGGTAGACATAATAATAATAAGTTATAATTGTAACATTTAAATTTAAAATAAGAATCCTGATGATCGCTTGAATTATTTTCAAGGAAACATATTAAGGAAATATTAAGAGTGAAAACATTTATTTGGTCACTTTTTAATACTGATCAATTTGGATTATAGAGCTCTGGATAAAAACCAAAGTTCATTATCACTTTTAGATGATAAATAATTTTCACGAATAGTTCTACGTTAAATGGTACTTTTTTTCACATTTTTTTACATAACTTAAGGTGACTCTCAACATATTTTGTAATACAGCTCAACGTAATTAAAATGAATTTTAATCTTATTACACAAGGAAAGTTTTCTATTCTAAAATTGGGATATGTATAGTATACTTGTACGAAAATAAAAAAATCGTTTTAATAATTATTATATTACAGTAAATTTGCCATCTACCTCGGTATTCAGCAAATATCATATCAAGGACAAGAAATGATAGTAATAAAAAAAAAAAAAAAAAAGGTAATGCAGCAAGTAGCTCAATTCAATAAGTCTCTTGACCAGCGCCTCAGCAGTCTTCTGGGCGGATTATATGGATTTGTGGCAGTAGATAGAGCTTGAGTAAGTGAATTGGAATTTAGAGTCAGTCTGTCATGAAAATTATTAAAGCGGTCAGTGGCAGTTGCTGTGATGAGAGAAGTGTTAAGGTCAGTGTGTAACGTGAGGTTTGAAACATAAAAGGGTGCGTCTACAATTTTCCGAAGGACTTTTGACTGGGATGACTGGATGATTTTTATATTTGATTTCTTTGCTGTTCCCCATAGTTCGATTCCATATGTCCAAAGTGAGTACTTTGTAATTAGTTAGTTTATTAGTCACAGATAATTTAGAACGTCTGTCAAGTAGCCTAGAAAGAAGTCCGTATTGCTGATTAAGTTCTTTTCTCTTTTGTTTTATGTGGTATGTCCATGTCAGTTGTTTTTCGAAGTAGAGACCCAAATATCGTACAGTTTTTGAAGGTGGTAGAGCAATATTATTAAAGAATACTGGAGGACAAGAGTCATGTTTAAATGCAAATGAAACAAATTGGCTCTTAGACTCGTTCATTTTTATTCTCCACCTTTTAGCCCAACAAGCTATGTCGTCTAGGTGCTCTTGAAGTATCTGAGAAGCCTGCATCCTAGTTAGATGTTAATATTGCCGAGTCATCAGCAAATGTAGCCAGAGTTTTTCATTTCTAAAACCATTTATAGAGGACTATTGAACGGATAAACTAACCTATTTTCCTGTCTTTAAAAATATCATGTATAATAATTGATATTTTTAAAGACAAGAAAATAGCTTAGTTTATCCGTTCATTAGTGAGTGCTCTATAGATGGTTTAAGAAATGAAAAACTCTATTTTCTTTTAAAATAAATTTTATCTAGTTTACTATGAAGTAATAGTTGATTACTTAAATTAAATTTGTTTAGTTACAGATTCCTATTCACCAAAAAGCGAAAATTGGTTTAAAAAAAACTTAAATTTCTTACTTATCTGCGGACCATAAATCGGACTATTGTTTATATGATTTTTTTTGTAGCTGTTGAGGTCTGCTATCACTCTTTTAAATATTTCCTCCTACTTACGGGATGCCCTATATAATATAAATTTAGTAAATATATTCCTAAGATCAGTTCCTGTATGTACCGTTTTCCCGGTTTATTTTTAACAGCCTTTACAGGTTATCAACATGTCATGAACATGATCCTGATCAGACCTGTGGTTACGTATGGAGGAAAAACATGTACATTAAATTATAAAATATAAAAAATAATAATATTTGTGACAGGCTCGACAGGTTCGAAAGCAAAAAGGCTGCGAGGAATGTTCGGTGGTGTCTATGAGAATGGGGCGTGGCGAAGTAGGAAAAATAAAGAGATTTATGGTTAACATCAATCATTATATGGTGTCAGTACGATCTCAGAACACATATAAATGTCATTAATGAGATAAATTGTAATATTTCTCAATAGACAAGTTTTGAATTGAAAATAACAAAACAATACATCAAGAAATGTATAGTAGATCATCTACAATTTATATACTGATAACCGGTCTAAACTAATGAATTTTACGAAAAAAATTAAAAAATTGAATAGGTTTCAAAGGTAGTTCAGTATCATCAAAAGGTTACAGTCTTATTCTGATCTTTCAAAAATTCCTTGTTGAATAATGAAGAAACGCTCACTTTTATTACCAATAGCTGAGATCACTAACAGAAAAATTCATCCGATTCATTCGATCCATCCGAAAACCTCCTCCATTGATCCGGCAGTGACGGTTTTCATAGAATTTAGTTTTCTACAAGGTGTTTCGTAATTGCACGGCACTATTTTAGGTATGTGTTCACTAACACAAAATAAACAAACAAGGTCATATTAACATGTATCTCAAACTCATTTATTAAACAGATATCAAGGTCTAAAGATTTATTATTTATTTACTATATTAAGATTGATTGTATAAAGTGTTATTTAATACTAAATAACAGGTTTTAATCACCTGATGTACAAATGAATGATAACCAATGACAGCAGTTGATCTTCTGTTTGTCTAGTTCTGTGCGTTTTAGTGTAGGTGGATACTGTTACACAGTTCAATTTATGATTATCATGGGAAACACTATTAATGTATTCACATTTGCAGAACAAACAGACATGCTTTTAACCTTACGCGAACAACAATTGTATTCATTTCACGTATCGAGTAGGCAAGATTTGTTACTACAAGATTATAATAAGCGCAGAAATTTCTGCCAGTGGTTAATTCGACAATGCACACGAGATCCTTACTTCCTGAACTGCCTTTTGGTTACTAGTTAATCTTGCTTTAGAAGCAACGGGATTCTTAATTTTCGAAATACCCATATACCATACTTCTGCTGTTGAACATCACCAATATACTTTTTCTGTATGGTGTGGTCTTCTAAGAGACAACATCATCGGCCCCTTCTTTTTGCCACCTAGGCTGTCAGGTATATCTTACTACATTTTTTGCAAATAATTTTCTCGAACTCATAGAAGATATTCCGCTAGGCATTAGGCAAAGGCTGTGGTTTATGCATAATGGTGCTCCTGCTCACTTTTCTGATAGTGTCACTGATTATTTAAATGCAACTTATGGAGACCGATGGGTAGGTCAAAACGGACCTGTTAAATGGCCACCACGATCCCCGGATTTAACGCCATTAGATTATTTTGTGTGGGGCTGGATGAAGTCTATGGTTTATTCTGCGGCAGTTGGCAAGCAAGAAGAGCTAAGAAATCGGATCGATGAAGCCGCAGTAACTATCAATCACCATCCCGATGCTATACGAAGAGCTAGAGAAGCATGGATTCGTCGTGCTGAATGCTGCATTCAACAAAACGGAGGCCCCTTTAAACAGTTATTCTAAATGTTGTAATAATAATAAATAATAGTAATAATTAATAATAAATCTTTAACGTTTGATATCTGTTTAATAAATGAGTTTAAGATATATGTTAATATGAACTTTTTTGTTTATTTTGTGTTAGTGAACACATATCTAAAATAGTTTCTTGCAATTACGAAACACCCTGTATATAATTATAATCATAAAAACTAAGAGATCCTTAGTGACTGTCAAACACCCAAAATATTAATACTTAATATCCACTTGAGATAATATACAATGTTAAAATCCCAATTTTTTTTTTAAGAAAGGTATTAACATGATTCACCTGCAATATAATTGTGAAGCTCTTCTTCTGTAAGATTGGAACCTGGCCTTTTAATGACGAAGGCTGCAGGAAGGTCTCCTCCTTGTTCGATACAAGTCTTACCAACAACACAAGATTCCAGAACATCAGGATGCCTCTGAAGAATGCTTTCCAGTTCAGCAGGAGCGATCTATAACATTTTAAAATATAAATTGAAAATAGCAATTATATATTACTAGCTGATGTACCCATCGTTGAGGGTGTATAGTTAAAATTTGAGAAACTTGGAATTTGAATAGAATGACACCTTGAACAAGAAGATCGGGCAAAGTTGAAAAAGGAGTTGGTTTTAAGCGACAACGCGTTATAGATGTTTGGTATTTCAGATTTTTCCCGTTGAGTTGTGATAATTTTTTCCATCAGTTGAATAATACAACTGTTAAATATGGCTTGCGTTAGAGTAGTTTTGGATGAGAATCAAAGTAACTGCCTAACCGGGATCTCTTGACAAATTACCCAGGAACTCATAACTCTGGTTCTATTCAATATTTTGTTTTAATTTATATATTTAAAGCCTATGTTTTAAGCCATGAAAACTTTAACATAATGTCAAAAGTCTACAATAAGCCATTGCTGAGCTTATCCCTGACAAAATTTCGTTGCAATGCGGACAGACAGACAAAAAAATGTTTTAAAAGTGGATTTGGTGTTTGTAATGTATAAAACGAAAATATATCATGAACCGCATTGATTCTATTCAATATACAGACAAAACCTTTATTTTATTTATATAGATGTTGTTTAACCTATAAGCATGTGTTTATTATTAACATTTATTAACAACATTAACCGAGATCTTTAGACAAATTACTCAATAATTCATAACTTCAGTTATACTCAATATTTTGTTTTCATTTAAAGCCTATGTTTTAAGTTAAGGAAAGCTTAATACAATGTCAATTTTTCAAAAGTGTACAATAAGCCATTGCTGAGCTTACCCCTGACAAAATTTCGTTTCAATCCGGACATACAGACAGACAAAAAAGTTTTTAAATGTGGATTTGGTGTCTGCAATGTATGAAAAGGAAATATATCATTAAACGGGTTGATTCTATTCAATGTACAGACAAAATCTTTATTTTATTTATATAGATATTTGCTCGTTACTTTATTTTAAACGTACATATATTATAAATAGGATTAGGAAAATTTGGTTGGTTACTTATAAATACGATTTATAGTAGTCATTTAGCTGAAAACCGAGTTACTTTTAGGTGACAGGATATCAAACCAAATAATTTGTTTACAAAATTTGATGTAAATCCTAACTTATTTTATATTAAACCTTGGATTAGTTAATATGGCTTTAAAACATGTTAAACAAGAAAATTTGTCTAAAAGTGGGGTATCCGTAGTATAGTAAGTGAATGAAAAAAAAAAAAATTGTTGAACAAAATCGCACTTTATCAGCCGCCCAGATAGCAGAAGAGGTTGCAGCTACTTCAAATATCACCTTATTCATATCACCACTGTTAAAAATATAATTCATATATACAAATATTATGGCAGTTTCCAAATAAAATAAAACTGTTATTACAATAACTTAACTAATTACAATGACTTTTATTAAAATAACTTTTATTTACAAGAGGTGAATGCAAAAAAAAATACTTCAGTTTGCCAAAGGATAATTTGATGAAGACCTAGAATTCTAGAAAAAAATTATTTTTTCTGATGAAAGTAAGTTTAACATATGCCATTCTAATGGCCACAAGTTCAAGAACATTGACTTTCAAATTCGATATTTGAGGCCTCCTCATCGAGGTGGAAGTGTCTAGGTTTGGAAGGGCATGTCAAGGAATGGCGTTGGTAACTTAACCTTTATTGACAATATTATAAATGTCGAATAATGTGTCGACATTTTGCGACATACTTTAATAAGTATAGCCAAAAATCTGAGAATCAAAGATGCATTCATCGTCCAATAGGACAATGACGCCAAGCACAAACCAAATAAAACAAAAGAATGGATGGTGAACAATGTACCAAATGAAAACGCCACCACAGTCTCCGAACATAAATGCCATAGAACTTATGGTACCTCTTGGATTTCGAAGTAAGAAAAATGAAATTTCTTTAAAAATTATTTAAAACAAACTTCTTCAGAGGAATGTCGTAAAATTGTACAAGACTTAACTCAAAATTTTGTTTTGTCGATACCAAAATTCCAGGATGGCATAGATGCCAATGGTGGCAAAATATTAATAAATTTCCAGTTCGTGAAACAAACCTCAAATTAAAGTGTGTTGATACTTGTTTGACTGTGTTTAAGTGATTTTTTGTTTACTGAATTTTTCAAATAAGTAAATTCAACTTTTTTTTACCACAATTATGTGTTTTTCGAAATTTTTAAGTAAATAAAAATCTCTAGCAAATCAATTTCGGATTCTTTTGCAATCAAACCTGAAAAAAGTTATGTGTGCCAATACTATTTTGATTGACTGAGGCTAGTGTTCACCAAAATCGGTCTTGGTCTTGCACTTTGCAAGACCAAGACCAAGGCCGCCTAACTGTTGCAAGACCAAGATCAGGACTGGTAAAAAAAAATCGATTTTTTAAATAAAAATTAAGGCAAAATAGTTACTAATACTTGACAATCTTAGTTACTATATGTAAATAATTGGTAGAATCAAAACACTTAGTTAGGTTTCTCCTATCTAAAAAATTACAGTAATATCTCTAAAGTAATGATCTAATAAGTAACGGCAAGACTGTTGTGAGACTCTTGCGCAAGACCACGACCAAGACTAAGACTGAGTTTGCAAGACCAAGCTCGTCTCAGTCTCGCATTTGTGCAACACTACCTGAGGCTGATTGAATTGACTAAAACAATAAGATTTTTGATTAGACGCAAGAAATAATTCATTGCTGTCATTGTAAATCGAGTTCCTGACATTTATTTGCATTTAAAGTAACAATGTAAATCTAAGTCGACCAAAGGCTACTGAAAATAAATTGTAGTTTACAAGTATTTCAAATTTATAAATATATAAATAAACCTCACGAATGTTTTCTGAAAGAAGCAGTCCATTTTTTTTTTTTTTGTTTCATATTTATTGAAGAAGTTTTGTGGATTAATCGTGTTACGACTCATAACTATGTAACAGTTACCATAGAAGTCCATCAAACACATAGTAAAGTTCCATTCTTTTTAAACTTAAATTTCTTACTTTTCTGCGGAAAATCGGACTATCGTCCACATATTTTTTCTTAGTTTTTGAGGTGTTATCACACCTTTAAATATTTTCATCAACTTACAGAACACCTTGTACATGTTTTATTTTGCAATTTTATTGTATGTTTTATTTATTTACAAACAAAAGCTCTCCAGGTACCATTGGCTTCTACTGCTGTACCAGTGTGTGCTGGATTAGTTCTCCACTGGTATCGCTTAATCTTTATCATAAGACTTATACTGCTCAATTTATCTTATAAATAATTTTAATCATATTTTAAAATATATAGAATGCATTTTTCCAGGTATATCCTATCAAAGACAAACACACACATAAAAAAAAAAAAATCGAAATCGCTTCAACCTATAATGAATTGAATCGAAGATATCATTTAGCCTTGATGAGAGTTTCGTCATTCAAATCTCGTTAAGCTGCAACATTTTCACAATGTTCCTGTTACATATATAAAAAAAAAACTTGTTTGAATTAAACAATTATGTAAGAACGATTCAGTTGAAGTGACTTATTATGATGACGGTGTAATTTATTCAAGGACAATGAATTATCTAACATGTGTTATTTTGGTAATTGCTTCTTGAAAAAATGGTCACATAGTGCATTCGTAGCCCTATTCACATTATAATATTTGACCTCTAAATATTGTTTGCCGCGTTTAAGTGGTTTTCTGTGGAGGCCTAGTGTAGATTAATAGATCTCGTTGTTAGTATACCTTTAAAAGTTTGTTTTAAAGAAGTATTTTATTTTTTAATATATTTTCCATTTTTTTTTTTTTTTTTTTTTTTTTTTTTTTTTTTTTTTTTTTTTTTTTTTTTTTTTTTTTTTTTTTTTTAGATTTATTGGTTTATTTAGAAATATTACATTCTGTCACATCAAGGACATTTATAATAGTGCTCAGAGAAAGCACACTCACACTCTATTTACAATAAAAAAAAAAATAAATAATACAGAAACTTAATAATAATAAATACAATAAATAAAATAAAAATAAATAAAATAAAATAAATGTATATAAACAAAAGAACTAACCTAATCATACACACTCGGGCTTGAGTGGAGGATCTGGCCATTGCCAAAACTCCAATAGATGCTTATTTACAAAAGGTCTCTGGGCCACTGCCGCTTCAACCTTCGAGGAGGATTGTAAGGATGGGTGGTGCTGGATAGAGATTGTGCAAGGGGATTTGGATGATAGGTAAGGTTCTGGTGAAATTTGGAGAATTTTTCTGGAATAAGGTCTAGGACAAATGGGATATTAAGGTCATGGTGTAGGATTTTGTTATTTACATAGAACGGAGCATCAACTATTGTTCGAAGGACTTTAGATTGAAAGGATTGAATACGTTTGATGTTAGAAGCTTTTGCTGTCCCCCACAGTTCAAGTCCGTATGTCCATATAGGTTTCAGTATTGTCTTGTAGATAAGTAATTTGTTTTCAATAGAAAGTTTGGATTTTCTGTTTAGTAGTCTGTATAGCTGGCCGTATCGTCGGTTACGGCCAGCTATACAGACTGTATAGCTAGAATCCATATTTTCTAATGTTTTTGTACTATGTTTTACAAAAACTTACTAATTAGTTGCGAAAATAAAAAGTTTTATTTCCAATTTTTACTTTCACTTACCAACATATCACATATATAGTAAGGAAAAGTATTGTGGCCGTAAACATTTTCAACGGAAATACACGGATTGATATCCCCCGAGTCCAAATAACCCAGTCTCGAAAAATGTTCTGTGTGTATGTTTGATGTAAATATACCTCAAAAACGAAAAGTCCTACGAAACAGATATTATTTATTTAATATAGGTGTATGCTTTGGATGTGACAGCAACTATTTCATTAAAATCGACAAACCGGAAGTGGCATTTTATATCAACGGTTTCAACGATTTTGATTAAAATCGGTCTATCATTGTATAATGAAGTGGTATTTAATATCATTGAGGTCTTATACCCGTTGTCACTTTACAGGGATTAAATGCTTAAATGTTCAACATCTCCTCCACTAAAGTACCTTTAATTTGGTTTATTTTAAATAATTAACCATCTCTCATTATTAAGAGTTACGAAAAAATGCTGAATATAATTTTTTGAAAGAATTTGACACTTGAAAAATGTGGAAAAAAAAAGAAAATGTTTATTTAGATCGAAAATGAATTTCCGGAAATACAAGTCATCCCATCCCCCCGAGGTCCATGGCGCAAGGACTCCCCCCCCCCCTTCCAAGATATTTTATTGCTCATCTTTTCTTAAAAACAGAGCAAGCTATGAGAGAATTAGAAAAATCGTAGATCGTATACAATTACACTTGCTGCGGCCTGTTCCATGTCCCTTAGTCCACAAATTCATATCCTTGTGGAAATTTAGCCTCCTCAAAAATTCAAAATATGCCCCCTCAAAAATGTTTAATTTTCTTGTTTCACTCTTAAAAACTACTGGGTGAATTACAGATCAAGGATATCTTCCTTACCAAGGAGACCTATAGCTCTTTAGCTGAAACTCTCGAGTACAATACTGCCCTAGTTGATGGATCGCTGTGTTATTGTTAAACTAAAAGAATATTTTAAATGGTTTCTTAAATATTAGTTAAAGTATTACTTGATCAGTTGTTGTAAAGTGTATGAAGTGGTCAAGGGAAAAACAGAAAAACTCCTCTTTTCAAAAATTTATCATAAGAAAAAAAACATTTTAATTTTTGTATATATTTGTATATATGTTGTAAATATTTTTTAATTTAAGTTTGCCCCCCTCCAAATTTAAAACGCCCCAATTTCAAGAGTTTTCGTAAATAAAATAGTTGCAGGTTACGATGAGATGAAACTATTTAAGAAGTTTCAGGCTTATTATAGGATATTAATAATTCGATAAAAAGGGGTCTATGCTACGGACTATATAGCTTAAAGTTTCCATCTAACAAATCATTAACACTATTAAAATAACAAAAACCCTATTAATTATATCAACGGTAGACGATAAAAACCTCGGTACTCCGTCTGTTTTTGTAAACCACATAACTCCGAGCAATATACATATGCCTAGAGAGATTTGAAAGTATATCTCTATATTCAACCTATAAAATCAATGATAATTTTTTGAAAAATTAAGTTAGAAAGTTATAATGAAACTGTGGTTCTAGCTAAATCTATGTTATAACAATTGATCCGTATTTGTTCATAATTGACTGAATGTTCCTAATCTAATTATTTACATTTTCATGAAAAATAATTCAATTTATTAGTATTTTTCTTTATTTCAAACATAAGTTTTGTTTATTAGGATTGGAAAAAATTGGTATGCGTATGCATTGTTATTGTGAATAAGAATTCGTTTATAATTAAAGTTTTCAATTTATCTCCTTACATATCTTATTATAAAGTAAATACATTTTCGCTAATTCGCTTGTATCCTCATTTAATTGACAATGCTAAAACCTCTTTATTTTATCATACTCAACCTCTATAGTAAGAAACTATATGCTAATTGCGATAATTTATTGGAAATATATTAAAATTATAAAAAATTTATTATGTGCTGGTAAAAAAAAAAAAAGATAAATTAACGAAGATTGTTTATTTCTTAACTCGAGAATGTGTTCGATAATGAAAACAATTCCTTGTTTCAACATTATTATGAGAATCGTTTAGATTACAATATCATATTCTGATAATATTAATAATAAAACGAAATTGAAAGGTAATATAGGTTAGTTAATTTTAAATGTTTATCTGGTAACATTTTTTATAAAATATTTAAGCGTAATACAAACTTTTATATATATATATATATATGCATGTATAAAACATACTAGTAAGTAAGCATAACAACCCGTACTACGAAGCAATTGTGTACGTTTGAAAAGAATTAGTGGGGGATGATCACTTCAACCTCCGCTAATGAAAACCGAAGAACTAGAAAATAAGTATTCAAAAATCTGTATTGCCAGAGGCAAGGGAAGATGAAAATAAAAAAATAAATAAAAACAAAAAAGATTAAATTGCAATACATATTTTTAGAGACAAAAAGTTAATGGTGTCGAAATACAAAGACATATAGAAGGTATTGTTGTATGTTACCTGTTGACCTCGGTATTTCATTACATCTTTGACTCTTGAACTGTAGAAGAGGCATCCTTCATCATCGTAGTAGCCGAGGTCACCTAAGTGCCAGAACCCATCTTTGTCTAATTCTTCTTCAGTTATTTCCTTGTTGATATATTTTTTTATAAGACCCTTAGATCTGACGCATATCTCTCCAATGGAATTTGGTGGCTGTATTTTCCCAGTTTCCGTGTCTACAACCTAAACAAATATTTATTATATAATATACAATCAACGTAGCGAATCTTCATACGATGGAAGAAAAGATATAATGATTGAAAAGAAGTTGAGGCTACATATTAACGCTGTATTTGCAATGGTCAAAACAAATTTTTTCGGATTAAATTAAACAGAGTCTTTATGAGGAGTTTACAGGCCACTTTAGACTCAAAAGGCATTTAAAGATTTTGTAGGTGGTCGGTCGGTAATGACACAATATTGTATCAGATTGTAGATTGTAACCGTCAAAGAACCAATATATAGCCTACTAATTCAGATAAAATCCAAGATCACAAGGAATGCCTTATGGATGGTTATTTCTCTTGAATAGCATTTGAAATCGATAATTATTTTTTCCCTCAAAATCATGCACTAATCCTTATATTTGATCGAAAAAAGTTTTTATTTTAAAATTAAAATCTTAGAAGTCCATTTAAAATCGAAGTTAATCAATATATATATATTTTTTGTAAGCCAAAGTTTCTAATAAATATCGGAAATAAAGAAGTTCAGCTCCTAATAGTTGACTTCAGGACCACTAACAACTTTTACTCCAGACTCAAAATATATCATAGTTATTAAACAGAAAGTTTAAATTTCAGCTTTAAAAAAGTATTACTCAAAAACTATTATTGTTATTGTTATTGCAATACAATAATTTTTAATTGCAAAAGTTTTGTTGAAAAATAATGACCACGACGATTATTATCATTTACGATCAAAATATTAAAAAATTCTACATACAAATTTTGATCGGATTTAATTTTTAGTTTTATTCTTTTAATAATCGATTTCCAATCGTGCCCTCCGATGAAACTTGGTAACCTAAAGGTTTGTGACGTATGAACAAAATATATCCATTGGCTTCTCGAGTTTATGAAATAGTATTGATAAGCCCACTGCCTGGACCCGTCCGCTCATTCCTCCAAACAACAGCGACAGTTGATCAAACAATTAATTTATTGCACTACAATTTACCGTGAGTATGAATGTACACATAGAACCTTAATACCCAATGCTCCCTTGGTTATGCCAAATTGTATTATTATTATTCCAATAAAGGTTTTTAAATTTTTTTTTTATTCTTTCTCAATGATATTTACAACTGTATTAAAGAAATACATTTAGTGAATTTGAACATATGGATGTAATGACGTGAAAACACTTATTGAGTAACTACCCAGTGATAGCACTCTAATGATATGTTTACATTATGAGATCACGGGGCCATCTTCTTTTCAGACACCTCGGAGGGTTATCAGGAATTGAAGAGGAAGTAAGGTTAGAAACGAGAGGGTTGGCATGATTCTGAAGTTTATTATGGAAGGATAGGTATCTGGCTTGTTCTATTTGTAACAAAGTAGGAAGAATTGGGGATTTTAAGAAGGATTTTGGATTGTAGGGATTGGATACTAGAGGAATTCGATGGTTTAGTGGAGCTCCATAGCTCAACTCCGTAAGTCCAAATAGACCTTATTATAGTCATGTATATGGGTCTTTTGTAATTAATTGGAAGTTTAGAGTGTTTGTCTAGTAAGTGCTGAAGTAATCGGAAACGTCAAGCGATTTCTTGCCGTTTTAGTCTGGTATGTTTTAAAAATGTAAAAAAAAAATTACTGTTGAATTAAAAAAAAAATAAGGTTTAGAACCTTTATACCCACCTTGATTTCTACCCCTTTAGCCACTTTTCCTATGCTCGCTAATTTTGGCGAATCGATATCCGGTATTATGCGGTCGAAGGTAACCATACCGGCCTCAGTGCTGCCGTACATGCTCCTCACGATGTGCCTCTTGTTAGTCAGCTTCTCGGTGATCATCTTCCGATGTTCGGGAAGAAGGACCGACCCACCGACGGACAAGGCCTTGAAGGAGGAGAAGTCGTACTTGTCGAGGTCATCTTCCTTGCAGAAGTCAATGATGATGGATGGGCCGGTGAACCATTCAGTGGGCTACATGTATTAAGACAAATATAACAATTACTTTTTTTTTACTAATTACAAAGATTAAAATGAATAAAATTAAATTAAAATGTCTATTATACACAGAACGCAATCCCTCCCGGCCATGCACAATGGGAAGAAAGGTGGGTTTTCGTGGACATGGGCTTAGGACTTGTAAATGATGTCGGATTAACATGATATTTAGTGCCCTTATGCTTTCAAGACCAAGTAACATGAATACGATCCCAAAATAAGAAAATTTCTAAGAAACACATAGACAATTTTGGTATCTTTGTGTAAACCTGGAAATTTTTAAATTTGACACTAAATTAACTTCCAAAATGATAAAGACCTCTTAGAACTCGTAATTTGAGACCTATTTATAACTACTGTCTGTACTACTAAATATAATCGTTAATTTAATCTTCTTTTTTTTAATTTAAAAAACAAAATATATTTTTATAATATATTTATATGTAACAACTAAAAATATGTTGTGTAAAAATGTATCGTTTATAAATTGTAAATATTCATTTTAGAATATTTCTTATATAATAATAAACATTTTATTTAATTTTTATTACAATAAAGTTAAAGACACCGCCGATAATGATATTTTAAACACCATGGTTACTTCTACACATTCTCCGATGAAAAAATACACTTTTTTCCTTAACTTTGAAGATTATATTAAGAATTAACTGGTACAGATCAAGTCATAAGGGTAATTTTTTTTATATAACTCTAAAAACTAGATAAACTGTTTAATTGATACTTTAGGCAGTTTGTAAAAATATTTTTAGATGGAAGAATGAATATTTCATACTGTTTTTAGTAAATAATCCGATTGAAAACATAACTAATTTGTGGAATTTGAAAAATACCTCAAACCAAAACAATAAAAAAAAGTTCACATTAAATATTAAATATTCGTTTTCATTGTTTTTTTTAACTTTATTTATTCACCCAGACCTGTCATAAGCAATGACAATTAGCGGGTCTGCTGAAATTGTTTTAATTGTTAATTGAATATTTTATTGTTTTAAAATATTAATTTTGCCCACCTAGATAAGAATTAAACCTTTATATTATTCTTTTAACTGTATATAATCATCCTTTATTCCGCTCTAATCTAAATAAATAAAAAAACACAACACGGTAAAATGAACTAAAGTTTAAAATTAAATAAAAGGTAGGGTCAATGGGTACCCGCATAAGACGGTCTGAAGAAAAAAACAACTTTTATTTACTTTTTTCACTAAGATTACGGTCTGTTGGTAATAAAATATAATTACATTCAGTCTCTTATCCTTATTCTTTTTTAACGTCGTTATAAATGCATAACGGTAAATTGAATCTGAGAGCATTTGATTAAACCTTTATGACTTGATCTGCATTAGTTGTTGCTAATATAGTATTTACAATAATTCCAATTAAAAAATACATATTATTTTATCAGAAAATTTGAGAAAGTGTCGATTGTGTTCAAAATGTCATAATGGATTTTTTTTTTAATATTTCGTAATAAAAAAATAAAGTGTTTATTATTTCATAAGAACTATTATAAAATGAATATTTATAATTAATAAACGATACACTTTTTAAGTTATTACATATACATACATTATAATTATATTTTATAATTTATTGTTTTTAAAATTTACAAGCATGTTATTAATATAACGGTTATATGTAGTAATATAGACTGTAGTTATAAACAGTTATATACAATTATGCATTTTATAAGGCATCTATCATTTTCGAAGATAATTTATTGTTAAATTTATAAATTCCTAGGTTTAAATAAAGAAACTGCGATTTTTTTTCCTTAAAAATTTTCTAATTTTGTTATTATAATTTGATATTCGGGTTCCTTGGCCTACAAAAGTTAAGCGTACTAAATATTAGGTTGATCCGACATCATTTACGAGTTTTATGCCCAAGTTCACGATAACCCATCTTTCGTCCCATTGTGCGGCGTCGTGTTATGATACAATTTTGAATTATTATAGCCTATTACAGAGAGAATGAAATGATGAACAATTTTCTCGCTTACAGTATGTAGGCTCGATTTTTAGTTTTTTGAAATATTTTAATCCTTACGTAAAAACATTTCGATTAGACAACTCTAGCCGACTTTAACCGAGCGTTAACACTTCTCAAATGTGATAGATCAATCTAATTCACTCTCCACAAAAAAAGCGCAAAACTGGCTTAAAGAAGCTTGCAATTCAAAAATTAATTACAGAACAAATAAAAAAGATCTCATTGATTCGAAGTATGACCACAAACATGTCCGATAGCGCTCGTAGGAGGCTCAAATAAAGCTGAATGAAGGATTTCCTTACATTACTATAAATATTAAAATCAAGAGTTAGGATGGGATCAATTAATGTCTTGCTCCGTATTGTGTTTACTGCACTGGATAACTCACTAGATGTTAGCATTTCTGACAGGTGTGGGTGAGAATTAAGTAAGTGAGAGAAGTAAGAATTAAAAAAAACAAATAATTTTCCTCAGAAAATAGGATTAGCACGATTTTTTAAATTAATTTATTTTGAAAGTGACGTCTGATATCCTTACCTTGTACACAGTGATTGTCTCCATCACCTCCTTAAGAGACATCCGATTGGCAATAACTATCTTGCTCCCGGCGCACACAGTGACAATATTCACTAGGGCGTTGGAGATCCAATACATGGGTGTGGTCAGCAGCAGTATTGAACTATCTGTCCAGAATTCTTTCCTATAATTATTGTTAAGTGATATTAGTAGATGATACATTTTTATACTAAATTTTATAAACAAATTATTTATATACATTAGATATATTGTAAATATGAGTTGTTCTTCAAAAACTACATCTTGTATTTTTTAACTTCAATATATCCGAGCTTGGATTTTCTGTTTCGGTCGAAATAAAACAATTTATAGATTTTTTCTTTTTCAGTATTAATAATTTTTTTTTAGTTGTTTTTATTGGATTGTTTAATTTGATTTTTAACATTAATTTATAAACATGATGTTCCAGTTCTTAGTGTCCAAACTATGGAGGGTGGTTAGGGTCGATTCCGAACTGAAAAAGAATTAAGATCGATTTTGTGTTTTTATAAGGTTGCCACGGTTTTTGTAGAATAAGAAGGAATTTCTCAAAAATTGTTCATGATAATTAAATTCTAAGTACACCATCGTGAAGCAGACAAACTGTTTTTGATAAAATAGTGATAAAATTTATTTAGGTTTTAATAACAAAATAAATCTGATAAAAGGGACTTTCAGGTCTGTTAGGGCCCCTGTACTGCTGCAGTTACAGTAAACACATTTTTTATTTATTTTGCGCCCTTCCATGCCACCAGGTCAATACGGGTGTATGCAGTAGTGTGATGTTAAGCATTAATGCATAATAACACTCTACTGCCATAATATCGGTTTACAAAATTCAAAGCTGTGCACACGGCTAACTCTTCTACTTTTCCTTATTCTTCAACAAATTAGGAGCAGACACAGATAGTACACACATCTACAAATAGTACACACATCCGATCAGCACATCTCTGTCATCCCGAATCGTGAAATTATTCGCCATAATGGTAGGATTTGGGTTATTAGAACTCCTGAAAATCCCTTAATATCAGTGACCTTATAAATTTAATCACTGTTTTCTTACAGAAGGGAGCGGGTAGCTCAGTGGTAGGGCACTAAGCTTCTAATGCCCAAGATCACGGGTTCGAATCCCGGCTCAAGGCAGAAAGTTTATTTATTCTGACTGGGGTAGAGAGATCCTCCTGGGGCACACCCAGCCTCGACAAAGTGGGTACTCTTAATTAAATAATTGATAAAGGGAGAAAACGTGAATGTTGAGAGTGATCCTGGCCCGATCCCCTCCTTGCACAACCGTTGGCATTGTAACAGTACTTTCCCTGAATAGTACTGAACCCAAAAAGGGGGCGGGGTGGCCGAATGGGCTAAACCGTGTGTACTGCACCGCGAATTGCAACCGGATAAGGGATTTGAGAAGATTAAAAAATTATGAGTTCGCATCTCGGTGCCGGAAAGGATTTTAAATTCCCCGCCCTCACCCTCCGGCCCAGAAAATACCGTATAGCCTAAAAGGCGAGGTAGGGAAGAACAAAAAAAAAAAAAGTACTGAACCCAAGATCCTTCATGGCTTGTAGTGGTACAGTTTTTTCTTTAAAAAAATGTTATCTACTTTAAGATGTTGTACATAGGATTTAATTATTTAGAATTGTATCTTTAATAGTTTTTGAGCAGTTCCTACTTATTCAATAAAAAACGTGACCAGCTTAAGAAAAACACAAAATTGGTCTTAATTTCTTTTTCAGTTGGAATCACCCCATGCATCAACTTTATAGATGTAATGGATAATGTTATTTATAATGTATTAAAGTGACTAATGAATATGATGAGGAAATGATCGAATAATACATGAATTTTATGTGTTGGTTGGATTCCCTGAAGAATTGTCCAGCATTTCCTTGAAGGGACAGTTGTATGAGGTATTCAATGTATGGCGGTTCAATGCTCAATCAACTTGGTACTTGATACTCACATGTGCGTGTTAAACGTGAGAGCCTCGTCTCTCACAAGGACGCCTTTGGGTGAACCAGTGGTTCCGCTAGTGAACAAGACACCCAAGGCATGATCTTTTCCAGTCCACCATCCCTCCAGCACGATCCCTTCAGCACTATTTCCTTCTTCCAAACATTTGTAATAATCGAGGACTCCATCTTTTCGATTTGGACATATTATGGTAGTGCTCCAATCCAAGCGCGACACTACTTCCTCCACTTTTTCTAGGTATTCTTCTCCGCAGAAGACAATTTCGCACCTGCAGGTTTTGAAAAAGTAGAGAATCTCCTCTGCAATAAAGAGAAAAATTGTTTAATATAAATTCAAAAAAAGGTGAGCTGGTTAAACTAATTTTAGCTAATCGCCTTTTTAAATAAATGAGGAGTTTGCTATCAAAAGTTCCTCAACTTTGACCGAAACTGATTCAATGGTTAGTTTTCGTAGTTTCCCAAATCTGTACTTAATAATAACTTCACTTTTTAAACAGATAGGTCGGTTTATTTTAAAAAGTACATTTTTGATAGTGCTGAGCTTTTAAGAACATTTTCCGATCTTATTTCTCAATAAATAAACTGTTTATTTCTCACACACAAACTGCTTTCGTTAAAGAGGGAACCCATCAAAGTTCTTATTGCTTTATGAACTGACGGTATTTTCTCAAAAAAATGAAAAAGATTGACTTTAAAACGAACTGAACATCTCCAAACGATGAAAACCATAAATAAAAATGTAACTCAAAGTCTACAATCCAATACTACGCATCTCTGCTAATAATAGTCCGATTTGGATTTTTTTTTTTGTTTTATTTCGTTCAGAATTTAATTATTTTTTAATTGATTGTAAATAGTTGCAGCTAACTATTAATGATGTTTCGGTTATTGCGAAGCCATCATACACGGAGGATTTCCAATTTGGTAAAAAAGTCATCGGTAGTCAAAACATGACAAAATCAAAAACCTTTCATGCGTTTTTTGGATACACGTAGCATTGAAACGTAAAGAATTTTCGAAAACTGAGTACTAAAAATTTAACACGTTTTTAATACCATATTCCCCTCGGCCGTAAATAAATTATAAACAAGAAATGTATAAATATAGGTTTATTATATTAACTAATTATGGCTGATGCATGTTAAATGATTTAATGGTATGGACATTGTTCTTTATCGCAATTCTGATACCAATGATTTAATATTAAAGAACTATGATATAACCATTTAAAAACAATAACAATGAGATAACATCCTCTGGTCAGATATCAGAGGAATTATGTGATATAGATCTCACAGATAATAAATGACGTGGATTAGTTGTTCGTAATTTAAGTAAAATTACGAACAAAATTACGTACAAGAAATATATATATATATATATATATAAATATATATATATATATATATATATCATAATCGCTTAAATTAAGATGTATAATTTATAGTTGACAGATAGTAACTTCCTTCTGCGGGGTTACTGATGTCTTGAGAAGAAGCATTGCCGAATATATCAGCGAATATTCAAGAGAGGATCAGTAAAGATTCCAGAAGATGGAGGATTATCCTCCGGCAGTGGGGAGAGGGATAAATTAGAAAAATTTAACCGGCGATGGATGACAACCCCAAATGCGGCTACTCCTAAGTTCTTTCAAACCGTCGCGGAAGGAACGCTCCAAATGAAAGTATTCCTTTTTTTACTATATTATCTTTCCTTAACATTTCTAGATTTATCCCTTAAAATACAAACTAAAGAGCAATTTTCAATGATTTTATAAAAAAATGAAATAAAAAATATGGTATTTACAGAAATTTGGAATAAATATTTGTAGGATCTAATAAAGAGAAGTTATTGATTTTGTCGTTTCAATATAGTACTTATGGGCAAATAAGTTTTAAAAAAATTGAATTTGTTACAGTCTTATTGTTCTTGGGTTTATATTGATATAAATATGAAAAAATCGAAGCCAGATGTAAAGTAAACAACTAGGCTATACTTGCCTACACAATGGGACTTATTCCACTCGATAGTAGTAATCAAAACGTAAATTATGTTAACAAAATCAACAAAACAAAAACAGGTACTTAATGTTATTTATTTCTTTTTTATGTTTTATTAAATGTATTGAGTTTTATTCAATTAAACTGTTGTATTCAATTAAACGATATTTGATATAAATAAAAAGTAATGTTTTTACTAAAAGATATACCGGTTTAATAAGAAATAACGTTTTTTTTATTAAACGATGTATCGGTTTACAAAAAATACTGTTATTGATGCTAAAAATGTTATTATTATTGTAATAAATAAATTTAAATGGTTTCTTCGACAGAAGGATGACCTGTGGCTCACATGCCAAAATGAAACGAAAGACTTTCAACAAGCGACTGAAAATACTATTATCACTTTTTTCTTAATTAAAATTGAAAATCAGACAAAAACTTAATACGTACACTTACCTGCTCAAACCCATTTGGAAATACGTCTCACAGATTTACAGTTCAGCAAAAAAGACTCACTTACTAAAACTACAATCTTTTCAATCTAAAATTTTAAGACGAATAACTACAGCCCCCTGGTACGTCAACAAGAAAACTTTACATACTGGCCTAAGACAACCAACTACTGACCGACATATACCTACTCTCTACTCCCGATTTCATATTAAATTACACGGACTTCAAAATTTATTAACGACATGGTCTCGTTTAACAGACAAGAGAAGAGATGTTGCTGGCTGGATAATATTCTTCATCATGCCATTTGGTAGCGTAACAACAGATCTGCTAATTGTCACTATCATGACAGGTGCGGATGGAGATTTGAAGATAAAAAAAATTTGGTTACTTTTTTTCTTTTAATGTTCAACTTTCATTTATTTTAAAGTTTGTTTTTCATAATTTTTCTTATTTTCATTCAATATTAAAATAATTTTAAAAATTAACGATACTGTTAAATTCTCCAAAACATATTTTCAATTTCGCAACTTTAGTAAGTATGAAGTGATGAGAAGTATTGAAAATCTGATTTTGAAAAATCAGTGGTTTTGGATATTAATTGAATCACAACGTAATGCGGAGAGAGAATTAAAGTTATATGAAGTATAATAAAAGATAATTATAAAGCAATATTGACATATTTAAGTAATTGGTATAAATATCAGCCCTAGAAAAATACAACCCTCCGAAATACACTGTTTAGCCAGTGTTGTTTGTGTATTATCTGCAAGAATTGGTGGGCAATTTTGCGTTACTATATTTTAATATTCCTACACTTTTTAAAAAAAGTATATTTTAATTAACTTCTCGTTTAAAATTGACAGGTTTTAACGCAATCAATTGGAATGTTAAGTGTGTTTATGTTTTGGTTCCCTGAAGCTATTAAAAACAAAAATAAGGTTGTGTGCGGGTAATTTGTTCTCGTCTCGTGATTTCCGTGATGATTTGCCTTCAAGGGCATTTACATATTTTTTCTCTGTCATTCTAAATCATTTGTTCATTTTAGATTTCGTTTCTGTGAGTGGTTATTATTATATAATCATTTTTGTTTTTTTAAAAAACCCAAACCGATTTCCTCAAGTCACTCACAATAAAAAATTCCGAACAGCCAAAGGTTTAACTGATTTAGTCAACCTAAAGAAAAACACTAAAGCACTTCCTAATGATAAATAGTGGGATGATTAGTACAATGATACTGAAGTATGTTCAAGATTTGGTTTAGTATCTGACTAGGCTCTCCCTTGAGGAGTCCACAGTATAATTTAAGGGATGAATTAAGAAAATAAAAAAATTATGACAAATCTTAAAAAAAAAGATGATATTAGGATGAGATATTGATGGGATAAGAAAGTGGATCCCGAAACGTCATAAAAATAAAGACAAATTGTTGGGAGACTAAATGATGTTATTAAATCTTACTTATATACTTCATTTTATGTTTCAATTATTTTTGTTAATTGATTAAAGTTAGAAGGTAACTTTACGTATACCTCTAAGGCTGAAAAGCTCACATTTCTGCTCTTTTTTATTATTCTAAAGAGACTCATCCCGTAATAAATAAAGTGTTGTTATTATTACCAATTTTGCTATTTACACTATAAATTACCTATTGGAAGATTCGGATTGATAGAAGAAGAAGCTGCTCCCGACAGCCAGATGCCGAAGTTAGTAGTTAAAGCTTCGACAGTACTGTCACTCAATATTATCACTACCTTTCCTGGACCCTGGCCGAGGTTTCGAAGTGTTGAGCTTATTGCACCTGCGTTTTGAAGCACTTGGCGGAAGGTGGACTGCTTCTTGGTCCTTGCGTCGTCCTATAACAGACAAAGGTGACAAGTTGCTTTATGGTTAACAGCAAGTTTACAAAAAATGTTAGAAGTGAACTAGGGGACATTTATGTATAAAATATATTCGATTAAAGCTCAGCATAAATGGATAGATAGAAATACTTTATTGGAAGTAGTGCAGCCCTACTATATAGGGTTGCTTTTTACACAGCATACTGATCAATTCATATGGTCATAGCTCTTACATCAGATTATTCCATTATTACATTAACATATCATATTAACATATCACCTATACTAGGTAAGGAAAGTATTGCAATCGGGTCAAATTTCCAATGTGCGGTTTTCGACGGATCTATACGTTTCAGAGCCCCCTGAGTTCGGAAAACAGTTTTAGCCATTGGTCTGTCTGTCTGTGCCAAGATTTTCTCGGAAACTACTAAACCGATTTTGTTGCTTCTTTTTTTATTTTGTAGGGTTTTGACTACTGATGCCTGTGACAGAAATTCGGTGGTCCATGCGCAACAGCTTGCCCGCAATAAATGAAAAACTTGTTTTTCTATAGACTGTAGCGCGAAAACAGCACTTTTTCATGAAACGGCATTTTGATGAAACTTTTCTATGATGTTCTAATCATTGTCCTTTCAATTTTCGCCAATAGACTAAATTCCCAAAAAAATTCAGGGGAAAAGTTATAAAGAAAAGAAAAATGGTATGGGGCCTAACTCCCTAGGTATGTATTATACAGTAAAATTTATAATAAAACTTTTGAAAGGTAATTAAATTACCATCAAAACAAAAAAAAAATCATCGGAATCGAACCAGTATTAGCAATGATACAGCTTATTCTATTTTTTACAAATTTTTCAACTTATTACTTTCCTACCTATACTAGGTAAGGAAAGTATTGCAATCGAGTAAAATTTCCGATATGCGGTTTTCGACGACGTTTCAGAGCCCCCTGAGTCCGGCAGACACATTTTTAGCCATTGGTCTGTCTGTCTATCTGTCTGCGCCAAGATTTTCTCGGGAACTACTGAACCGATTTTGTTAGTTCTTTTTTTATTTTGTAGAGTTTTGACTACTGATGCCTGTGACAGAAATTCGGTGCTCCTTGCGCAGTAGCTTACGCGCAATAAATGAAAAACATGTTTTTTTATGAACTGTAGCGCGAAAACGGCTCAAACGATTTTGATGAAACTTTCCTATAATGTTCTAATAATTGTCCTTTCAATTTTCGTATATGGATTCAATTTTTGAGAAAATTCATGCAAAAAGTTATTCAGGATTCATATCCTGGTGTCAGAATGAGAGAAAAAAGATGACTAACTGAAAGTAAGAAAATCTGTTGCCCGCATCACACAAGCTTCACTATTTCCTCTACTTTTAACAGAAATTATTGTTTTACAATACTAAGCTATGGCAAAAAGTTTTTGATCAGCATTATTAGAGATTATTGAAATTTTTACACTGATTTACCTTAAGCCGGTTCACATTGCTTTAGTTTATCAAATAAATCGTACTCAAATCTTTTCTTTGATCAATTTTCAGGAAAATAAATCTAGTGCAATTTTTTTTGTTTCTTCAAGAACATATGTAAAGATATAAAAATTTTTCTGAAATAGGTAGGAAAACCGTGTGAGTAGACACATCAGATGTTTTTATCCTTTTTCACACCACTAGTCCATATACCATATCATTAACAATACCTCATTAAACAATTACCATTATGCAATATATATATTTTATGAAAAAAAAAGTATTCGAATGCTAGAAATACAAGACTAAATCCCACATATATATCAACGCAATTCCTTGAATATAGACCAAAAAATAAGACAAAGTTAAAAAATAAAATAAATTGATTAATGAGAAAGGACATTCTAGATTCATAGTCAATTGCATAGTACAAGTGATAGTGAATGATCCGCAGGGAGTTCAGAATAATACTCTCGGCCAATATCGCAATCTCCCCAACATCAACACCTAGTTCCTCGAGGAAGCTCCTCGTTCTTTTTGGGCCCAAACTACAGGCCTCTTACGGTAAACTCTATCTCTTCGAAGGTCTCACGGAACTTCTCTTTAAGGAAAGGGATACATTTATCGTATATGTTTTTCTTTTCCCTTTCTATTTCACCCGCCTGATCGAGGTCATTGCTCCCAAAGTGGACAGTAGGATCCAAGATCAGAGCAGTCTTTCCTGTCCTGGGAAATGCAACAATGTCCGCATACCTGGTTGAGCCTTCACTGTCGATGCAATAAACCTCGTCGAAGCAGGTGAATTCTGTATTTATGCAGGTTTTAATAAGTGCCAATTCTTATATAATTCTCAATCAAATGTTATTAAGTCTTATTAATATAGAATTTAATTTATTATAGACACAATACATATATATTTTTACGAATTTTTATAGGTATACATTGAATTTAAGAAATCAGCTTATTATTAAACATTCCATAATTCAGAATAAAAATAGATGAACTAATTATATAAATAATCAGTTAAATAATTTATCGTGACTATTTTTTCTGAACACTGCACACTGTCTGTTTGATTTTATTAAGAAAACTGGAGGCGACTCTTATGCAATCTTATTCAGTAACAACTGTTCTCAATATCATTAGTATAATCTTATATAATGATGGCTAAACAAGCAACCTTTACTGTAATTTATCGGGATTACAATATAAAAAATTACAGTAATCTTTCTATAGTAATAAGCCTATAGGTAACTGCAAGACTCTTACAAGACTCTTGTGCAAGACCAAGACCAAGACCATTTGGGCTACACTATATGAGTTGAGAGGCCCAGTAGCTTCTACAGTATACACTGGTATTGAGCCATTGCTGGAGATGCCTCTAACAGTTACTTTATTAAATTTATAGAGACTTTTCAACTCAACTGCTTGTGCTTGATACTTCCGAATTTTTCTCCACCGACTGATTTAATGTTGCCAACGTTTGGCAAAGTGATTTCTATAATCTCAGCCACCTTATTTCAGCCATATTACCGTAAATTAATACAATGTCAATTATTTTATTATTATTAGAGAATTATTTGTTTAAGTTTAGAGTGCTAGCAATAGGTAGTTTCTCTACAGGCGTTTTCACGTGATTATATCCCTCTGTACACATTTACTTGATGTATTTATTCTAATACAGTTGTAAATATCATAAATAAATTTGAAAAAATATATTTTTAAGGATTTTTTTTGCAGTTTTTCTTCTCTTTTGAACGTTAATAGAGACCAACTACTTGGCAGCTTCTCTACTATATATAAATCGGTTCAAATACTTCTCACGGCCAAACAGAGGAGCCGTAAAATGTCCAAGGTAAAAGCTATGGTTGCTCTTCTATAGTTTCTATATCCCATGATGTATTTTACTTATAATTAGTGTTCCCCAAAAGCAACTAAGTCTTGGTCTAGGTCTTGATCTTGCGCAAGAGTCTCCCAATAGTCTTGCAACCTTTCTCTATTAGCTTAGTACTACAGAGATATTACTGTAATTTTTTAGATAAGGGAAAACTAAGTAAGCGCGAATGACAAATTAGAAGAATTAAATGGAAAAAATATATTGGTTTTACCAATTCATTACATATAGTATCTAAAATTGTCAAGCATTACTAACTATTTTGTCTTAATTTTTATTCAAAAATATATTTTTTTTATCAGTCTTGGACTTGGTCTTGCAACAGTGAGGCAGTCTTAGTCTTAATCTTGCAAAGTGCAAGACCAAGACCGATTTTGAGCAACACTACTTTTAACGTGACAGGTGTGACTAATGCGCGATGAAAATTCGAATAATGCAGCCAACACCTAATTTTTAATATTCTGATTCATAGTTACTAACAGGTTAAGCTACCTCCATAAAATGGTTCAACCTTTTCAACTTCATTAGAAGAACAAAACGATTTGAGACAGAGTTGGAGGTATAATATACAACCATTGGTAGTATTGTCTTAGGGGTTGGCAAAAAGGACCAATAGGCCCGCTTGCTGGATAAGTCCCCCCACCAGTACCAGTACCAGCACCAGTAATAATAAGTTACGAAAGTCTGAGAAAATAAAATCGATTGGAATTGTATAAAAAATAATGTGTACAAAACATCTATTTCGACTTTTAGAGATCCTCACTGGCTCTTCTTGTAGCTGTTCTTGAACAAGAATTTGTTGTCACGAAAAAGTGTTTTCTGTCCCCAATAGAAAACAATTAAAACTACTCACATTCTGTTTTTATAAAAGAAGGTTGGATGGTCACTCATAATAATATATGAAAAAGTACATATTCATGTGTGTGTTTGAACTAAGTAAATTGTTCTGCATCTCTTTTTCTTTTCTTTTATGAGAAACACTTTTCTTTCATCCTTTATCGCCTCAGATTTTTTTTATTCAGATTATTAGACTGTTCGGATTAATGATATTGCACTGTCAATTTGTTTTCCGAGATTGTTGTATCGATTTAGTTTAACAATTTCTGTATATCTGTACTCCGGAGGTAAAGGATGTCATGTCACATTTTTATATTTGTTCAAAGAGCCAATTTTCATAACTTGGAGCTATTAAAATTTGTTTCTTAGTTACTAAATTATTTTATTTAAAAAAAAAATGGATGTGATGTTCATTACTTCTATATCTACCTTTATAAATTTTGTATGCGAAATTTTTGCAACAGCAATCAAGGAACTAAGAACGATTTATTTTCGTTTATTATCGCACTTTATTTTCATTAAAATTTATGAGCTCTGGAAGTATTTAAAAGACGAAGGATGCCGTACAATTAAATAAGCTTACTCAATTACTTACCAAATAGACTCGATCCCCATGCCTCTTACAGGAGTCGATCATATCCTGCATGATGGGATGATCGGGAAGTGGCATCGGTCCACCGCTGAGTATTCTTGCGGCCATCTCTTATTGACGATCGGGAGCAAACTGATCTAGAAGTGTTACCGGCAGTGCCCCTACCCTCAGAGCTACTGTCAACTCTCACACTCTGGCTCAATTCTTGATACCTTATCTTCTACTGTTTGTCCGATTTTTAAACAGTTAACAATATTTCTGGAAAACGTTTGTCATATCTTTTTTCTCTTAGATAATGGCTCATAATGGATTGATGATAATGCGTGGTATCTTTTGTTGAAGGAGCTCTCTTGATTTTATGAAAGAAAACGCGTGAAGCCTGATAAAATTTGGAGATTGGTGCAACATTAATTTCAACGGTAAAACGCTGCAAATTATTACACAACGGTTTATTATTTCCAGACAATTATACGTCTAAAGTAACATTACCTTCATAGTCATAAAGAAAAATAAATAAAAGGTGATTCCAATTGTACTAAAATTTTTTTTTAATCATTGGTAATATGCTAAAAAAATAGCATTACATCAGTAACACATTCAAAATTTAAAAACCAAACAAAGGATATAACATTTGGAGTAGGACCATATCTTTGCTCCTAATTGTCCGATTTTAACGATTTTTTTTTTGATTTTTCAGAAAATTCCATAAACTTTTAAAAACAATATAATATATATAAAAAAGTGTAAACTTTTTGAGTAATTCGGAATTTAATTTTACCATCCCTCGTAACTTTTTTTTCTGCTTCTATTCGTTGAAGTATTTTTTTGTAGATAAATTTAAAGGACATCGGGAAAATGACTTTGGCGAAGTTTCATTGAAATCGGTACATTCGTTTAGGAGCTACAGTCTATAGCAAAGCAGGTTTTTCAGACGCCATTTTGAAAGTAAAAGGCGGATGTCGATGAAGGAGGATCATCCTCGAGTGACCACTGATTTCATACCCAAATTTGAATAAAATCGGTCCAGTAGTTTCGGAGAAAATGCGCGGACGGCGGACGGACAAAAAAATTTTTATTCGTTTTTCGAATTCTACGCATCCTGAAACGTGAAACCTCAAATTTTGAAGGGGGGTTAAGTTTTTGAATTTTTTGGTCGATCACAGTGGTTGATTATTGAAAATAATAAACCAATAACCTTACCATAATACAATATTTCTGTACATGACGAGAATATTACAAAGGAAATAAGTCTCCCGTGACAAGAGTCCGTTGCTAACTCTGTAACATCTAAGTCCTATTCCAACCACATTGCCCACTAACATTAATCCGATTTTCATGAAATTTTGTAAGGTGGTTTCTAGATGACCTCACATTAATATTATAAAAATATTGCCAATATTTTGAAAAAATACTTTCGTTTCCAGAAGTACAAAGATATTGTCCTTAATACGCCCATATTTTCAAAACTATTCGTTCAATTTGGCCCATATTTGAAGGAAATTTGGGGAAAAGCGTACAATTCCAGTTTCAATTCGATCAAATTCCGTTTAATAATTAAAATTAACGAACCTAAATCTTAAGAATATATAGCTGCGAAATTTAGTAGCCAATTAACAAATGGGATGGTAAATTTATTCTAGTATTCTAACACAAGTTAAAATACGTAACATAAGTGAGACACCACCTTACAAGGAAAGCTTACATTAAAAGGATCACCGATGTTTACTAATTCTTTTTCGGTGATACTGCTACGAAAAATATTAGAGACATTTCCCAGTTTTCGTTCCATAGGAGCCGATTGTAAAAATATTTTGTATAATTCCAAAAAAAAATTATGTTGTTTATTTTTATCCAGATTTTTTGCATATTATATAGCAATCGATTTGAGGAGTTGCCACTGTGAATGTATGATTGATACCAGTAAATACAGTATTGAAGAAGCCAGAAATGATGATTATATAAAATATGAAATCTGAAAATGTTGGATTGGTGCTACAAAAAGGCTAGGTAGAGTAAGAGGTGCTAGAGTGTTTGAAATTAAATTATGCTTAATATCAGAAGGCTTTAGTTTTCAAAAAGTAGAAAATATTAATCTAATTGTATTAGAAATGATCCAAAACATAACATTCTTCAATCAAATATAAACAAATATAAAATTAGGCATATTAAACCAACATTATTTATTTGTTATTGTTTTATTAATTTAATGTTTATTTAGGTTATATAATATGTATCATTGACAAAATTTTATTTTGTGTTTTCGAAGTTTATTGTTTTTATTTTATTTCGCTTTCATTGCGTATATAATTTCAACGTTTGATGAATTGCTTTGTACGATTCATCTTTGGGAACCTAAGGGACGATTTATCTGCGTCTCGTTTTTATGAAGTTGCTTTATCCTTCCTACCGTACTTCCGTCCTAAGGACTTCCTAGTTTCCTTTCTCTTTCAAGTCATCCAATCCCACTATCCTTCAAACAGCTTCGAACTCCTTCAATTCAAATCCTCTGTCTACTCCCACAAAACCCGTTCCGGGTCTTCGGATTTGTATATAAGGCCCCACCGCACCGCTCCCTTCGACAGATCTTTCCTTATCCGATCCTCGTCCTCTTGGAATTCCATCCCTCGCTGCATCCGTCGCTCCAATACCCTTTCCACCTTTCGATCTCGCCTATTCCATAAAATTGTAAATAGATGTTGTATGTATGTATATAAATTATAACCTCGTTTAATTAACGGCAATATGATTCACAGGAACGTATAGGCCATTATTGGACACCCTGCGAATACTTCCACGAGGATGTTGTATGCCCTCAGAAGATACCGAAGTTTGGGATTAATCCGTTTTCAAAAGATGCCCATTTCCAACCTACCTTCGATTATTCGGCTGAAGTTGCTGAATGTGCCGAGAGATTGGGGGTTGATCAGGGTCATCGAAATGTGAGAGGTCTACTTTAGCCGCTGCGAGAAAATTCATTGAGGAATGGGCCAACTGTAGGTGGCAGGGTATTGATGTTCGCCATTTTAAAGAGATCCCGAAAGCGAATAAATACATCTACGAAAAGCAAGTGCTTTCTGGGTCTGAATGGTCGATGCCCTAAAACTAAACACCAATTATGTACCCCAGCATTGCCTAAGGAATGGGCAACAGCCATTATCTGCCCAATACATAAGAAAGGAGATCAAACAGAATGCTCTAACTATCGAGGAATCTCACTCCTTTCGTGTGCTTACAAGCTGCTCTCTAACATTATTTTTGAGAGGATCCTCCCGTATTCTGAAAAGGAACTGGGGAAATATCAGGCTGGATTTCGAAGAGGACGCACAACCATTGATCAACTGTTCTCTCTGAGGATGATCCTAGAAAAGACTATGGAGCGTAAGGTAGTCACCCACCATTTATTCCTGGACTTTAAAGCAGCATACGACAGCGTTGATAGAACACAACTATACTGTGCCTTGGAGGAGCTAAGCATCCCTCAGAAGCTCGAACGCCTAATCAAGATGAACATGGACAGCTCGAGATGTAGAATACGCTTCGGTTCTGATGCCTCCGAAGAGTTAAAAGTGAGCAGTGGGGTTCGGCAAGGGGATGCCCTCGCCTATCTATTGTTCAACTTGGCAGAGGAGAAAGCTGTAAGAGACTCCGGTATTCAGACCAACGATATAATCTCCAATCACCTGACACAGCTTCTTGGTTTTGCTGATGATATTGACATAATAGGTAGGTCTGAACGGGCTCTCAGAGAAGCGTTTATAAGCCTTGAAGCAGCTGCAAGACCACTTGGTCTAGAAGTCAACGAGAGGAAAACTAAGTATATGAGAGTTTTGGTGAGGTGGATCTGAACTCTCCATTTGATGTAATAGCAAAAATGACATGGCTCAAGAAATACAGAGAAGGATCACGGCTGCCAATAGATGTGTCTTTGGACTTGGCCGACACTTAAGAAGTAGGTACCTCTCAAAGAAGACCAAGCTGATCATATACAAGACCCTTATTCGGCCTGTTTTGACATATGGCTCAGAGGCTTGGACGATGACTAAAAACGATGAGATGAAACTGAGTGTGTTTGAGCGAGGAGTCCTCAGAAGGATTTATGGTCCAGTAAAGGAGGGTGATGTCTGGAGGAAAAGAAAAAACAGGGAGCTCAGTTCTCTCTATACAGACATCGACATAGTCACGTATATTAAACTGGCCAGACTAAAGTGGGCAGGGAATGTGGCCAGAATGAGCACCGTTGAAATACCAAAGAAAACAATGATGGAGGAGCTGCATCTCGTAAGACGGGTAGGAAGGCCGAGGACGAGATGGTTGGACAACGTGGCCTATGATGCGAGAACCCTGATTGGTGTACGGAACTGGAGAGCTGCAGCAGAAGACAGAGCCAACTGGCGGAGGCTCTTGGAGGAGGCCCAGTCTCGGTAACGGGATGTCGTGCCACATATGATGCACCCCTGCATAGAGTCTCAGGTGTCAGCGGACAGGTAAATGCCGTAAATGCGGCAGAGTCTGAAACACCAGCCCATGTGCTGGGAAAATACTCCAACAACTCCCTCTTCATAACAAGTCGTCGCCATAGGGTCAGGTCCGAGTTAATGAGACTCCTTAGGGAAAAGAAACTCATCTGCTTTGATGAGGTCTATTGCATCAATAGTGAAGGCCCTACGAGATATGCGGATATTGTCGCATTCCCCAAGAAAGAAAGGACAGCGCTGATCTTGGACCCAACTCTCCGCTTTGAGAACAATGACCTCGATCAGGTTGATGAAGTGGAAAGGGAAAAGAAGAACACGTATGATAAATGTATCCCTTTCCTAAAAGAGAAATTCCGTGAAACCTTCGGAGAGAGAGTTCACCGTGAGAGGCCTCTGGTTTGGGTCTCGCGGAACAATTCCAAAAAGAACAAGGAGCTTCCTCGAGGAACTAGGACGTAGCGAGGTTGGCTGAAAATATATATATATAGAGGTTGGCCTGGGAATCATTCACCACAATGTAGGATGAGAGTGTTAGTTCATGTTTTTATTTAATGAAAAATGTCTATTATATATGTTTTATATTGAATTGTATTTAATTCTTGATCTATACACTTTTGATTTTTGTTATTGTTCTATTCTAATTTGAAGCATTTTATTATTTTTTAAAAGAGAAGTATATAAAGAGAGAGAAAGGAAAAAATGTATATATATATATATATATATATATATATATATATATATATATATATATATATATATATATATAGATATATATATATATATATATATATATATATATATATATATATATGTATGTATATATATATATATATATATATATATATATATATATATATATACATACATATATATATATATATATACATACATATATTAATTGTCCTCATATATACTAACCAATTCTGTATTTATATATAAGTTTATTGTCTGTATTTATTTATTGTCCTAGAGATTGACTAGTACATGCAGTATATGCTACATACTAGTATATGCTGTGTGCATAGCAACCCAATATAATGAGCTAAAAGGTTTTATATTTTATATGAAAATAAAATGTTTCTCTCTTTCATTTCATTTGATGAAGTTTGAAGACAACTTACACTTTTTGTATTTATTATGTCTATTAGTTTTAATTTTTTGTGATAACTCTCTGAGCTTCCAAATCCCATATTTCTGTATCTGTATAGTATTTTAAAGGGTCTTTTCTCAGAAGAAATAAAGTTTTATTGTTATATTTTTGGGGCAACTCTTGGCAGTTGTTTCTATACCATGCCAATAAAAGTTAATAATTAAAGTTCCTATAATTGTTTTTTAATGCAAAATATATTAAAAATATTGAATTTGGTATTAAATCAGTTAATGTGTCATAAATTACAAAAACCAAAACTCGCTTCTAGGAAAGTAAGCCAAGTCAATTTTTTTAGTCGTTGGCTGTATTCATAATGTCTCAGAATTTTCTCCAAATTCGACGGTAACTCAAATGTTGGAAAGCCAAATTTCTGTGATTAATTATTTAAATAAGAGAACACACTTTATAGAGGCTGGGTTTGCTTGCCCCAGGAAGGTCTTCCGACCCCAAGGTCGATCCACGGCTGATGAAAAATTAGTAGCCACCAGCCGGATACGAATCTGGATCTTTAGAGCTCTGGAAGTCAGTGCTCATCCACTGAGCTGCCCCGTTCCTAAATTAGGAATTAAAATAACTGAAAATTCACATTATGGTTTAAACGAGGATTTCTCGAGTAGATATTTAATAAATAGATGTTCGGATATTACGTACTTATACTTACTTCTAAACTGTATACCTAGAAGAGAATGAAGATACGTCTACCCTTTTTAATTATTTCCTTCCATTTTATATTTAACTTACGTTTTATCTCGTTTTATCTAATTTATATTTCACGCAAGCCTCAAAATGTATGGGCATTGTTTCAGTGTTAAAAAGAAAGGATGACTATTATTCTAGAAGGCATAGCTCAATTTCGTAAACATGACTCTCACTACTAAAATTTTTAATGATTTTTTTTTTGTTCACAAATTTCTTATTGATTAATAAAAAAACTATAATGGAAATAGGATGAAACCCCATTTCATCACGATTTGAAAATGTTATACTATAACTTAAAGCGAAGGAATTATTGAAGTGAAGGTCATTTGACTGTTAGTTGAAGATATATCTTTAGAAGATATTGAAGTTATCATTCCTTATCACTTTACTTAGTTTATAAATGATGAGTCATGATTCTGAAACAGAATGATAAGGAACGAAAAAATAATTAGCTCTTTTTGAGGTGTACTTGCATCACTACTGAGACTTTCGCAATACAAAGAGCAAACGTTATATAATGGTCATTTTAGACAGAATCAAGGATTAAAGAGGTGTGGCCATTATATAACGAGAATGATACTGTAAAAAAAAAATATTTTTTTTTATTTCATATTTATTTATTAGGAGTGGTGAGTATTGAAGGTGATTGTATGTAAATATTTATGAAATCAAAATAAAATGTTACAATATTAGACTCGTTATTTAATAGCTACTTCTCATAATTAAGCTTGTTTATTTATTATAAATAAACGTATAATAAATAAATAACGTATAAATTCAACAAAAAAAAAAAATCTGGTGCGGGCAACAAACAACTTTCATTTAACCCTTTACTTTGAATAGAAATTATTGTCTGGCAATTTTGGGGTAATATAATATTTTTGAAGTGCATTTTAAAAGGATCTAGAGCTTAAAGCTTATAGATAATGAATCATTAAGATTATTAAAATTACAAAACGTCTATTTATTATATCGACGGTAGGCAATGAAAATATAGTTTTATAAACCACATAATTTCAGTATTTCAGCCTTTCAGTTGACAAAATGACTCTGATTTCAACATTTTTGAGTAATGTCATTTTAGTGGTATTTCTAGTTGGAAAAGTTATCTATAAACACAGTGAGTAAGTTGATTCCAGAGTAGGTGCTTGCAATGATGAAATATAGAACTGTGAATAAAGGTATACATTTTCCCACTAGAAACATCACTAGTATGTTGAAATTGGAGTTAGTCGTTCTGACAACCGAAAGGTTCATATATGCCTAGAGAAATTTGAAAGTACATCTGAATTTTTAACCTATAAATGATTATGGATCGTAGGACTATTAGTTCTTAAACTGTTATTTTCCATTGTAAATTTTACTAAAATGAAATTCCGAGATTTTCATTCGCTGCCATGGAAAGGTCAAAAGTTGTCACACTACTTGTAAGTGGATAATGTTGGGATTTTCCAAAGGGAAAATTCATCAAATTATTCACTAATTTAATTTCCTAAAAGGTTACTTGATGATTTTTATTACTAAACGGCCAATATATACCTAATTATTTAAATATAATATCAGATCTAGAGTTATTAAACTACAGTAAATATATTTAAGGTTATAAACATATTCATGAAATATTTTTATATTTTACTTCTTCATTCACACAAGTACATTGAAATAGTATTATTAACAATGGCATTGGCATGATTCAGTGGATTTTAAATACCGATTTTCGTCACTCTCTGTTACTGTCTACGATTTTCTAATCAGATATTGTTTTTATTTATTTTTTAATTTAAGATAATTTTTAAATTTTCCTCTTTCCAACGATATATTATACTAATACCTTCTGATTATTAATGCCGGATATTCATTTTCGGCCTGGATATGTGTTTTTCTTTTTTTCTCCCATATTCAATTATCAAATTCTTTCAAAAGTTATATTTAGCATTTTTTAAAAAATTCCTAACAATCAGAAATAGTTATTATTTATAATAAACTAAATTACAGGTACTTTAGAGGAAGACATGATAATGTTGGGATTTCACAATGGGAAAATTCATCAAATTATTCACTAATTTAATTTTCTAAAAAGTTACATGACGATTTTTCGGAATAAACGGACGTCGATACCTAATTATTTACATATAGTATCAGATCTAGAATTATTATTCTACAGTAAATGTATTTAGGGTTATAAACATATGCTTTATACAACCATGAAATGATTTGATATTTCACTTCTTTAACACAAATACAATGAAAAAGTTGTTTAAACAATGGCATTGCCTTGATTAGGTGGATTTTAAACACTTTTTTCAAACTTAAAAATATTTCAAAAGTTTACATTTAGTTAGTTAATTTCATTTGATTTCCTTGAAAACCTGTGATTAACGTCAAATAATATCAGTTTTCAAAAATTATTATTTATAATATATTAGATATTATTTTTTCTAAAATTCTCAGCTTTCCAACGGTATATTATACGCATACCTTCTTACAAGTATATCCGGAGATTCATTTTCGACTGGGATAAGAATTTTTATTTTTTTTTCTCCTTTATTCAATTATCAAATTCTTTCAAAAGTTATATTTACCATTTATTCGTTACTATTAATAATGAGAGATGATTAATTATTTAAAATAAACCATATTAAAGGTACTTTGGATGAAGTATACGAATATATCGTATTATATAATATAATACGAACTATACGTATACGAACATTGGCTTTTAAGTCCGGTAAAATGACATCAATGGGGACGAGAGCTGATTGATATTAAGGACCACTTAATTATACAATGATACACTGAGTTTAATCAAATTCGTTAGAGCTGTTTTTGAGAGAATTTTAAAAATGAGTTTCAGCGTTCATATAAAGTGGCACTTCCGGTTAGCCGATTATAAGAAAAAATTTGGTCTCACATCTAAGGCATGTTCCTATCAGATCAGTTTCGTACGACTTTTTGTTTTTGAGCTAGACTGCTAACATACACAAACACAGACCATTTTTCCGGACTTGGTTGTTTGGAATCAGGATACCTGATAAAAGTGTATTTCCGTTGAAAACTCAGATTCGAAAATTTTCACGATCGCAATACTTCTCCTAACTATATATTACATATATAGGTAAGTGATTGTAAAAATTATACAGGAAGATATTATCATTTCTATGGAATTTATATTGCATTTATCACTTATTAAAAGAGATACCATATATATCAGTTCTCTCTACATACAAAAAATCTCTTTAGTACATTATTCCAAATTCTAGCAGAAAAATACCACATTTAATAATTAAATATAAATTATTAATTTCAGTTGGATATTCATTCGGAGGTGGTAGTTTGATTTTACCTAGGTTTGTTATTCAACCTAGACATTTCGTCATAGTTATTTTGAAATAGAAAAGGAAAGCACAATAAAACGTAAAGTAAAAATACTAAAAATATAAGGCTCAAATTTATTTTGATCTTATATTAAGCTGGTTAACAAGTTGAATATATATTACGGTTACAAATCGGCAATAAGAATAATTTTAAATATACAATAATATAAATTGGCAATTAGGCGTGATGAGTAATATAGATATTTAAAGGAATTAAAAATTTTCCGAACTGTATTCGTAGTTTCGTTCCGTTTATTTTATGTTGATAAAAAATAATACAATCTAAACTACAGGATTCATGTAAATTACAGTTAAAAAATTTGAACAACGAGTTGTACAATTAAATGAATAGTTGTATATTTGTAAAATGGGGGTCGGTCAGCCGTTAGGCAGACAGAGGGTATATTTCTAGTATATTTATATAATTTAAATTTCTGAAAAAAGGTATTAAAAATACTTAAAAATAATTCATGTATTTATAAATAATTATATTGAATTATTAAAAAAATTGTGTTACATAATAAAAGCTGTCTTCATTTCATTTATTATATGTTACTTATATTATACAATAATTAATTTGAAATAGCTAATGACAAAAATATCAAAAAATAAGTTTTAATCTATCACCATGTAGATTTATTACTTTACTAATTAAGGAATTAGTAAATTAATGACTGCAAATGGTACCAACCCTTTTTTTTTAATATATTTACATTTGAAGTTGGTAAAGATTATACTTATACAAATTATACTTGAAATTTGATTAACAAAAAAAATATATATATAAGTTTTAACCCAACATTTCTTTGAGCTTATTCCGCTGGACTTTGCCAGTTGGATTCTTGGGGAGGTTTTCGACGAAAAAGATTCCACCTCTCAACTTCTTCTCATCGATGATTTTCCCTGAAAAAAAATTAATACTATTTTATAACTCTTGATAATTAATTTTTTTTTTAATTTCATACCATTTCTTATTATTATGTCTTTTCGATAGATTTGTCCACTTTGTGTATTCTGCTAATTATCTTCCACCATCCCTACTATACAACACTACTGACTGTGAAACAAAAATATAATAATAATATGTGTCAATCTATTAAAAATTATTTCGATATTTGCTTTCATACAACCAAAGGTAGAGAAGCTTTGTAATCGTGCTGCAGGTTAAAAACAAATATGTCCTCTGAATCGAATATTTGCACACGCGTTATACGTTTTGGTTGTGAAGTAGTGCTGTTCAAATCGAAGACCAGGACGAGTGTTTGTCTTACGCACTCAGTCTTGGTCTTCACCACTTGCGCACTCAATCCCGCAAGACTCTTGCAGTAACCTTATTGCTATTTATTAAACACGTAATATTAGATCTTGAAAACTCGTAACAGAACAGGTACATTTAGATGTTTTATTAACATAAACATAGTAAAGCCCAACCAAATTATTAAAAATTAACTCGGAAATAAATGAAACGCATTCTAAAAAAAATACCTTGGAATGTAAATAGAATAAAGACAATCTATACAATGTCACCAATTATTTAAATAAAATATCTAGTGTATCCAGTCGTCACATGACTTTCCTACCGATTCAAACATTTTTTTTTTCAATTTTAAATATGTTTATTAACAATAACACAATTGAATTAAACTAATTTTCTGGAAAACCGTTCAGAGAAATCATTAGAGTGCGATTTCTTTGATTAACTAAAGAAATCTAAACGGATATGTAAACAATTATTAAAATCAGAGTATAAAATTCAATACACTGGAACGTTTTTTTAAATAGTTATGTTGGAAATTTGATAATCTTTTGAAAAATGTTACCACTATATACTATAGAGATATTACTGTCGTTTCTCAGAATGCGTAAACCTAACTAAACCTCCAATGAAAAATTACAAGACTGAAATGCAGAAGTATATTGGTTCTACCAATAATTTATTTGTAGTAACTAAAATTGTCTAGTATTGGTAACTATGTAGTTTTGATATTCATTCAGAAAACGCTTTTTTTTACTAGTCTTGGCCTCACAACAATTAATGGTCTTGCAACAATTAGGCGGTATTGGTCCTGGTCTTGAAAAGTGTAAGACCAAGACCGATTTCGGGCAACACTAACGTGAAGTGACAAATTTAGTTATGTCTGTCTATCGTCAAATCCTCTTGATGGGTACATCACCAACTACCGTTAATCCTGTTTCCAGTTAAAACGATTCTGTATGCCGATATATTTTATATTATATTAAAATTACAGTATTTCTTTACTAAAACAGTATCAAAAATTAAATTTCTACCGTGTAAAGAAATGGGAGTAAAATGTATAAATTTTATTAACAATAAAAAAAAATGTTAGTACATTTTCTTAAACTTGAAGACAGATTATTTAGAACCAGCTAGGTTATCAAACGACACAAACAAGTTTTGAAACTACATACATGTCTTTCTGTTGTTGAATAGTGAGGAAACTATACTGAATCTACTTCGCAGACTTTTTTTATGTTTATGGATAAAATATTTACTGTTTTAAAGGCCAGAGAATGTAAAATGATTCAATAGTTTAACTAAATAGACAATGAATAAATTTTAAAGCATTACTCTTAAGAAATTTAATATTTTGTATATAATCACATAAAGCTTGTTATATGTAACAATATGAATATTCTGTGCGAATGCACTACTTAATGTAAATATTTGAATTGTTCTATTTAACCCAACCACTTGGAAGTGAAGAGGTTTCTAGTATTAAAAGAGTTCATTCTGCCATACCTTGAGGTCCAATTTCGGGCAGTCATCTTTTTAATTAGATGAATGCATTATGCATGAAGTTACAAGAACAAGACATTTCAAAGTAGACATTTTATAACAAAAAAAAAAGCTCTATCCACACCGTGATAGACACCGGCAAACAAGATGCCAAAAAGCCGTTTATAATTTAGTAACATTCCGCTAGAAATTATGGGAGAACAAAGCCTGAAAATAACTGACCTGATAAATAACTATGAAGTTCCTGTTCCGTTACATTTGAACCTGGTTTCTTGACGATGAAGGCTGCTGGAAGCTCTCCTTCTCCGATACAAGTCTTACCAACCACACAAGACTCGAGGACACCAGGATGTTTCTGAAGAATCTTTTCCAGTTCAGCTGGAGCGAACTGCAATATGGGCGTCATCGAAAATATTACTATTTAATTGGTCGCTTAGAATCAAATCTACGAAGAATAATTGAATTAGAAAAAGCGAATTTTCAATTCATCTTCACCAATGGGTCAATAACAATTGTTAAAAATCTGGTGCGCGCATCACACATCTTTATTTGGCTTTTTGCATGGTCATATTAGACAATATGCCACCACACAACTTTCAATTACAATGAATCATTACATACCCTTTAACGGACAGATTAAGTATATTTCATATAATGATTTGCCAATGTTTGAGCCAAAATTGTTTCAAAACACTCGCGTATATTAATAGAAAATATTATAATATAAACTTAATAATCGGTCCAGCTGTTTGCTCGAAAAATCATTACATACCTTTTACTAAATTGATTGAACACATTTGATTCGATAATGTGTCAGTGTTTTTAACTTTAATTGTTTCAAAACACTAAACAGGTTCTCACCGAACAACATGAGCCATCAAACTCGATCTTAGATCAATCTTCAATATCGGTCCAGTTGTTTGCTCAAAAATTCGTTAAAAGCCAAAGATCCGATTACAAAATCGAAATCAATGGTTACATGATTAAAACATTAAACTATTTTATTCTCCAAAACACCTAAAAGCAGGACGATCTCACGCACAAATAAGCTGCCCACATATAAAACCCTAATTTATTTATTTAAGTATATTGTTGTTTCTACCCTGTAGGGTCTTTGGCAACAACTTTTTATATACTCTGTCATTATAATTTTTAAAAATTCCAGTTTTTTCCATGGCTTTTACATTGTCAATGAGTTTTTCATTTAGACTCTGGGACATATCCAATTTTTTTCTTATATTTTTAAATATTGAGTAGTCTTGGACGATGTGCTGGACTGTTCTTTGCACCTTACAATTTTCGCACGTCGGTGTTTCCAGTCCCCTTAGTAGATAGGCGTGTGAAAATTCAAAATGTCAAATTCTTAATCGGCACAGGACTGTCTCTTCTTTTCTAGAGAGTCGGTTACAGTTTTTTTTGTTTGGAACAGTGGCTTTTTGTTCCTTTTAATTTAGCTTATTTTTATTGCCATCTGTTTTGCCACATTTTCCGTAATTCTTTCTTGATATGTTGTGAAAAAGCGTCTATGGGGATTTCGTTAATTGTAACTTTACCTGCCTGTTTATTTCCGACAATTCCACAGTGTAAGGGGACCCAGATGAACTTTTTTTTCTTTCCATTTTTTTTATTTTAGTTTCCACCAAATATTTCTAATAGCTCTCGCGAGCGTGGTAGCGTGGTGGTAGGTCGGTTTTTTATGTTAGATGGCAAGAATTGCGCACTTTGAGTTCGTTACCACGACCCAATTGTTACTATCGGTTGCCTCAATGTACGTTAATGCGTCTCTTATTGCAACTATCTCTCCAATAATCTCAGAGCAGATTTCAAGGAATAAATTTTGTGCTTCAATAGGGAGTAGCGTATCTTTTCGACATTCAACCATTCAGTTCTCTATAACTGGCGATGTGTAGATAATGTCCAGAACAACCAAAACAATTTCTAATTTTACTTCTGATACATTTTCAAGATATGTTTCTACGATTTTTTCCCTCCATCTGTTGCCTGATTCCTCTCCTCGGAATAGTATTTTATTTAATATATGTGTTGAGTGTGTTTAATTTTTAGTCCGTACTTTAGTGTTAGATATAACCTTCTCAGATAGAGAGGAGGTTCTTCTACAACAACACATTGACTTTCTACTGGTGAGGTTGACAATGTCTCAGTATGAATTCTTAAAGCACATTTGTATACAACATATAACATCAGCCAATTAATTGCGGAGAAGGCCAAAAACTTTTCATATTTGAAAAATAACTTTTTATAATCGTCTGTGTTATTACTATCGAAGATGGAACATATGGTTGACTAGACAAGTATACTAAATACAAACATTTACATTTTATTCTCTGTTATCTATGATTGTAACGAAAACCAACACTTACCTGGTAGCCCTTGTACTTCATTACGTCACTGATCCTGGAGTTGTAGAAGAAGTATTCATCGTCATCGTAGTAGCCTAGATCGCCTGTATGCCAAAATCCATCATCGTCTACATTTTCAATTCTTTCTTTGTTGAAATACCGCTTCATAAGACCCGGAGATTTGACGCATATCTCTCCTACAGCATAGGGTGGCTGCATTTTTCCAGTTTCCGTGTCCACCACCTGGAAAATATATTTTTAATAGCCTTCTGTTATGCCGAATTATTTCTCAAATCGGGATTACAGAGATATGCTGCTCGGGTATGAATACTGTAACTGCAGCAGTAGACCTTCTGAAAATCCCTTTTATCATTGCCTTTAACCACTGTTTTTTAAAAATATTTTGCCTACTTTACGATGATATACTTAGAATTTAATACAGTTTTTAGGCAATTCCTTCTCATTCAAAAATACCGTGACCACATTACTTTCATTAGTATTTTTTCCAAGTTATCAAACATTTTGTCAATATCTTTATCTATTTAAAGGACGGAGATGGTCCGGGGTGGCGGTCATAAATATTCTAAATAGTGGTAAAACTATTTTATTAAAAGGCAACGTTTCGACCCGACTTTGCAGATTGTCTCACTTAAAACTGGGAGTTTATTATCAAAACTGAAATTGACTCCTAATGATATGAGATTTATTTGAAGTATGTTTATTCTAATTAAATTTTCTATTAAATTAACGATCTTATGTAAATCATAATTTTTATTCAATTTGTCTTTTTCATTATAATTATTAATTTTGATATTGTTATTTATTTATTTCAATTTGCATTATATTTACAACTGTGTTTGAACGCATCTAGCAGATGTGCTGTTGTTCGTTTCGTCTGTTATTTGTTGAACATTTATTCATGTTGTGAGCAGATCCGGAGGTCATTGCCTTTTTAGTTAATTTAGATTTTCGTTTAATGTTACTTGCTTATATTATATTATTGCTTTATGCTTATTTTTTAAAATTTTTATTATCGAATTGATGATTCATTTTTTAATTTGTTCATCTGATAAAAGTTAATTTATTTTTAATCAAACAGTTCTATTAATGTTTACATTTAAATTATTCAAATCAACTCATTAAGTGTTTGCTGTGCTCGAAAAACCACTTCTGGGCTGCTACTATTTATCGATTATTTCAACGGAGGCTTTACTTAACTTAAAGTTGTGGATTAAAGGCTCATACGAGAAGTAAATTATAATATGTGACCATCATGCTGGATTCAGAAGAGGAAGGAGCACGCTAGACAAATTCTTCACACTAAAGAATTCTTCAGTCTGGCCAGAGACGCCGTACAGGTCACATTACTCCCGTGAAATTCAGTCATTTTTTACATAAACCAATCTATTTCATAAAATTTTCTACAGTGATTTCTCATAATAGCATTTTTGTTTCTAATCCACCATAGTTGCGTATTATATTTATTAACGAATCATTAATACATAGAATAATATTAATACATAGAAGAAAGTTCAAGAAACATCTGCCGCAGAGAGAAGAGAAGCAGCTGATCCCCTTAAGCCGGAGAGTATTAAAGGCCATCAACACGCCTTAGTGATAAACAACACTTTCCTGGCGTAAGTAAATATATTTTTCTCTTTCACCAAAATGGTCGACTTGTGACGGCCCTGTCGTGAGAGACGATAAATATAATATAAGCTGTAATAAATGCTGAGTAATATTTCTCGGCAAATGTTGCAATTACAGTGAAAAGGAGATTGAAATTATAAATTACAAAAAAAACCGTGGCTATGTAAAAAGTGTGAGCAGGGTAAAAATGCTGCCCCACGTAGTGATAAGTTAGCCAGTCCATCCAAGAGCGACACCAGAGAACCCTCCTCATCGGATATTCTCCTAGCCGTCAACAAGCACGGTGAACAGGTCAATGAGGATATTAAAAATTTAAGAACGCCTCTTGAGAAGTATGGTGAGCTCAGTTTCAAGTTGAAGGAGAGGTTCATAAAAATAGAAGGACACCTTGAAACCCAAGCGAAACACCTAGAAGAACTCACCTCAGAAAATAAGATGCTGAAAACCAGAGTTGGCGAACTTGAGATGCGTGTTAACAAAGCCGAGCAAGGTCTACTTCGCAGATCAATAGAAATTCTCGGCATCCCGGTACGCCCGGGAGAGACTCCATCGGCCTTGGTAGCCAGCGTGGGAGCCGGCCTCAGGATTAAGATCAACGCAGAAGACTTCGACTTTGTGGAGCGACGGAGACCAAGAAAAGATGATCCCCGACCACCACCCGTGATTGGTCGTTTTGTGAGGCAGTCTATACTCGACGACTTGGTGCAAAGAAGAAAGGTAAAAAGGGACTTTTCTACCAGGGATATTGGTTGGCAAGAAAACAACTCCCACCGGATATATTTCGGCGAAGAAATGTCTCCTATGAATAGACGTCTGTACAGGCTCGCCCGTCAGAAAAGAGCAGCAGACAAATTAAAATATTTATGGTTTGCGGGGGGGTAGAGTTCGTTGTAGGAAAGAAGATGGGCACCCGGTGATCTACATCGATCAGCCACAAGATCTTGACATTTTCTGCTGACGGTTTGACATTCGTCAACTTGATGGTCATAATTGGGAAATGTTAAGCGTTGCCTACTATAAATCACTCTGCCATATTATGTTACTGTTTTATCATTATTTTTTCTCTAGCACAACTGACGTAATCTTTTATTTATTCATGTTTAGTTTGTTTTTTTGATCATTGCTGCTTATTATTATTATTATTTGTACTTAACCATTATTTGCTTCTCTTTAAATGTTATTCATAATATTTCAGCTGCCTTTCATCATATTTCTCTATTTCCTATCCAACATGTCTAGTATCCTGACCTCTTGTCATGTTAATTCCCAATCCTTACCAGCCCATTTCGACGAATTTCAGCAATATTTTACCTGTAATTTTAACCATACTATTGCAGTTTCCGAAATATGGCTAAAACCCCACATCCCTTTCTCTTCGGTTTCCTTACCCGATCACACCTTTATCCGCCACGACCGGGTTACACGAACGGGTGGTGGTGTGGGTCTTTACGTCCATAATAGCCTAAAATCCCGAATCCTAGATATCTCACTCCCTTCCAATTGTCCCCACATGGAATATCTTTTCGTTGAAATTTCCTTCAAAGCCCATCTTCTCGTATACGTTGTAGTTTATCGCCCTCCTCTGGTACCTTTCGACCCATCCTTTGAATCTACCCTATACAAATTTATCCCTTTTTACAGTAACATAATAGTTTCCGGTGACTTAACTGCCAATCTCCTTTCCGATTCCCACGACAAGCACTACCTGGAAAACCTTTTCTACTCCCTTAACCTCTTCGTAGTACCATTTGCTCCTACTCATCACACTTGCTGGTCTGATACATGGGTGAACCTGTTTATCATCGATTCTGCGCAGAATCTTTTGTCCTCGTCCCAGCTACCTGTTCCCTTCCTCTCTTCACATGACCTCATCCAACTATCATACAATATTCAGACTCCTGCGATCCTTCCTAAAACAATAACCTTCCGCAATATAAATTCCCTAACCCGTGAAAGCATTTTACCCGATATCGAAACCCTAAATTGGAATTATGTTTACACCAGCTCCTCAATTGATACTATGGTAGATATCCTGACTTCTAATCTCCTCCATATCCTCAATGCCCATGCCCCACTTAAAACCTCTACATTCCGCCGCCAACCTGCTCTTTGGATGCGTCAAGAAATTCGAAATATGCAAAAGAGACGTGAGGTAGCCCGTAGACGCTTTAGAAGAACCAGGCTTGCAGACTACGAAGCGTTCAGGGTACTCCATAACTTGACGCAAACAACGATCAGGCAAGCGAAAACCAATTACTATCATGAAGCCTTCTCCTCGGCTCCCAATTCCAAATCCAAATGGAATTTACTCCGAAAGCTGTCCCTTTGCAAATCATATTCTTCCACAATTGTCCCAGTCTCTCCTGATGCTTTAAATTCCTACTTTTTATCCTCCTCCTCTAGTAATATTTCTCCCACCTCTTCCCATATATCTGTATCATCTGCATTTAATAGTGACAATTTTTATTTTTCCTACATCACTCCTACGAACCTTATTTCCTCCATAATGAAATTTCAATCCGACTTTATAGGAATTGACGGAATACCCGTCAAACTGTTAAAATTATGCCTCCCTGAAATCCTTCCAGTTCTTCTATTCATTTATAACTTATCCCTTCAAAATTCTGTTTTCCCTACATCTTGGAAAAAAAACCTTAGTTCGCCCTATTAACAAAATCCCCAACCCCGCCTCTCCTAAAGACTACCATCCAATTTCCATCCTCTCAAATCTGCCAAAATCCCTCGAAAGAATAGTCCAATCCCAAATTTCCGATTTTCTCGAAGAGTTCAAACTTTTAGAACCTCTCAAATCTGGCTTTCGCCCGGGCTTCTCCACCCAATCCACTTTAGTCAAAATCACAAACGACATACATACTGCAATTGATGAAAGAAAACTGACTTTATTGGTACTCCTGGACTTCTCCAAAGCAATCGATTCCTTAGACCATTCTATTTTCTACAATAAATTAAAATCACTATCCTTCTCCAATAGTTCTACCCTATGGTTCCAATCCTTTCTTTCTGACAGGACTCAAGCTGTTAGTATTCAACCCTTATCTTCTTTCCTCACTTTGTCTCATGGAGTAGTCCAGGATTCAAGCAGTTCTCCTATCCTTCTTAATTCTTACATCAATGACCTTCCTAGTTCAATCCACCATTGTTCATACCATCTATATGCTGATGACTCCCAAATTTATCTTTCCTTTCCGTCCACTGAGTTATTAGAAGCGTTTATGAATATTCAGAAAGACCTAGATAGGATCAGTACCTGGGCAAACTTGAATAAATTAAACTTAAACGTATCAAAAACTCAGGCAATTCTTATAGGTTCCAACTCCCTCCTTAGATCCATCTCCACCCTCCCTTCCTTGATTATTAATGACCAACCAATCTCCTTCTCCTCCTCTGTAAAAAACTTAGGAATTACTATTGATCAAAACCTATCATGGAAACCCCTTCTTGCTCATATCTCCAGATCCAACCTAGGTCAATTGGTACACTTAAATTAAACTTATTTCATCGTTCTCGTCAGCATCTCCCACAACCTATCCGCAAGCTCCTCGTTTCCTCATTGATTTTCCCCTATTTTAACTATGGCTGTGTGGTATATAGTGGCCTCTCGTTGGAGCTTAAGGACAGACTGAAGAGAATCATGAACTGATTTTTAAGATTCGTCTTCGGCACTTCGAGATGGTCTCATGTGTCCCACCTATATGCCGATTCAAAGTGGCTCTTCCCCTCTTTCCGCCGCCTATACTTCCTTGGAAATTTCTTATATCAAACGATCAACTCCCTGCACTGTCTCCTCCAGCCGAAACCTATAGTCCACTCAATAAAAACGAGATCCCGTGATTCTTACCTCTATATTCCATTACACAAGACAAAAACCTATGAACGTTCTTTCTTAGCCCGCTCCGTCACCTACTGGAATTCTTTGCAACATAACATCCATCATGCCTCTTCACTGTCAACCTTCAAATACCTCCTTTTCCAATATCTCCTCACATCCCAAACAGACGATTCGCAACCAAAAATTTCATTTTATGAACTGAATTTGTGAGAAGTAAATGGTGATGCCTACAGTTTAAGTTTTAACATAAAACAGTAATGATTTTTTTACTATTATTTTTACTATTTATTTGAATTTCTCTTCACCTCAGGTTGTGCTTTTTCTTTCATCTATATATGTTTATATTTTATACTTTTTGTCTCTCTGTGTACCAATATGAGTAAGTACGTATATATAGTTCCTTTTTTACCTTTATACCACAATTATTTCTGAGATTTTATTTTATCTTAGTGTTTGCTTATTATTGTATGAATCACTGTAAATATTACTACATTTTATATTAAATTATGTTTCTATTAGATAGCCTATTGTTTATAAATTGTGCAGTTATGTATATATAGATATATAATTTCTTTTCTGTCTTTTTTTTTTTTTATCATAATAATAAGTAAATTTGGAGAAGATTTTATGTTCATTTATATATTTATGTATGTGTATGTGTGTGTATGTATGTGTATGTATGTGTATATGTATGTGTGTGTGTGTGTGTGTGTGTATATATATATATATATATATATATATATATATATACACATGTGTGTGTATGTATATATATGTGTATGTGTGTTTATGTATGTATATGTGCGTGTATTTATATATATGTATATTTTTTTTGTTTATTTCTTAGTGGTTACATACTACTTTTTAAATAATGTATATTATGTTAGAATTTTTATAAGTTAATTTTTGGCTAGATTTTTATTTTATTTTGTATTAACTCATCTTTGTTATTCTAAGGGGACTTAGTCCCAGAATAAAGTTCTATTTTCTATTCTAAAACGATGGAAAGTAGCTCAGGATGAGGATTCCTCATTTGACGATTTCAAAGCAGCTTATGATTGTGTAGACACAAACTGCTTGGAAGAACATGATTGAACTGGGAGTTCCCGAGAAGTTGATGAGTTTGACGTAGCGTGTACAAATGATGTCGATAAAGATCAATTCCTATTAAAAGGATAAGTATCTGTCGCCTTTTATTAAGTATCTCCGATGTTATGTAACGTAAATATAAAGCGCTGGAAAAGGTTACAACATCACGTGAAAATGAAGGGGTCCAATTCGGATTGAATCATAAAATCCTGGGATATGCAGATGATATAGCTCTCCTTGGAAGAAGTCACGAGGGGATTTGAAAATTCACCAAGGTTCTGTAAGAGTAGGCAATCAAATAGGCCTGGAAATAAATTATGATAAAACAAAATATGCGATAGTAAGCTGAAAATTCCAACCGAATTTGAGTAGAAGGGAAATCGTTCCAGAGATTAGACATATTCAAATACATAGCATCAACAACCGTCTTAAAGAATGACCAATGATTAGAAATATACCAGTGATGACAAGCGCAAACAGAGCTTTCCTGTTCTGATATACGGCAAGGCCTTGACACTAAAAAGTATTGCGAGACCTTAGAAAAAAGTACTAAAAGATTTAAGAGGAAAATGTTGCGCAGGATTACCGGAGCGATCTGGAATCAGAGTAACAACGCATGGATATTAAGAAGAATTAAGAACTGCTTACAGAAAATGGTCAATCAATATCTCAAGCAGGCAAGAAGGTTAGTATGGGTGTGACATTTATCTCAGAACAATGCCTCTGTAATAGGCAAGAGGCCACGTAGAAAAAGCTAGATAGATCGAATCAACATGGAAGCTGTAGTGTTGCAAGCAGATAACTAGACAGCAACAGCCCACGATATGCAGAGGTGAAGATGGCTGGTAAAGGAGAGAAAAGACCTACGAGGTGTATAAAGCTTTTTTTTTAGAAAAAAAAATAGAAACTTTAAATTGATATTATCTAAATATTCTTTTTCCAGAAACTTTTTTACCTACCTTGATTTCCACACCATTGGCTACTTTTCCGATACTGCCTAACTTGTCCGAATTGATGTCCGGAATCGTGCGGTCGTAAGTGACTATACCAGTCTCAGTGCTACCATACACATGTCTTATAATGTGTCTGTTGCCCGTCATTTTCTCGGTGATCATCTTCCTCTGTTGGGGCGAAAGGGCGTATCCTCCGAGGTAAAAGTTCTTGAAGGACGAGAAGTCATACGCGGCGAGGTTGTCTTCCTTGCATAAGTCGATGAGGATTGCCGGGCCGGTTAGCCAATGAGTCGTCTAGTAGGTAAACAGATAAGCGTAAGATGAATGTAATCCTTCTTAAAGTCAATATAAAAGTACATAAAATTAGATTAATACGAAATTAAAATACTGTTTATAAATATTAATACAGAGTCGGGGAAAATAATAGTTACCATAAATAATAGAAGAGATAGAGAACGAAGTGGCTCAGTGGTTAACTACTTCTAAAGCTCAAAGTCTAAAGTCGAGTTCGAATCTGGCTGATGACACGTAAATATTTATGTTTCATAAGCTGTGGATCGAACCTGAAGTCGAAAGGTCCTTCACCTATACGCTCAGTCTTTATAAAATGGGCACTCTTGATTAAGTAATTAATTAAGAGGGATTATTAAGAATTTGATCCTAATCCTGACTTAATCTCCTACCTACACAACTATTGGCCTTGAAGTGGTACTTCCTTACAAAGTACTGAGCCCAATATTCTTCATGGGTTGTAATGATACATCAATTATAGAAAAGATGGGACATTTAGGCGAGATTCAATTGTAGAATAAACGTAACATTGATAATTAAGCGTGTGATATTGGAGGGTTGTAGTTAATGGTTAATGGAGGATTTTTTTAATGTAGCAGTTTAATGAAGGGAGGAAGGGCAGTTTAAAGGTTTTAAAGGTAAGAAGTTCGGAAATATATTGTGGTAACGAACTCCTGATTTGAAAGGTTGGAGTTGGCTGATGTGACCATGGCGACGAGATGGACCACACAGTATTTGAAGGAACTAAACAAATAGATGAGAGTGCATGACTAGCGACTTTAATCCCCACAGACCACGAAAATAAATCGGAGAAATTTATTCTTTATTTTTTAAGTTTAGTTTACAGTGAACCAGAGATTCCATTGTAAATTAAGCAACCAGAGCCGAAGTGAAGAAAGAATTGGCGAATGATGAGTTTGTATTTTTTCGGTTTCTTTAAATCGAATTAAAAATAGTAAAAGTAAATTACGTATATAATATGTACAATGTCCTTTGAGACAAAAAAAAAAAAAAAAAAAATATGTACAATGACTCGATGAAGCCTAATAATGTTTTTAGTTAATATAGACGCAATTTTAATATAATTTATATCAATTGATTATAATAATAATAATAATAAGGCTTAGCGAACCCGAAGGTTCGATGCCGACACCACCAATCGCTTGTTACACACCTCCCTCCACCGTTCGCCGTCCAAACCCAGTCCCTTCAGATCGGCTTTAATGCAATCTTCCCACCTTCGCTTCGGTCTACCCCTCGGACGCTTACCATTCGGCACAGCAAATATTAACCTTTTAGGAATTCTCTCGTTACTAAGCCCAACAACTTTACAAGCCCATTTGATTCGCCGCGATGAAATTACATCAATTATATTACCCGGATACAGCTCACGCAATTCGGCGTTGTGTAACCGTCTGAACTCCCCGGTTAACTCATCCTTCTTCGGTCCGAATATTCTACGCAATACTTTATTTTCAAAAACCTTAAGACGCTGCTCATCCCTTAATGTAAGCGGCCAAGTTTCGCATCCATAAAGAACTGTAGGCAAGATAATTGTTTTATAGATTCTAATTTTTAAGTTCCGGGACAAGAGGCGCGAACTAAGTAGTTTTGTCACAGAAAAATAACAAGCATTTCCCGCCTTCAGTCAAACCTTAATCTCTTCTTCAATTTCGTTTTTTCTAGTTATCGTTGAACCTAGATACCTAAATTTATCTACCTGTTCAAACATATTACCATCTATATCGATGTCACCAGTAGTATCGCCATTTTTGCAGCTAACCATATATTTTGTTTTATCCACGTTTATTTCGAGTCCTAGTTCTTTCCCGGCTTTCATTAACGTTGTCGTATTTAGTTTTATAGTTTCAACGTCTTCGCTTAACAGTACCAGATCATCAGCATAGCCCAGCACGGATGTTGTCCCACCCAGATCCAACCCTTTCTCGGTTCGCATTACCTCCCTAATGGCATGTTCTAATGCCAAATATATCAATTGATTATCATTTAAAAATACATGGGAAAAAAAAAATGTAGAATAGGTTGCCACTTTTTGGAGATCCGTAAACTTAACATATCAGATTTATGAAAATGATCGCCATACATTTGATGATTTAGACCCAATACGAACTGAAGTATTAATATGTATGTGTTAAATTACACAAATGTTGGTACTTAACAAGTAATTTTAGTTCCGTATTTTTAGGAAAAAATAGTTCGTAAACGGAAAGAAATATGACTGAACAGCTTTTGTGGACAACGAGTGTGAAAAGCGATTTAAGAGTAATTAAATAAGTCAACGATCAATTGATTTCATGTAATTTTACTTTCTCGCGACAACGATAACACATTAAAAGATGATGAAAATGTGCAACAAACTTGCGTTATATTGCAACATTTGCAACCTGTTGCAACGGTGCAACTGAGAAGTAGCAGATGATGTAACAGATAAACCAGATTTAAGGTATTCTAAAAAAATGAATAAATAAGTAAAGCTCATCAAACAATTGATCAAATTAAAGACCAAACATTTTCTATTCATTCTATTGAGCTACTATTGAATACTACTGTTTCAACATTAGCATATAACTTTATTTACAAAGCAAAGCTTTAAACCTGACTTGATTGTTTTGCTAGGAGCTGTGAACATATACGGTTTCTTAGTTAAACAAATGTTAAAGAAATCTAAGTATGTATGTATTTCATTTTACGGAAACTCATACATCAACATCTACTTGGAGAAGTAAGTAAACTCTTATAATACCTAGTCCTGTCATAAATATTGTTACCAGAAAATATATACAGATTTCAACAGAAAAAATTTTTTTTTCAAAAACTTTATTAGAAAATATAATGGATATCTAAATAGAGTAAAACAAAAAAAAAAAACAACTCAAAATGTCCCTCTTTTGCCTTGACACAGACATTTAATCTTCGTGGCCAGTCATCAATAGCAGTGCTTCTTGAGGAAAGTGCTTAACACCAAAGATTGTTTGAGACTCTCCACGTTAGGATATGCTCTGTGACATGGCATCCCCTCCAGTTCGGACCGAATACCATAATCTAGTGGGTTAAGATCAGGGCTGTAGGCCAATCCGAGGCAGAGATGTACACTGGAATGTTCTTTTGCAGCCACAGCTGAGTCAATCCGGTCTTGTGAGCTGGAGTCACGCTGAAAACCTAATGACTTCCAGCAAACAGAGTACTATTTAGAGGCTCGGCAACAGGTTCCAAAATATCGTCCTGATAGTTTTTAGCGGCTGTTTTAACTCCGTTTTCACACAAGTGGAGCTTTGTGGTGCTATCAAATCAAACTCCCCACCAAACCTTCACTGAGAAAGGGTGATTAACTCTTTCCACTCTTCCAATGACTTCCTGGGCTTCTGTAGAGCTGTGTGCGTACACACGATCATTTTGGTGATTAAAGTTTTCTTCAATTGTAAAAAGTTTCTCATGGCTAAACAAAATCTTTCGATGAAGACCATTGGTGTAAGGTCTCTCGACTTCAGGGTCGATCCATAGCTTATGAAACATAGTAAGCAAAGGAGCACTTTGCATCTATCCACTCTATTTTGGGGGGGGGCCGAGTGGTTAGCCTTTGACCTGTCATTCTTCAAAATGTACTCATCCTAACGTCACGTTTCATTATGCGAGACATTGATGTAACAGCTAATTCGAGCAGCCACTGCTCACACTGCATTTGCCGTTCTCACAAGAAGCATTTGCCCTTTTTTTTCAATAAAGAAATAAAATATATCGAAAATTTCCTAAATTACTTGACATATGCACTACGCTGTTGCACAAATAAAACTAATGTCAATGAAACACAACAGTTTCGAAGAGCGGGCTTTGAACTTTCCGATTAGTACCATTATTGTCAAATAAAGCAAAGAGAACTGGAGATGTTTGGAACTGGACGAACTTATGGATCCACCCAATATATTACAATTACTTCTACGCAAAATAAAATTTTAAGCAATGTTTATGCCTGATGGTGATTATCGACATGTTTTCAATAGATTTATTTTCATTTGATTGTATAATTAGTATTAAATTTAATTATCTATAAATCATACTATCTACTGTTATACTTTCGCAATCGAAATCTGTAATTTTGTACCCGTTCCAAAAACGAACACTTAGACGAGTATACCACTTAATGTAGGTAAACAGTCTAATTAAAACACGTGCTGTGAAAAATTATACTACAGGTGGCTTGCGCCATCATCACCCATTTATTGAATTCTCTTTAACGAATTAAGTCAATGCCAATGAAAAATTTTTTAGTTAAATTATATATTTTTGCGTCCTCACTACCAAAGGTAGTGATGATATTAAAGGTTTAAAAAAAAGTTGGCCCGGAATCGGAAATTTCCAGTCGCGGTTTAAGGAACAGACATCAAGAAACAAATTAGGTTCTCGATCTGTCTGATCTTAACCGAATCCATAAGACCAGCATGATACCTATTACTATCTATTAGTCAAGTAAAATAAGTGATTGACCCTCAACATTCAAAAAATAAAAATGGGACTTGTCAGAAATTGTTCATTCCCTTAACCATAATAACTGGTAAAGATCCCGAAGATACTGTGGTCGGCTTAAAAATTACATAGTCTAAGTTTCCTGGTTGTCTATGACTTTTAAGAATCATTGCAAAAAAAAAAAAAGAAACTTTGAATAATAATTTGAACGATCGAAAATGTTTAAAAAAACTAATTGAATTTCAAAAAGGTATCGTCTAATATGAACATCATCAATTTCGTGGTTGGAAGAATTTTCGCTTAAAGTGGAAAAGCAATAAATATAATCCCATAAATATCTCCATAACCACTGATTTGATTAAAAAAATAGATTGAATCATTTGTACCAACGAATAGAGATTTTAAAGTACTTTAATATTGTACCAAACATCTTATAGATATTCTCAAAAAACTAAAAAAAATGTCAGTTTTCTGTTTTTCCATCTCACCTCCCAACATCAAAACCCGACGCGGAATTTTTTACCAGTTATTATGGAAAGGGTAATGCACAATTTCTGACAAGTTTCATCTTTATTTTTTGAATGTTGGGGTAAGGCTTATTCCCCTCCTTTCTTTACTGGACTATCATATTTTCATTGGAAGGGTTAAATTGAGTTGGTCCAGTATAGAATTTACCTTATCCACTTCTTTAACATAGGCGTGCGTTTTTCTTGTCTAGACTATGTGCACTGTAGTCCTTTAAGTTTTCCAGGGTTAGTTTTCTAAAAAAAACCTCGAATCTCGAATTCATGGATTCTTTATAAATACATTTTATGAAGGCTAAAAAAAGACGAGAACGCAGATTTATTATAAACGACCGGCCTTTATGGCTCCTTCTCATTGAAACCAAGCGTATCCATAACAAGTTTGTCTGGATGGTAGAACGCACTCATATATTTTATCAGACTATTATATGTCATTTATGTCATATGTCATTTATCAGACTCATATATGTATGCTAGACTATTATGGGAGGTCTAAAGGTTGATATAAATTATTTTCCAAGCATGCGTTTATGAGGTATTTTTTAAAAATATTTTGAAAAATCTTAAACGCCAAAGTCACCCTGACAAGCTGCCAGACAAATTTTTCTTCGAATTACATGATAATATTTTCCATATCCACTAATCAAACGTTCTGCGGCTTATGAGGTAAGAAAAACATTGCTAGGTCCCGTACTATACGCCGTAGTGCAGTTTGGACACAGCGCGGCCATGTGTGTCGTGACTTCTGAATTTCCAACAGCTAGTTGTGAACTCGAATTATCTGTTAAATTTGTTATTATTAGTGGTTATATTTTACATAATTTTGAATTATTTATTGCTAAAGAACACTGTAGGCGTCATTAAATTTTAATTACGTATTTGCTTTCTTTTCATGTAATTTGTCCTTAAATTAGTTTTGTTCTGACCGATAGATAATATCGATTTCTTTAACACCGAAGACACAAAAACTAGAAATGTCTCAATGATTATTTTTCCATCTATTATACCAGTTAAAACATCGTACTCTTATTCATTACATAGGCATGTTCAATATGTATTGGGTTGGGAAGTAAGTCTTTTCGGCTTTTCTGTTTATTTTTATGCCACTATAATACACTTCTTATCTGATGAATTAATCCCTAAGGTGGATTGTTTATCCTGTTTGTAATATTTCAACAACTATATCTGTAAACTATTGTTGAAACTAGCTTAGTATTATGTTTGCTAATGCACTGTGAATATGGAAAAAAATATCATCCATTACCATCATACTTTGTTGTATTATTTTAAAAAAGTACACAACGTGCGGCAGAAGCTCATAGAAAAATAACCTGTCAATTGGTTTGCCAAATTTCATTCAGGAAATTTTGACACATGAAATTGAAACAAGCAAGGTCAAGGCCATTGTTGATCAAAATCCCACCCAATCAGTGCGAGAGATAGCTATGGCAAATGTGTCGCACACAAGCGTAGAAAACCATTTGCACAAGCTCGACTATGTTTCTAGGCTTACTGTTAGGGTCCCTCACTCTCTAACCGAAGTCAACCAGGCAACACGCATTTCTGTTTATGATTCACTAACGACAACAAAACGGCCCATTTTTGAAAATGTTCGTCACAGGATCCGTAGAAAATCTTGAGGACCTACCAGTGAGGTTCCTAGAAGAAAATCAAAACCTGTATTGCATTCAAAGAAGATAACGGGATAATGGGATTTGAAGAGTGTTATTTTTTATGAGTTGTTGCCATCAGGACAAGCAATTGATTTAAATCTGTACTGTTCACAATTAACAAAATTGTATCAATCAATTAAAAATAAACGCCCAGAACTGGCAAGCCGGAAGGGTGTTATGTTCCACAAGACAATGCTTGGCCTTACACCTCATTAGTCACTTGCAATCAATTATTGAGCCTTGGATGGAACCTTTTTCCCCACCCTCCCTATTTACCAGACCTAGCTCCAAGTGACTACCACTTATTTCGGTCTCTGCTGAACCTCATGAAAGGAAAGAAATTCCAAAGGGAAGAGGACATCAAAGTGTCCTTTAAAACTTAAATTTAAAAATTGTATTTATCTTAATATTCAAATTCTTAACACAATAATCTTATCAGGTTATTTTGAAAGTCACATATAAAACAAAATCACCTTGTACTCTGTGATTGTCTCCATCAACTCCTTTATAGATAACCGACTGGCAATCACTATCTTGCTCCCGCCTTGTGCAGTGATGATTAGCAAAGTAGCATTGGAGACCCAATACATGGGTGATTGCAGCAGCAATATTGAACTATCTGTCCAATGACCTTTCCTGTAATCATTATAGGGTAGTAGAGATACATTTAAATCATTGTTAAAGATTTATTTACACATAAATGTAACCAAACACCTACGTGGAAACCCCATATCAAGCAATCTATTCGTAAGGGAATGACAAGAAATGCTCTCAAAAGACCCGTGGATTCGAGTATATGCTGACGCATCGGCTTCAAACGTAACTACAAACGGTGGGACCGTTATCCATTTATAATTATTCCTTTACAATTCCGGGAAATAATATTGAGAAGGCTATCCCTACGGGCATCACTTCTTTGAATTATCGGACAGAGCAAGAAGGCATATATGAGGCATCGAAACTGTTAAGAATTCTAAAGAGACCTTAAAACTCAAAAAAACGTGGTTCTTACTGATGCAGCGTCAGTGTTACAAACACTCAGGTCAAAGAGGGGAAAATACCTGAGAAAACTCGTCAAAGAACATGAAGAATTGATGTCTTTTCACAAGAAAGTTGTCCTGTAATGGATCTCTGGACACTACGGCTTCTCTGGAAACGAAAGGGCAGACCAGCTGGCGAAGGAGGGGGCCTTGAGTCCGCAACTAAATAAACGAGATCTGGTCTTAATCTTTCGCTTGCGAACGTGGCACAATAGTCTCAAAGCACACCTTTTCAGAAAGTTTAAAATTGGCTCTAATTCCCTCCCCCCTCCCCCCGAGTGCGGAGAGGATGAAAAAACGTGCAAGATCTACTCCCACCAAAGGAGAGTGATCTGTTCCAATCCAACTGAAGTGCAAATGAAGCTATACGGAACCCTGGAGGACCTGAGTAGGGCTTCTGAATTCTTCATTTTAGTTCCTGACCTAGCCATATAAGGAAGAACACAGAAGAAGAAGAAGAAATCATTATTTATTGATTCACGATAACAATAATATATGTAATACTAAATTATGTTATATTGCTAACATTTTTATAAAAGCTTTCAGCATTCTGCAATAGTAATTCGGTGGTGAGTATATTGATGTATAGCTTAGTTTAACAGTATAAAAGGAAATCAAAATAAACGAGAGAAAAAAATAGATTCGTGAAACTTCACAACTTTGTCTAGGTGGTAGAAATCTGATTAAAGATCTGCATAGTCCACCCAAATTTGAGAAGAGACAGAATGATAAGGGGAGGATATTTGCAAAATAATTTGCGCAAAGTAATAGTATCGTAAATTAATGTGTCGTTAAATATTGTTCTTTTATTTTTGAATCGAATAATACCACTGCAATGTAATATAGATATATCTTAATTACTTCAAGTGATAGTACTTAATTGATAAGAAGTCAACTCAATTACGCGAACCGATTGCTCTACTGCCGTTTGCGTAATTAGTAATAGTGGAAGTGAACAAAGAGGGAAGATATCGGGATATATCATTCTTAGGAAGACAATTATTCTGATGGTTTCTTACGGAATAGGTATTATCAATTAAGTATTCAGTACATTTTTAATTAATTTCTTCCGATTCGACATTATTAACCTAAAGTCAGTAGTAAGTTTAAAAATATTGATTCAATTATTCATATGAGTGTCTCATTCGATTCAAAAAAAGAGAACTACAGAAAACAATCCCTAACTTGGTTTATTAGAGGACCTGAATAATTTTAAGTAAAAATTTATGTTAACTAAAATTGTAAATTAACTTAAATTAAAGTAACTTCAATTAATTTGATGTTTGAAATTAAATTAAATGATTAAATTGAAAAAACAGAAAATGAGAGTATTAAAATTCTAACCCTTAAATACTTCCTCATAACGCACATTCACAACTTTCAAAGAAAACGGCACTTATATAACTTACTTGTCGGCTCGTATATGTGAATGTATAAAACTCAAATTAAAACAAAAGAAACTATAATCAAAATTTTGTATTAAATCAGTACCACAACTCACATATTTGCATTGAACAATTTGAAAGTCCCTTCTCCCAGTATGACGCCATTCGGTACACCAGTAGTTCCGCTAGTACTGAAGACACCCAAAGTATGGTCTTTCCCAGTCCACCGTCCTTCCATCAAGATCCCTTCGGCGCTGTTACCTTCTTCCAGACACCTGTAGTAATCGATGGACCCATCTTGACGGTTAGGGCATATGATGGTAACGGACCAGTCAAGGTGGGACACTACTTCCTTCACCTTGTCGAAGTGTTCTTCTTCACAATAGATTACGTCAATACTGCAAGGTTTGATGAAGTAAAGAATATCTTCTGCAAAAAGAAAAGAACATTTAATTTTTTTTTGTCCTCTCTTCCTCGCCTTTTAGGGATTTTTCCGGCCCAGGGGAAGAGGGTGGAGGATTAATGCCAGAGTTAAAAGGCTCCCCGGGCACCGGGACTCTAACTCTTTATCGTTTTTATCAAATCATCTTTAATCCGAGTTGCCGGGCAACGCGCGATGATACGCACACGCATTAGCCCGCTCGGTCAACTTGCTCCTTTATCAAGATTTACTAAGGATTCGTTGAAGAATTATATCAACAAATAAGTGAGCAGGCTATACTTATTTAATTAATATTCCATGATTATTATGCAGATCCCCCTTAACAACTGAGAAAAAATCCTAGTACTATCCACTTTACTTGACGTATCTAGCCACCCATGAAGTAATTATAAAATCGTGGTAGATCTTTTGCCACTATAAGCTCAAACATCCAGATACGTCAGTGGTTCACAGGGATGCCCATAAAGTTTCTAGACGCAAGTTCCGCCATCAAAATTTATGAGGTGATTGTTTCATTTACATACTTGTAATAATTTATTATACATATATTTAATGTCCTATTTTGTCTTTTATTATTCTCGGATTCCTTATCTCATTTCATTTACACCACTTCCCAAACTGACGGTGACTGCGTTAACATCATAGACGAGATATCACAATGAGAAGAGCCTCCTTTTATATTTCATATATTTACTTAATTTTAGTTACTAATTCACTAACAATAACTATTAACCCATAAGGGATAAATATTCAATCAAATAAAATAACGCCTAATAGCGTAAATCGCTTAAAAACATTTAAAATCTCCTCACAAAACATCTTAAAGAACTGTTATTTTATTCAAGATAAGAGCTTGCGGTCATATAGCACATATCAGGTTCCAGTATTGTATAGGAAGCACGTTTTTTACAGGATACTGAAATTTTAAGAGAACCACATTTTAACAGGGATTGTGAATGAATATGTCAGAATGAAATATTTCACACCAGAAGAAAGGAGGATAACATAGAATAGACCGCAACATGTGTAATTGTTTATGATCCACGATTTTTTAAATTCTACTTTCGCTTATACTATTGATGTAAAGATCAATGAAATATCATGGTAAAAAAGGCATTGGGAATCCAAACAGTTTAAGCTATTGTGAATCTTGGGAGGGGAGAGGGGAGAAATAGGTCCATGCGCTACCGACTATGGCACCCCTAATCATTTGTAGCGGTTCCCGCTCTTACTACAAGGAACGAGTTCGTCTTCCCGCTACCAGGCAGCGCCCTACAAGCTCTTGCCTACAGTGGCTTAATAATACAGTGCGGTCATATGGATTCGATTTCTGATTGGTTGGCCATCTTGGATCGTCCCTTGCTATCTGCTTGCTCTTTAGGCACCTCAAAACTGTTAAAATTTCATATTTTATTAGCAGTATTTTAGTTCAGAAGCTTAATTTTGTTGTTTAAGTGATAGGTTTAGTTTATTAATAGGTAGTTTTTATTGAATAGTTATACGTTTTAGTGTTTTCAGTGATTGTTTTGGTTTCTTGTTCAGTGATAGGTTTCATCTTTACAGACTTATTTTATTAGTGATATTTTATTTAAAAGTTTAATTGTGTTGTTTTAGTAATAAATTTAGTTTACTAATAGGTAGTTTTTATTGAATAGTTGTACGTTTTAGTGTTTAAAGTGATAGTTAACCTATTCATGTTCAGTGATAGATTTCATCTTCACAGACTCATATTTTATTAGTGATATTTTGTTTGAAAGTTTAATTGTGTTGTTTTAGTAATAGATTTAGTTTATTAATAGGTATTTTTTATTTAATAGCTATATATATATTAGTGTTTAAAGTTAAAGTGACAAGTTTGGTTTCTTCTTCGTAGACTTAAAATTGTGAGTATACTTTAATTTTTTACTTTATTTTATTAATTTTCCTTTTTAATTCAGTGGTAATGAAAGAAAAAGATGGAAATCAAGTTTGAAACTTGGTTATATGAAGACAGTGTCTATAGTTCGAGGCTATTAGCTAACACAATTTTTATCTTGAAGTTATTAGTTTCCAGTATAAAATTGAAATTTTGTTTTCCTTTATAGTTATTGTTACTTTCATCATTAAAATATGAGTATCATTTAAGGTCAATATTATCATTTAAGGATCATCAACTATACTCAATTAAACTATGATTTAAGGATCATCAACTACACTCATATTTTTAATATTGAAAGTAACAATAACTATAAATGAAAACCAAATTTCAATTTTATACTTGAAACCACTGACTTCAAAATACAAATTGTATCAGCTAATAGCCCCAAACTATAAAAATATCTTCTATAATCAAGTTTCAAACTTAATTTCAATCTTTTTCTTTCATAACCACTGAATTACAAAGGAAAATTAATAAAATAAAGTAACAAATTAAAGGATTAAGTCAATTTCGAAACCTATATGAGCCAAATCAACTCAGAGGCGATTTAAGAGGATTTTTCATAGAGAAAAATGAGTTCTGTTGATGAAGAACACATATTTAATTGTAACAATATTAAATATAGTATTCTTAAGAGGTTTATTTTATTTAGAATTAGGATAAATTCAATTGGTAAAAAGAATTCCCCTCATATGTCTATTTTTAGCAGTAAATCTGTAAATGTATATGTGCAGCATTTATAAATTTAAATGTCTTTGTAAATAAATATTCTGTTTCGTCTTTTTTTTTTTTTTTATATATATTCCTTTGTTGATTAAAAATGTTTTCTTTTTCAAGTTAAATTGGATAGTTCTTCAATCAATTGATAATTTATTGTATTTTATCCTTACAGTTTTATGTTTCACTATTAGTTATTTTTACTTGGTATATCCTGTGTGATAAAATTGAAAATATATTATAGCCAACAATCTCTAATTTCCCAAAAAACTAATGAAAAATAAATAAAATAAGAGATGCAATATAAAATATCTACATTATGGTAAGAGGTAAACCATTTCATAAAAAAATATTTTATATCAATGATCAGAAATGAATCTATACATCGAGGATCAAATTTTGAAGTATTTAAAATTTTAATTATAGTGGATTTATAATAGTTAGTGTTGTCCAAAATCAGTCTTGGTGATATACTTTGCAAAATCAAGACTAAAGCCTGCCTAACTTGTTAGACCAAGACTGAAAAAAAAATCCTTTTTATGAATAAAAATTAAGTTAAAATAGTCAACCTTGAAATAGTTGTAATAGTAAAACTTGAAAAATTTAGTTACCATATGTAAAGAATTGGTGTAACCAATATCCTTTGGAATTTAACTCTCAATTTTTCATTTGGGCTTAGGTTTCCCATGTCTGACAAATTACAGTAATATATCTATAATAAGAAGCTGATAGGTAACTGGAAGACTGTTGCGAGACTTGCACAAGACCAAGACACCTCATGGTCTCGCATTTGGGCAACACTAGTTGTGGTATTCAGTCATAAGCAATATAAATAAATTATATTTATTAAATTTACATTAAATAATTTATTTTTATTAAATTTACATTAAATAATTTATATTGATTAAATTTGCATTAAATAATTTATATTTACTAAATTTACATTAAATAATTTGTATTTATTAAATTTAGATTAAATAATTTACATTTATTTAAAGTTTTTTTTTTTCTAAAGGTGAATATTAAGAAGAAAAATAAAAATAGTTTCATGATTGCTGACTTAGAATTGAGTTTCTGGTTTTCCAATGAAAGTTAATTTTCACTCAGTTTTTGTTTAATGTTTTAATAATTAATTAATTTGTTTGTGAAATTTGCCAATGAGAGAGTAAGATGAACACAATGGAAATCTTAATATGCCGAAGTTTATTGGAATATATTTTAAAAGAAATTAAACAGAAAAAAAAACAAATATTGTTCTTTGATTTTATTATTTATTTTCGCGTGATATAAGTGATTCATATGCTTCATACAGATTGTTCAACTTCAATTCTATCTCCCAAACCATTCTAGTAAATAGTTTGTTGCAATAATTACTTTTTAAATTGAAATAACAAAGACAGACTATTCAAATATTAGTTTCCCGCCGATCCAATATGGCCGTCCCCTCCGTATGACCGCACTGTATTATTAAGCCACTGTATCTTGCCACATGAAACATCAAGTTTGCCTTCCTGCAACTAGAAAGCGCTTTACAAGCTCGCCCGTGCAACATACTAAAATTGTATCTTTTATTTCTTATTGTTGTATTATAAAAAACTTAAATTGTAAATTGAAATATGCATATTCATTGCAAATACTTTTTATTAATATTAATTTTAATGGCGTTTAATTTTAATGGCCATTAAATTTTAATGGCGATAACATATACTGACCAAAGCTCAAAATAACTGTTATAGTAACGGCTCTTAGTAGCCGGTTTGGTCTTGGCGGAATGAATACCCCTAGTCAAACATTAAGTTGTCAGATCCACGGAGCTCCACCTCTTCAGGGTATAGACCTCTATGCAGACGGTCAGAATGTGTATTTTATAAGTTTTTGGTTACTTCAGTCTGCTCTTTTTATTGAACATCAATCTTCTACCGTTCCCTTTTGTCTGTCTCCATGTAAGTTGGACGCAGTCCGTTCGCATACAATCCTATATACTGAGTTTGGAGATTGATCCCTCCGGTTGTGGTAACCATCCTTGCGGAGTATTAAGGCTGATCCCTTACACCGCAAGCCGAGAGTGATTGGGTGCTGATCCGCCTGCCGCTCGAGGCTATCCATCTATTCATCTTCCTCCATCCATTCAGTCATCTTGCCCTCTAAATAATGAACACGCACTGTCGAGGCCTTCTGACAACTTGCATATACCTCTCTGCATATACATACCTCGACAAAGGGTGACCCCGACAAGTCAAAAGCATTGGGAAAGTACACACCTTTATATGTGTCCACTGAGTTGCTAATTGCCAAGGCGTTAGAAATCCAAACAGTTTAATTTATTGCGAATTAATATGACAAAAACTTCAGAGACTGAGTTACTATAGTTCAGTCCTTTTGCACAAATACTGATTATAATACCACGACGAACACATACATCTCAACCCATTGAGGCAGTGGGCAAAAGGCTTTATAGCAACTTCTACTCAGATAATATTACAAATACTTATATATAGCAAATGAGTAATTCATTGACCCCGAACTTAAGAGATTAAAAGTTTTTCATTATGGAATTACTTTAAAAAAAATACAGCAGCTTATTTCAAATCTGAGTTTTATTCTCATTTTATAAATCCAAAACTGAGTAAGGTATTTTATACGTTACCTGTTGGAATATTTGGATTGAGACAGAGCGAAGCTGCTCCGGATAGCCAGATGCCAAAGTTAGTGGTTAAAGCTTCGACACTAGTATTGCTCAGTATCATCACTACCTTTCCTGGACCCTGGCCGAGGTTTCGAAGTGTAGAGCTTATTGCACCTGCGTTGTCCAGCACCTGACGGAAAGTGGATTGTCTCTTTGTTCTGGCGTCCTCCTGTAACAGACAACAGTTGACAAGATGGAGAAATTTTCGAAGGAATACCAGGAATTCAGGTTTCTACATTGTGTTTAATCCTAAAGATGTAATCATAAAAGAATTTGTAGTTGTTACGGACGGTGGACTCCTTAAAGTAATTTGTACAATAATAGAGGCTCCACGATATCTGGGGTGTTTATTCTAATTTTGTGAACAGTAAAAGGACAGTACTGAGGAAGGAATCGCACAGTAATGTTTGCTGAGTACATGATGAGCTCACTATAATGTTGTTACGCCTGTAACTTTCGGAGCTAAATTTTTTTCCAAAAGTGATTAGATTGTGAATTTGTAAAATAACTGCCGTTTGAATATTGTTGGGCTGTAATTTTTTAATAAAGATTTTCAGTGCTTGGAACGTAAAAAACGGCACGACTTCACTATGTATGCGTATACATGTATATATTCTTATTTTTTTTTTTTTATTTATACCTCTCTTTATTGGATTCCGCCATCAGATATCTTGCAGCACAGTACCAATCCGATTTGGATGACGTGGTATCTCTTATTTTCAACAAGCGCCAGCATACACCTAAATGCGCTTGGTCCATACATGCTCCCGAATTACAAAGGTTGCAATGTGGAGAGTCTGCCACTGTTATTCTATGCAGGTGCTTCCTAAGGTAAAAACATGATGGTGGCCTGTTATCATCCGGAACTCTGGTACAGCTTCCTTTCTCGGCAGGTCCATGGGAACTCGATCCGCTTAAATAAACACATTTTTCCACTGCTTTTTCGCAATCCAACTTAAGCAATTCTCAATCCAAAATACAGCTCTTTACGGAATCCAATAATAGAGCCTCTTTACAAAGACTATAATGCCAGATGAATGAATTCTTGAGACACAGAGTACGCTTGGTATCCAGTAATCTGGAAGAACTTCAAATTGTCTGATGCTGCTCCAGCTTCCACTACTGCTAAAATATCTGCGGCATGATTGATAACTAGAGTTTAAAGTTCGGTGAATTTGTCATTAGTAAGTCTACTTTTAATTGGACATTCAGGCCTTCAGAAGGACCGTTTGCGTGCGACCTTAATGATGTAGTTCTCTGCATACCAGTTTTAGATGGGCTGCAACAGGCAACAGTGTGATCGTTTAACTATCCGTGCTCTTCAAAAGGATCGAAGTTCACAGATTTCTCGGTTCACTGTGTATATTAATTATATATTATTACTTAAACCATTAATAAACTAGTAGGCCAGTGCGAAAAATTCGCACAGCATATTGTTATCAAATGCAAAATTAATAAGAAAATAAAGTAATAAAACGCATAAAATTATAAAGAAATCAAATGTTACATTATCGATAAATATAATCGACAAAAAAACAAAAATTAATTTAAATCTTCATTTTTGTTTGGAACCAACATATATACAAATTTCAGCAGCCTGTATCTTTGCTAATAATTGTCCGATTTCCATGATTTTTTTCCCTTTTGTAGGGAATTTAGTAATATTTTATATAATCATGGGCACAACCAGGGAAAAGTGTGCAATTTTTAAATTATTCGCAAATAAAATTTGTTTTCTTTCATAACTTGTTTGCCTGAATTTTCGGAGTGATTGGACTATTTTGCCCGCCTGAAGGAGAAGGAAGCCTTCGAAATTGGTGGCTCAATCTTGAGATTAGGTGAAAAATTAACGATGATATGGCTTACCGATCAAAAACATCATCGATAAATAATATAAACTCTTCCTCTCTCGATCATAGAGACCTCAAGTCGACGAATTGAGAAATGTATTCAATGACAGTACTACAATTAACGTAAGGTTGTGTGGATGCCCACCCTATGCCTTGCCTTATCTCGAAAATAGTACGTTTTTGGGCTTAAAAATGCAGGATCCAATAGTTCCGGAGGAACTATCCGGGTCTTGCTGTAGGCATTAATATCTTCAAGATCCAATTTATCCCATATCGATCTACAGACCTACCACCGTTCCAGTATCGAAGCCTAGCAAAATATTTGTATCAACTTTATTTGTTTTAGAAAGAAAAATAAAAGTGGAGAATACGATTCGCTAACCTCCCGTGAAATTCTGAATCCAACGGTACCCCATTCAGGGTATATGTGCATGACAGGTGCTTATATTTGGTACAAAACCGATTTCGAGCCTTACTGTAATAATATATGTGTGGATTTCATTTAATATTTAAATTACTGTGATCGTTCTGAAATTCGGTATTAAAATCAGAGGTTACCGGAGGATGATCATCCAAGTTTGTTTTTACCGTATCTCTACTATAGGAATTGATCCTTACTTATAAGTAACTAACTAAATGTTTCAAATCCTAATATCGAGGTTTTCATGAAAATAAATCAAGCAATCAGCAGGTTTTTTTTATTTTAAACGTAAATATTACGATTTAAAACATTTACTTTAACATTTTCTTTTTGTAAGTAAAATGTATATTAATGGAGTTATATTTATTATAATGCATTCCAGTTAATGGATAAAACAAAAGAAACCAAAGCTTTGCAGTGATTGATTGTAGTCAAATTTGCTGAAAACATTGTTCCTTTTCGTGACAATATAACAAAACATCTAATTTTTTTACACAACTTGAGTCGAATCTCACTTTATTTCGTAATAAACCTCAACTTGGTTAATATGGACTTAGAGCTTAATCAACAAGAATTTTTTTTTAAAAGTGGGGTATCTGTATCATGGTTGTTGCGTGATAAAAAAATTACCAATAATCCATGAATTTTTTAAGAATATAACTTGGTTACGTTTATCCTCTCAAAAGTCCTCTTAAAATGGTTATGACAAACTCTACTTCCATATGAAGTTAATTTTGTTTTGTTTACTGTAAATCAATTGTTAGTTACTTAAATAAAATATTTCTTCAATTATCGCTTTATTATCTACAATTCTGTTAAACTGAAGGGACTTCGAACAAAATAAAGTTCTTTTTCTATTCTATCCAGGATGTCTTAATAGCCAAACTCTAGAGGATTCTAGACAAAATTTCCAACGAAACAATTGATGGATGCATGGGGTCGACTCTGAACCGAAAAGGAGTTAAGATCAATTTTGTGTAAATTTTTAAAGTGGTCACGGTTTTAATTAAATAAGAAGGAATTCCTAAAAAAACTATTCAAGATAATTTAATTTTGTGAAATTCCTTTTTTCTTTTAAATAAAAACGTCACCCTCTTAAAAAAAACACAAAATTGGTCCTCTCCTTTTCTGTTTGAACTGTCCATTCATCAAATGCACCTTTTTGTTGGATATTTTGTCTTGAATCACCCCACATAGTTTGTTCACTAAGAACTAAGATATTCTGTAATTATTTAACAGTCGATAGATGTTTACCCTCCTCCCTTCCCGCTAAATTCTGTAGAAACCTCGCCATTTCAAATATTTGCCTCGGGTTTTAATGTAGACGCTCCATTACAGGCCCTATCAATAAAGTAGGAATATTTAATTTTTCTTATGTAAATGTAAACACTAAGAATAAACCAAAGTATTCATAAAACTCTTTTTTGTTAGAGAAGGATTCTCAGGAAATTATAAGTGAAATATGTAAAACATTCCGAACAAATATAAAAACTTGAATAAGAAATACTAGTTTAGGTTAATTTATAAAACCTTTTAAAAATGTGTGAAAAGCTGAAACAATGCATTGAATATTTCAACAATTGAAGAATTCTTTCTAATAGTTCTCAAACTTTTTTACCATGGTAACCTTGTCGGAATAAAAAGTTTTCGCGGCAACCTTGTCGGACCGAAATCACAATTGTGGAACTGTTATTCTTGTAAAACTGGGATAACAGTATCTTTACCAATTTTTTATATTATATACTTGAAACAAATCAAATTTTGTCCAGGTATAATAATTAAAATTTAATTTACTTTAATTCTATCATTAACCTACCGAAGCTTTTGAATTTTTAGATTCTATTCACTAAATTGACAATTTCGACTTTAAATATTCCATTAAAATGTTAGTAATTAGTCCGTGCAAATAATTTACATGGACCAGTAAACAAATAGCAATATAATATGGAAACTAGTAAATGCAAAGTATAATGAAAGAGAGAAAATAATTTTAATTCAAAATATTGAGTTCTACCAATGGGTAGTTTCTCTTCATGTTGTACATGTCATGTTACCAATTTCACATTTACTTATTGTATTTTCTATGTAATACAGTTGTAAATTCCATTAAAATAATATTTAAAAAAATTCAAAATAATGGATTAAAAGATGTGCAAAAATTACAATAGCTTTGTCATATCTAGCGATGTCCCTGATTTTGATGATTTTTTTTTTTTTTTTTGGAAGTGTAGAGAATTTTGAACTGTATACATTTTGAGTTAATTTCAAGTAAACTTTCTATTTCTTCACGACTTTTCAGGGGATGGCCTTATTTTCCCTATCTGAAGGAAAAAAACTATAACTATCTTCGATCGGACAATGCATTTCGTCGATACAAATGCTAACTATCGATTCTGAATACCACCACTCTGATATCATTATTAATACAGTCCAAACAACGAGGATATTTTAATTCTCACACTGATATCTGCTTTTATGAAAGTTTGAAGATTTTGTATTCGCTTTCTAAAAATATTAAATTATGATTACAATCGCTAGAGTGCATGATTGAAAATCTTTAATATTTTCATATCCGATTGTTAGCATTTGTATCGACGATATTTAAATTTTTATTCGATAAACGATTTTAAATCAACGCTTCAAAAATATGGCCTTAATTCTATCTCTAAAAAAGTGTATTCTTCCATAGTGGATAGTGGATATCTATTCTTAATTATAAATCCGATGAAATAGCAATAATTTCCACTTCCTCAGTACCAAATAGTATACTTACATTCCCTTACAAAGACCTCCCTTACCAGCGAACTTCTTGCATGCAGTGCTACGATATCTAAATTAACTCCTAGTGTTCCATATCCCTATACCTATATCTCTAATTTTCACCTATGAATCTTCTAAAGCAGTTTAAAAAGATTTTCTTTTTATTAAACAATTTTTAAACGATTTATTACTGAAATATTAAACCACAAAACTGATAAATTTTATCATTTTAAAAAATAATTATTTATACATCGATTTTTTCATAAAATTGAGGCTAGACTAGTTAGAACCTTTTCAAAACAAGCTAACAAGTTTTGAAACTATATTTTATCGAATACCATCAACTTTCGGAGTATATATGTTTTCCCTTACACGCCACATTTCAAAAATGGTTTCCTCCCTAGATTTTTTTTGGGAATCACAAATCATAGCTCTTGAAATACAGGTAATTCAATAACCTTTGAAGTGACTTAGTGAGGAAGCTATCCTAATTATACTTAACAGACATTGTTTTTTTTGCACCTTAATATTTTTAACTTAAACTTCTTTAATTTGCGATAAGATTTAGAGATATAAAAAAAAGACGGATAATTTACAATTATCTAAGAATTCTTCATTATTTACCAAATAGACTCTATCTCCATGTCTCTTGCAGGAATCGATTATTTCTTGTAAGATGGAAGTTTCTGGCAGAGAAATTCGTTCACCCTTGAGGATCCTTGCGGCCATCTCTACTCGACGAACGGGTGCAGACTGAACTACAGCACGGGAAAATGACACTATATATATATATCCTGACGGTCATAAAAACTAACAGGAAAACCTTTTAATTTTTTTTTTTTATCTCAATATAGTGTGACATATTCTGTTTATAGCAGATCACAAATGATGCAAAAACAACAAAAATCCCTAATGTAAAATAAAACAAATGAACACTCTTTAAAAAAAAATAAAAAACAAAAACGCATCTATTTCCTTTTTAATTAAGAAATCTGAGTCTCAAGTACCAAGTGTTCCTCCCTCAGCTTGAATAACGGCCTGTACTAACGTAGCCATCCATACTTCGGATAATGTTGGTGGTAGCCAACTAGTCGATCTTAAACCTGATCCCATTGCAGCGCGGAATGTATTAAACGGGAGTCTTTCTCGACTTTGAACGGGCGTTTGATAGTGTCTGGCTGCCGGGTATGATGTACAAACTGTAAATTCTTACCACTTACATACTTTCTCATTATCCGTTCCTAGCTTAGTGAAAGATACTTCAAAGTAAATCACAAGATTTCCTATGTATCTCTTTTTTCTCAGTTTGCTGGTGTTTCTCAAGGTAGTATGCTAGGTCTTATCCTTTACACAGTTTATACAGCTGACATTTCAACACATCCTAACACTGTCATCACCATCTATGCAGATGACACGTGTATCCTATCAGTTAACAACGATCAATCAATTGCATCCCAAACTCTCCAATCACTTCAAACTCAACAGAAACTCACATTCAACAATCAAGAATTCATCAACATTCAAACTCAACACAAGTCTTGAAGAATGGTGTCAAAAATGGAGGATTAAAATAAATTCCAACAAATCTCATCAAATTACCTTTACCTTTCGTCGCGAACTTGTGACTTCCTCCCCTACTGTATCCCTTAACAATACCCCACTTATCCCTGTGGAATAAATTCGATATTTAGGACTCCACCTGGACAAACGAATCACTTGGAATCCTCATACCAGACTGAAACGACAAGGAACTGCTTGATGTTTTCGACTACTCCAGCACTTACTAGGCAAACCCTCTAAATTTCCAATTACTTACAAAAGACTCATATATATGACTATAATAAGGCCTATTTGGACTAACGGAATCGAGCTTTGGGGCTCTACTAAACCATCGAATTCCTCTCGTATTCAATTCTTACAATCCAAAATCCATTAGAAAATCCTCAATGCACCTTACTTTGTCACAAATAAAATCATCCATAACGACCTCAATGTACCATAGTATCCGATTTAGGCCAATCCAGATAACTATCCTCCCATAATAAACTTCTGAACCATCCGAACCCTCTTGTTTCCAATCTTACTTCCTCTTCTATTTCTGATAACCATCCGAGGCGTCTGAAAAGAAGATGGCCTCGGGATCTTCTATTATAGAACTTTAACTTGAGTTCTACCAAAGTTTCTCTTCATGTTGTACAAGTCATGTTACCAATGTCACATGTACTTGTTTTGTATTTCATGTAATACAGATGTAAATTTCATTAAAAAAAATTTTAAAATCTGACCCCATTCACTTGATTGAAGGTTACTTGGAGGGATCAGTTGTCGACAGCTGAATGTCCCAATATGGTCCTAAAGATGTTTAATAGTATTGAAGTCTGGACTGCGAGCTGGCCACTTTAAGATACGGAAACTAACCTGGTCTAGGTAGTCCCGTACAACATTTGCGATGTGCGGCCAAGCATTGAAAGAATATCTTGCATTAAAAAGAAACGGAGGACGATAAACGGGATGAAAGGTATCATATATATTGAACACAGAAGATAAATGAGTTTTTTCCAAGTGAGGATTATATAAAAATCGGTCGAAAGTTCATCGTTGCAACTCACTTGGATTACCTCAGAATCGGAGTTACATTGACCCTAAATGGACTTAATAGTGTCGGGGATCCCTTGCGGGGTACCTGCGTAGATACGCAGTATATATCTACAAAGAAATATTTTTGGATATCCTTGCTCTTACATAACAGTAGATTGATATCGATCCAGATGTAGGCTTTTCTTAGGGCCATCTGGGCTATAAGACGATGTCTCAGGAAACGGTGCATATACGAGCAGGGGGATACTACTTTTCGACCTCGTCCTGGAAGGAATGATTAAGATTAAGAGAGAAGGATCAGCGGGTTTACCGGAGCACCAAAAGATCGAGGATCGATAACGACCAAAAAAGATAGAAGAGGATTATCAGGGAGCACAAAGTTGAGGAATGGAACCGGCGAGGGCATGAGGGCTTTCGATTGCAGAGCGTAGCACAAGTGAAGAATATTGATTCCCTATGCCCCAACTGCAACGTTCCAGAGACCGGTTGAATGCACTGCCTATGAGAAACTGCGTGCCAAACTTCAGAGAGAGGCTGGAATATATATGTAGTCAGATTAAGACTAGAGAACATTATACACTTTACAAAGGAGAGAATAAAGAGACCTTAGATAAGCTGCAGCTTTTTAGAAGAGGTACTTCAGAGCAAGGGTGCCCATTCCCCCAAGGTCGATGGCGCATGAACCTACCTCTCTCTCCCTTTCTCCCAAGACATTTCATTGCTCACCTTTTCCTAAACAGAGCAAGCTCAGGTAGAATTAAAAAAAATCGTAGATCATATACAATTACACTTGCTGCGGTATGTTCATTGTTTTCTCCCTAGCCTCTTAGTCCGAAAATTCATAACAACGTCGAAATTTGCCCCCGTCAAAAATATACGTTCTGATACCGATATTCCAAAGATCGATATTGGAATTGGTAATATTTTACTTGGAATATTCTTTTTATTGCTGAATGAACGTTTCAACGTTTTTTTTCCGATATGAAATATTTATCCATTTTTGGTTAAACATTTTTTTATATCTTATGTAATATGAATAACTTCAAGGATTTATTTAACAAACAATTGAAGTAGTAAGGAAAGAGAATTATATAATACAAACACATAATTATAAGAAGTAGATAATTTACGCCCAGCAACTTGGTAACCGAAGTTTGAGATAAAAAAATAATTACGAGTTCAAAACGTACCCGGTGGGACTTTTAACTCGGCATAATTCCTTGGACCTCTACCTCTCTCCAACTTCCCTCCCTTCCTTCGGCCCTAGAAAAACCTCGTATAGCCTAAAGGGCAAGGAAGGGGAGCCAAAAAAAAAAATCTCGTGTCCAATATCACGAACTTTTTGTTTGTTCCAACTTCATTGCAGAAACTTTATATGAAAATGGAGGTGTCCACATGAAAGTTGAATGAATCATAAAATCCAAGGATATGTTTCAATATTATTATTATTCCTTAATGTGAATGTAGATTTAAATAATGGGAATATTTGGGTCGTGATAAAATAGTTACATAGCTACTTATTGATCATAGCTTAGCCAGTTAGTCTACTTTTCTAATTCTCTTAATATTTTTCATTTTACGTGTATTATTCAATCAAGTAGCTTATTTGTTATAAATTTTAAATTTTTTTTACTTCAAATTATTGGGGAAAAGATTTTCGCCCTTCTCAACATTTTTATTAAGGGGGATAATTACCTCCTTCGTCCCTCGGTAGGCTGCGCCTTAATTTCATTTCAAACTGAAAATTAACATGGGAACATTTGATTTTTGTTAAATAATATTAATTTTCATAAATTAATATTTTTATTTTTCGACGACTATGTATGTGAGATATTGTTTTTCCAAAAAATTCTCAGCTTTCCAACGATACGTATACATTCCGGGTTTTCCGAATATATATGTATTTCCGGATATATATTCATTTCTCATCCTAAAAAAACGTTTTTCTTGTTTTTCCTTTAGACAATTATCAAATTCTTTTTTAGTTTATATAGATCTTTTTTTTTTTTTTATCATCACTGAGATATAGTTAAATATTTAAAATAAACCAAACTAAAAATACTTTAAAGGAAGAAATTTTGAAATATTGGCATTTAAGCCTTACCAGACAGCATCGATGAAGATAAAACCTACCGTAAATTAAAAATCACTTAATAATACAGTGATATACAGATTTTAATCAAAATCGTTAGAGCTGTTTTCGAAAGTCGTAAAAATGGGTTAAATTGAAGATATAGAATTCTACTAGGTTGCCGATTTTGATGAAAAGTTTAATGTAACATCCAGGGCATATACAAAACTTGAATACGCAATTTTAGTTTCGCACTTTTCTTCTTTGAGGTAGACTGTTCACACACACACACACGAACGGACCATTTAGCGAGACTTGGTTTTTTTAGACGCCAGGATCCTCAAAACGTGTATTTCGGCTGACAACTCGGAATAAAAATTTTTCACAATCACAATAGTTTCACTTTCAATTTCTTATATAGATAAGTGAAAGTAAAACTCATAAAAATAACCATAAAGTGAGATAGTTCAATCAAGTTATCAAAATGTCCGCCAAGAAAGATTTCCTTGAAAAAATTTAACTATGATTTTAAATTCTCGATTGAATAGGCATTAACGGATGGAAAATGATAAAAATAAAAAAAATTCGAGCAACAAAATTGATTCAAATTGGAAAATTTCAAATGGATTTAAAACATACAAAAATAGGTTTCATTTTTTTTCTAATTATTGTTAGTCGATTGTTATACATATCATGGGTGACAAGTAGGAAACTTTGGGTGATAAATAGTAAGGTAAAATGAATAGGCAGTCATAAAATTCTTAAATTGACTACGTCCTGACTATTGATCAGCCATGATTTTTTCTAACATTTCGTCTTCAGTCATACTTAATATTTATATTTTATTAAAATTAAGATCATGACTATTCATAATGTATTGTATGTACTGAAGTTTTTGCTTTGGTCTTGGCTTTTTTTGAGGTTTTTAATATAAATTTAATGTGTACTTATATAATTTTTTATTTACATTGTTAATATTTTTTTATGTAAATAATATTTTATTTATCTTCTCTTCCTTCTTTATGGCTTATATTGACATTGAAATAATCTATATTCTGGGAAAAAGTAACTTTAGAAATATATACAACGATAGTTAGAAGGAAGGAGAGTGGCGAAAAAAAAATATAAATAATAATTTCTAAAAACTAACATTATTTAATGTAAATCACGTGTTTCCAATGAAATTAAATGACATTTTCTAACTAAATGTAAACTTTAAAATTTTTTTTAAGTTTGAAAAAAAGTATGTAAAAGCCACCGAATCAAGGCATTGACATTGTTTAAAACATTATTTCATTGTACTTGTATAAAAGAAGAAGTAAAATATAAAAATATTTCATGGTTATGTTTATAATCTTGAATACATTTACTGCAGTTAAATAACTCTAGTTCTGATATTATATTTAAATAATTAGGTAGTTATCTGTCGTTTATTGCAAAAAAAATCATGAAGTGACCTTTTAGAAAATTAAATTAGTGAATGATTTGATGAACTTTGTGAAATCCCAACATTATCCACTTACAATTTGTGTGACAACTTTTGACCTATCCATGGCAGACAATGAAAATCTCGTAATTTTGTTTTAGTCCTTTACAATGAAAAATAACAGTTTAATAACTAACAGACCTTCAACCTGTAATCACTTTCAAATCTCTCTAGACATAATGAGCCTTTCAGTTGGCAGAATGACTAACTCCAATTTCAACAAAGTTTTTCAACTAGAAATATCATTAAAATGACATTACTCAAAAATGTTGAAATTAAAGTTTGCAGTCATTTTTTTCTACTGAAAGGCATACATATGTATCTCAGAGCCTGAAGTTACGTGGTTTATAAAAACAGACAGTGTAACTAGATTTTTATTGCCTACCGTCGATATAATAAATAGTTTTAGATATTTTAATGGTATTAATGATTTTTTATCTCTAAGCTTGAAGGTTTAGCTCCGTTTAAAGAGTACTTTAAAAAAATTATAATAGCCCAATATTGCCAGATAATAATTTCTATTCAAAGTAAAGCAGTAAGTAGAAGTTGTGTATTGCGCCTACCAGATTTTTTATATTAGTGTTTCTGACACATTATCAATTATGCATGGATTTCTAAGTTATTATACACCAATCAATTTGTTTTTTGGTTTAAAATAAGAAAAACATATCGCTGATTTGTATTTAACGAATTATAATGTATAATATATTACAAAAACCAAATTATGCTTGAAGTAGGCCAAGTAATTTATTTTGTTTTTATCCTAAATAAACATTGATACAGCAATTGGAAAATTAAATTATTGCTTTCCAAACCATATCAGTATTTTTTAGATTTTACAGCTTTATGGAAGGTAGGGATGACGGGGAGAACCGTTGCCCTCCCCTCTAAATAATTTCAAATAAAATAAAATATAATATAATACAAAAGATTTGCCAAAACATAAATTTAAAAATTGTTGTTCTATGTTAATATTTTATTTCGTATAAAAATATTAATTAATTGTAACATTAATAAACTACTTAGTAAATATTATAAAGTTTAAAATCATTTATCCACCTGAGATTTTCCTATATTTTCCGTCTTTCCTTCCACCTCTTGGCCTTTATAAGGAATGAATAAAGAAAAACTCAGGAAAGGTTTTTATTTTATGCCCCCAACCCAAACTTATTTACAGTTGTCTGATTTGTACTATTACTTGTATTTGATAGAACCCCAAATTCATACTAATTTTCGTTTGGATGGGGACATAACGTAAATGTTCTGCCCCAGCATAGCATATTTCACAAATTGCCACATTTTATAAATATTTGATATGTGAAAGAAGAAGAGGCTGAGATGGCCCAGAAATTTAAAGTGTTGCCTGTTTTAAATTCTCGAGTCTGTTCCCAGGAGGGTTGAAATTTATTTTGTTTTAGACCCAAGGAATGTATTTCGGCTTTCCTACAGGGGTCAGAGTAGTTCGGTTGTACCTCTAAAACAGATCTTCCCTTTCCTCCCAAAATCGAGAAATGTTGAAGCAGTAAAGGAAAAACAAGAAAATATATAATAACTGCGTATGTAATTTCTGTTTATAACATTTTTGCATAGATTATAAAGAATGGGATTGGGTTCCATTAGTGAATTTAATGTTATATTGAACATGGGGCAAAAGTAATTCCCGAAGTTTCTTGTTTCTCTCCAAGGCTCTGCTCGGAGATGACTTATAATTCATTAGATGCTTTAACTTCCAAGTCAGAGTGGGGAAAATAGGAGAGGATACGATTGATGTGTTTTTTTTATAAGTAAGGACGGGATTTATAGGAATGTTTAAAGATAATGACGGATTTTCGGGGCACTCAAATACAAGATTACTCCAGAACAGTTGCTGCTCTAAGACAACTCCAAGGTTTTTGAGAGAGTTATAAAATTAACTAGGAATGTTTTTGAGGACAAATAAAGGACGATAAGGAAGGAAATATAAGATGGGCTTAAAACAAATGTCAATAGCTTCAGTTTTTGTACATTCAATTGCAACTGCAGTTGGCCTCTGATTCTCATATGGTATGACTACATTTTGTCCATCATTTATAAGCTTGACAAACTAGAAATATATAATGCATCGAATCGCCATTCTGAAATTGTTAAAATTATATTTTATTGTACAATGCAAGCTTAAAAGTACCACATTTTTTTTTTTATATAGGTTCTATATTGAATCAGTCATTTCAATTAAAATTTTCAACAATAAATTTTTACATACACAATATACACCAGCATTCTTGGGTAATTTTATGTTTGGTTAATGCCTGAATATTTCGTGCATTAAAAAATATAATTTATTATTTGGGTTGCGAAGGGTAAATATTAAAATTGTTTTTAAATAATTCGATTCCAAAAATCTAGTGGAATAAACTTTAGATCTTCCATTATATTTAAGATATGCTCCATAGATTTTCATTTTAATTCATATTCATTTTATACTAAGTTATATTTATCCAAGAACACTGGTACATGTTATGTAAGTAAAAATTAATGGTTGAAAATTTACTAGGATTGACTGGTTCGATAAAATAAAATCAAATCATAAATATAAAATACAAAATAGAATAATAAATTAGAAAGATTTGTTCATTTTGTTATTTTAATGGTTTTAATAGAATTTTAGATGCTGAAGAGAGGATCAAAGCATCTCCAAAACGTTAAAAAAGTAATATGAAGGACTATGAACACAATATTTTTTTAAGTTCTGGCCTGTGAACAAAGTTATGAAGGAGAAATAATATAAATTTTGAAATAAAAACTTTGAAAAAATATTTCTATTAAAGAAAATTTTATAGTAGATCAGTAAAGTTTTCATAAATGTTAAAAAACGAAAAAAAAAAAGTATGTAATAAAAGGATAGAGAAAATTCAGTAGAGTACAGTATACATTTTAATATCAATAGGTTCATCATCAGGTAATAATCATTTATTAATTTATTGTTGCGAGTGAGAGTATGAATAATGTCTTCTTATCATATACTCAGGTTTACTTTTAATTAATAATAACTTGAGAATATTTAAATGTACATATACTTTAAAGATTATTCAGAAGCTATCTCTGAAATTAAAAAAAAAAAAAAAATAACTATTTTTGATTCCTTAAATAATATAAGTAATGGCTTGGTATAAAAAGTTTTCATATATAAATACAAAGAAAGCTTTTCATTAAAATTGTTTTATTTTATTAAAATATCTTTAATCTACATAGATGATTATTAAGACTAAATAATTATAATTAAAAACATCTTCAATATATTACAATTAAGGGACAATAGTTTTGTCATGTTATTTAAATATATATATATATATATATATATATATTGTATATATATATTGTTTATAGCAATTGTCCATTATACCTAATCCAGTCTAGATTAATTTATATACATTCACTTTTATTTGATTATTTAGAATAGATACGGGTATTAGTGGGTATAAAGTATTTTAAACAAAATTCTAATGTTTAAACGAGCTGCTTCCTTAGTTCATAGCGTAAGATTTTACCAACTGAGCTCTTGGGGAGACTATCCACAAAGAAGATACCACCTCTAAGTTTCTTCTCATCAATTACATTCTCTGAAACAAAAAACAAAACATATTGATAACTATTTGTTACTGAAGGCCATGCGGGCTAATACGTGTGCAAATCAAGCATTGCACAGCAACCTGATCACTGAAGATAAAATGATAAAATAATTATGAGTTTGCGACCCGGTGTTAGAGGAGCTTTTAATTTGATATTTATCTCCTGGCCTGGGAAAAAACCCAAAAAGTCTAAATAGAAAAAATACCAAAGGACAAAAAAAAAAAAAATAAACCACGGTGTGTGCTTTAGACCAGATGATAGAAGTGAAAACATCAACAAGGGGAGATTAATAATAAGAAATATAGTTGTTTTTTGTTCTTTATTCTAAAATTAATAACATTTATAATGTATACAGTTGTGTATAAACTATTTGTTGTTCTATATTCACATAGTAATAACATTTACAATATCTTCGATTATAATTGTGTATTAATTATTCTATTAAACTTTGCTCTGACTGATCATCATTTGTATCATACTATTAAAATGATAGATGTTTATGATAATTAAAACATGTGATGAATACTTGTGATTGAAATCTATTTGCTGAATATCTAACAAAAACTGCCATTTTTTAATATGACTTCTGTAATGGGGGTCAGTAATTTGTCGAAACTCTATCGAATGTAGTAGAAAATAGAATAGAAACACATAATTTATTATTTATTATTTTTAAGGCTAATTAAAAAATAAATATATATTGACGTCTGCAAATTGGTCTCTGAATTCTCCATGGTATTTAAATTTTGAGTTATTTTAATCCAAATGTTCAAAACAGTCGTTATTATTTCTTTTTTTGGTGGTACCGATTGGTTTATTTCCCTCTCTTGCAGTATGGAGGTTTGAATTTTTATTTTAGTTTTTGAGATATTTTAATCCAAATATTCAAAAAAGCTCGTGATCATTTGATTTTCAACACAATCTCTTTCCCTTTTTGCCTCTCCAATATAGCATTGAGTTAAGATACAATTTTGAATTATTGTTCATTATAAAGGAGATGAAATGCTGAAAATTTTTCTCATTACATATGCGAGCGTGGCTCAGTCTTATTCACTATCCACAAAAAAAGTGCAAAGCATGCCTAAAGAAGTTTTCACTTCAAATGGTAAAAAAACTATTTTTTACTGTTTTAATATCAATATTATTTATTTGATTTTTTCTTCAATTTTAATTCTTTATAGGTAAATAATCAACTATATCAGCTTCACATCAATTATTTATAATCCTATTGGCTAGTGAGGATGTTTAAAACAATTCTTGTGTTCAACAGAACAACTTTCTGGGTTTCTTTAGTAATAGTTATTGAAAGGCCCTATCCCCCCTATTGTCTGATACTGGTCTTTATGGTAAACAATCTATGTACTTTATCAAGTCAGCATAGGTGCAGATTTCGGGATAGGATGAGTGAGGATAGCGATAGCGATCCCTATATATTTTATAGTGGATATTTTTTATGAACATAATTACATAACTGTTCAGATGGTAAAAATCGTTTATTTTTATTTTGAAATTGTACAAACGGAGGAATCAAAATATTTTCCAGTTTTTAACACTATTAATTTTTGTTGGATAAGTTATAGAAATCTATCAGTTATGTAGGCTCTCCTTCCCCTTATGTTTCAATCTATACAAATATATATAGTATTTCCAATTTTTTTGTTCAGAAATTTTCAAGTATATAAATATCATTTTAAAAAATCCTACAATTATACAAAGATACATATATAAATTTATTTTTAAATATTCAGTATTACATTTGTTTCGCAATAATTATATTGAATTTTTACACAATATGGACTGCTGTATTTTTTTTTCTCTACTTTTTTGGTCCATCACCCTCTCCTCCCCCCAAATCAAAATGGAAAGCCTGTACCTATGCCAGTCAGAGCAAATAATTTCACTTAGCAGATACTAATACAATTTAGTCCCGTAATTTTTTGTTTATTTTATTATTATGGGTCATTTCATATCGAACAGCCCAATGAAAAATAAATTTTGATCCTGCTTATTTCCAATTCATATGGTTTTATGTTATGATCACGTTATTTATATCTCCTAAATATCTTACAAATCTATTTTTTTTTTAAATTTTCCAGTAAGTTTTTAAATATAGATTTTCAAAAACTGCATAAATAGGCAAACAACATGTTTTTGATTACAAAAATGTCCGTATAGAAAATCATTTCTTGTGTAAATTTAGAACTTTGAAAAAATCTAAGATGTGTTTTTAGATTTTACTTTAGGTGAGCCAGAGGAAACATATAAAAATAAGGTTATCCTGATGCTGAGTAGGATAAAAGTAGTTTCCAATTATGAATTTATTTTATTTTCATATTTTGGGGATTTGAGGATTCCAATAATTTAATTTGGAACACAAAATTTTTTGTCATTCTATAGATTTATGTAGTTTACTAGTGGTGAATAAAAGTTCTGCTTTTCCAATTATTGAGAATAATAGAGGGAGTGATATTTGTTTCATTGCTTGGGCACACCATTCATATATTTTCACTAAACAAAATGTGTAATTTGAAACAAAAATAAACCGTAACTTTATTTTATGAAATTGATTTTGTTTGAAATTACATTTATTGTTTCAAATCCTGGTAAATACTGTATTTGAAGTAAATTAAGTTAATTTTCTAGTCACATCATTCAGGTTCAGTGCCATTTTCTCATAAGTGTTTTATAAATATTACGCCAAAGGTCACCAAATATAAACAGTTTTTATATCATGTATTATTTATTCGACGTTTCGGCTTCAGGAGCCATTTTCAAGATCCTGCAAACTAATTTTAATTCAGTTTTTACACTTCAAAATACATCCTTATCAGACACATATTATTTAACAACTATCAGTAATATAAATAGTCCAAATTCTATTTTATAAAAAATAAAATTTTTTATTATATTAAATTTATATCATCTACCGACCATGCACCGTTTCAAAAAAATTTTAAAATCTATCATTACAATATAATTCGTTCTTCTGTCATTCTTTTATTTCATAGAATGTCGTTTTTTCACTTCAAAAAGTTGTAATAAATAAATAATTAATTAAAATATAACGTTAATTTTTTTTAAAAATAGATTATTATTAGTTCTCATATTAGTGAGGAGCAACATTTTTCTTAATATCGTCTGCGAAAGAGGTACATAAATCGAGAACTAATAATATTCTTTTTAAAAAGCATTGTAACAAATCTTGAAATAAATATGCAGTTATTTTTTTATCAACTAAAGTGGGTCTCACCAGAGATGTAGTTGTAGAGTTCTTCTTCTGTAAGATTGGACCCAGATCTCTTAACAACAAAGGCTGCAGGAAGATCTCCACCTAATTCAAGACATGTTTTCCCTACTACACAAGACTCAATGACATCAGGATGCCTCTGCAGGACATTCTCCAGTTCAGCAGGAGCTATCTGGAATTATAATTAAATGAGCGAAATATAAAAAAAAATTGATGCAAACAATTCACAAAAAAGTTTGTTTTGTAACCAAATATTGCCTAAGATAGTTACAGTATGTATGTAGGTAAACAACCAAATTTGTTATTGGTTAACAAATTTGTTTGTTTCTGTTATTAGTAATTATAACTACAATATTTAATAACCAACTGAATAGATATAAAGTTAAATTAAAGTTTTGGAGGGTGATCTTGAAATGAAATGTTAGAAATACAAAAGCACAAATACCGCTCTAAAAACTTATCATTCATTAATTTTTTAAGAAAAAGATATTTAATTTATTTTTTTTTAATGGATTTTTTTTATTCAAAATTATTTTAAATATATATACAGGGTGTTTCAGAGTTAAGCGGCCAAACTACAAAAATAAGCTAAGGACCTCAAAACAAGAAAAAAATATCCTCTGAAGGAATGTCCGCAAACGCTTTGTTTAGGAGATATTCACATCTAAAGATTTTCATTGTTATGAATTATTTACATTATATGAAATAAATAAAACCTATTTATTTTATATAACTACTTTATTAATTAAATGTAAACATCAACATTCATGTTAAATATTTTCAAAATGAAAGTATGTCCACAAATGCATTGTTTAAGAGATAGATTAGATAGAATACTAATATGGCCTTTTATCCTAACTTTATAAAAACTATTGACAACTTAAGAATTAATACTATTATGAATTAGCATTGGGAACTCTCAATAACATTTATCAGTTTGTAAGCTGCTTTCGCAGAGTACTCATCATTGTCTTACATTTATACCAGTGGCTTGGCCTGCACGCTCTCCAGACCTGACCACTGGATTTTTTTTTTGGGTGACATTTAATAAAAAGTCTATGGAAGTCCGGTCAATGACCTTAATTCCTTACAAAGAAGGATAATTGAATGTTGTGAAACAATAACACATATCCAGTACAGATCTACCGCTGATGCTATTGAAGAAAGTTGCTGAGCCTGTGTTAATGCTCAAGGAAATCACTTTGAATACTCAATGAAAATCTTTAGGTGTGAATATCTCCTAAACAAAGCGTTTGCGAATACCTCCATAGGAATTTTTTTTCTTGTTTCGGGGTCCTTAATTTATATTTTCAGTTTGGCCACTTTACCCGGAAACACTCTGTATATAGTTAAACATTAAATTATTATTATGATAAAAGATAAATAAGGAAATCAATATTAGACAAAGTACTGTATAATTTCTTTTTTGTTGTTGATTGTAAGTGTGGATTTATTTAATTTTAGCATTTAATCAATAGTAGATTAAGGTTTGATAATTGCAAATGCTCCCGCCAACATATTCCACAAAACATAAAGTGTTTTCAACAAGAAAAAAAAAATCATTTAACGTTTCAGCGTTATTAGCCATTTTCAAAAATTTGTAAATTAAATAAAACAAGAGTCATAAATAAACATCTTAAAAAACAAATAATGCTTGTTGGAAGTACATGTTAAAGATAATAATTTATTTAAAATATAGTTGTTTTAATGTCTCTCTTTATTTCACATTTTCTTTTTTTAAGGAGATAATTTTTTGGAAAATTTAATTTTCTTATTCAAATAATGCAGTGTATCAATTTATAACATGTAGTTTAGACTGCTCCATAAGATTGATTTATTTACTACCCCTTATTATTCTTGTTTATCTCTTTTCATTTTTAATTTTTTTTTCTATTTTCAACTTTTTATTTATCTTCATTGTTTTGTATGCACTGTTTTAACTTATGCATCCCTGATCTACTTTGTGCCAATTGTTAGCTTGTAATAAAAACTGAATTCTCTATATTTTGTTTTTTAATATTCTGCTGTTTAATTAACAATCTATAATCCTTATACTTACAAATCTTAAAATAATTTGTATTACTATTTTATGGTCATGAGGCATAACATAATTATAGTACAGTTTATTGTTGTATTTATAGCTGCTTGTTACCTGTTGTCCTCGGTACTTCATTACGTCCTTCAGCCTGGAACTGTAGAACAGATATTCTTCATCATCATAGTAGCCAAGGTCTCCTAAATGCCAAAAACCATCCTTGTCCATATCTTCATTAGTAATTTCCTTGTTGATATACTGTTTTAGAACTGAAGGAGACTTGATGCATAATTCTCCTATGGCGAATGGAGGTAGAATTTTTCCTGTCTCAGGATCTACTACCTGGATAAATATAAAGCAAAACTGTGTTCAATCATATTTATTTAAGTGTAGTGGACAGCATGTCAAAATTAATTTATGGAAAAAAACATGGGTAAGCTCTTTTTCTTGCTGCTACATAGCAATTTTTATACATATAAAAAAACATTGGTTACTAAAAAATTACTTATGCTGCATTTTTGTGAAACGCATCAGATCTTTCTGAGAAATATATTTTATAATTGGAAGCTGGAAACGCTATTCCTCATATAATTGCAACTAAGTGTGGTATTACTATAACTTAAACTGACACTAAGGTATTACCTGAATCTCATCAATATACAATAAAAACACTATTGTGAAGTAAGATCAAATAAAAGAACTTTTTATTTAATAACTTTTATATGTAAATTGATTATTTGACTAAATTTTTATTCGGCATACTTCTTATTTTTAGTTTTGAGGTCAACCCTTAATGTATGCAAGGCTCAAGGAAATCACACTATGTTACATGAAGATGGGCTTGTTTAGCAAACTACTAACATCAGTTTGTTAATTCAGGTTAATATATTTAGATTAATCTTTCAGTTAATTAAAGAGATAACTCATTTTTAGCCATTGACAATAGCATTTCCTGGATAGTAGAAACAGAGGTTCACAAAATAAAATTATGATGATGAATAGATCTCACTCCTCTAGGAGTAAAAGTAGAGTTTGCCATATTAAAAGCTTTGATTTACTCAGTCTCAAATAATGTGTTTCTATTTCTTTTTAGTACTATAAAATAATTATAATTTTCTTTTATGAAGCTGGTGGTATTACATGCTGAAGAGCATGAATGGAATAAGCACGACTAGCCTTCAGTATGTATTTTCAGGGGTGCTCAGACCCAGCTCTTTCATACAGGCAATCTAGGGTAGGTGATATCTGTATACGCATACGTATCTGTTATATGAAGAAGAAGAAGAAGAAAAATAAATTTTATTCTGGGACATTTAGTCCCCTTAGAATATTTATAATGTATAAAAAGATGAAAATTGCCTGGCACTATAAAAATAAAAAAACAAAAAGAACAATCTTAGCTAACGCAGCATATTAATCTAACCTTATATTCAAATTAATTAAGTACAAGTAAACATATTGATAAACATATTCTGATTAACAATATTGATGATATATAAGTAACAGTAACATAACAGTCGAATGAGAGTGACAATTCTTTAATACAAAATTTTATCCTTACATGTATTTGGAAGATTGATTGCTAAGGAGGTGAAAGAACAAAAGTTGTTCAAATGAGGTTAAGGAAGAGGATTTGCATATAGACAAAGATAGATAATTTCAAAAAAACGTAGCACGTCCGATAAGGATTTTTTAAAGGAAACGGTTCTATATGAGGGCACAAACAGGTTTATATACTGGGATCTCATGTTGATCAAATGAACAGAGGAACAAGAAGTCAACAAATCAAGAAGATAAGATGGCTTTTTGGTTGTAAACGTTCGAAAAAGGAATACACCAAGAAAATATTGCCTCCGGAAATCTGGATAGAGCCACTTCAACTCGCTATAACAACTGGAGATGTGGAAGCACCTAGAGACTCCAAAGATAAATCGAATAAAACAATTCATTAATCTTCTTAATCTGATCTCAAGCCCACCAGGCAGTCCACCATATGCAAGGCAGCCATAATCGAAGTGAGGAAACTAGGAGGGTTTTTAGGGGCCTAGAATCATGGAATCTCAGTAACTGTTTAAGGGTAGAAATAGATTTTCGGATAATTTGGGAGACATGCTTGTTTAGGGAACACATCAAACTTTATATTTGAATCAAATCAAGTAAGCACATCACAGCAATATAGCAATCAATTTTACTCATTCACTTCTTTAATCCTTTAACTCCTCTAATTTTACAGTCCACAGCAATAAATTTTCACCAGCTCTTAAAGCAGAATTATTATGACAATATCCCTAACAGTCTTGGAAGGGATTGGCATAGTAAAGTAAACATTTGGTCCTCCGGGCCGGATATTATTAAAATCTTTAATAATAAACTAAACATTTGGTCCTCCGGGCTCTGATATTATTAAAATCTTTAATAATAAATCAAACAGTTGGTCCACCGGGCCCCGATATGATTAAAATCTTTAATGATTAAATCATACAAAATTTTCTTATGTCATTCAGGTTAAACGTAGTATATTGGCACTCATATTTATATTTGTTCTCATTTTAGTTTTCTAATTACCTCTTATATTATTTATCACATCAAATTTAGCAATTAATTAATTAATTTCTATTCATTGGCCTATTTCTTTTTCTGATATTTAAATTAGGTTTCGATGCATAATGAATCCATATCAGTTATGAATTATCATTGTTGTAGCCCTCTTTAAATCAACCACTACCTTAATTGAGAGACATTTATTTACCAGGCATTTAATAAATAATTTTTTTTGTATTCATAAATATTTATTTATTTATCTACTGAACTACATTACTAGTTTGTATATTATCAGAAATTAATTAGCACTTATTGTCTTTAATAAGTATTTTAGTCGTAATCATAATCATTCAATGTTAATATCTAATGTCCAGCCATGAAGTTAAGCATTCAGCAGTGATTCATTCACTAAATAAAGAGGTAGCAGTCTTTTAATTTCTCTTTGTTATAACAACTTTTAATGGATAAAAACATCACGCACTCATTTGATGTTTACTCTTATATATACACACATATTTTATAACTTAGCATTCTATATCAAATTAAAAGCAATTAATTTGATTATAAATATATGTGTATGGTTTATAATTAGATACCTCATTTTTCATTAATTTAAATTTTTATTGCTTAAATTGCAATTTTTTTTCTTACAGCAGTTTCTGCATGGTCTCTTTAGCACATTCATGCCTGGTTTGTTTTGTTTATAGTTGTCTCTCTATCCTCTTTATTACATTGCAATCTTCTTTGTGTTCATCGGTTCTCTCTTCCTTGAACCCCCTTGCTTCGTCGTTTTTTCTTATGAAAATGGCACCAGTTAACACTGATTACAACGCTCAAATCACTACCCTGGAGCGACAGCTCAGAGGTTTACACCGGAACATCGTGGGATGTTCAGATTATGGTTCGGCAGCACTTTCGGATCTTGAGAAAGCTCCATTATTTGAAGCTCAACTAGATGCTGCAAATTCCGATTGGGCGCTGTTTATGGAAAAATGGGAGAAATGTGACACCATTCACGCTCTTGCGGGTGAAGATTTCCCGAGTACACGTATGCAGGAGATTTACGACGCATGTAGGCATGAAGTAATACAGGCAAAAGCTATTATGCTCCAGATAAAGCGGAAGCTAGCAGCGGAATTGAATCCAGCAGTTCAGGATCCTGTAAATCGTTCTATGGAACCAACCACGAGCAGGACAATTGGCGCTAAGGCCTATTTACCGCAGATACCCATACCAAGTTTCTCTGGTGAGATAAAGAATTGGACCCATTTTAAGGACACCTTTGCATCACTAGTCCATCACCAGACATCACTCACCAACACCGAAAAATTCCATTACCTACTTGGGGCACTAAAGGGTGAAGCCGCAGCTTTGGTTTCAAATATTCCAATAGAAGATAGGTCATATGTCCTAGCTTGGGATAAATTGATGCAAACTTATGACAATCCCAGGGTACTAGCAACATATTTTCTTCAGCAGATATTGGATTTTGAAACCAAAAATACAAGGAACGAGCTGCAGAATTATGAGAACTTCCTTATAGGTCTAGCCGACAACATTCAAGGTTATAAGGCTCTCAACTTGGAACATTCATCCGAGGTTCTGTTGGCGTTTCTGGCATTAAGGGCTCTCGATTCGCAGACTCGAAGGCAATTTGAGATAGCAAGGGCCTCAACAAGCACATTCCCAACAGTAGACGACGTAATCACCTTCGTCAGACAAAGGAAGATAGCCCTCACAATCTCAAGAGACAGTTGCCTCCTCTGCAAGCACTACTCAAGACGATCGGGTTAAAGCACAGTACCAGCACTCACAATTTCCAAGTCGTGGATCACCAAAGTACAGAACTTCGAGTTTCCTACATACTAAAACCCCACCTAACAGAAATTCCAGCAATTCTCCTAACAGCATCAAATCACCTTTCTCTACTCCTCGGACAGCCCGATACCAAAGTCCACCACGATGTTGTCCGTTCTGCAAAGAACAACATGATCTGCCAGGCTGTTTTAATTTTTGCAACATCTCCGTAGAAGATCGCATAGCATTCGTTAGCAGTCTGAAATGTTGCAAGAATTGTCTTCGCCAAAATCATAACACATCAGAGTGCAAGTCAAAGTTTACATGTCGTTTCTGCAAGGCTCGACATCACAGCTTACTGCACGAGGTTAAATCAAATGCACACAGCACTCCTATCCTCTACACATTTTGCAGGATTTGGCTCAACTTCCCAACACCATAACACTGAATCCTATTATGTACTAGGAACGGCTCAACTCAACATTTTGGACCCTGAGCATAGTTTGCACACAATCCGAGCAGTAATAGACTCCGGAAGCCAGCACTCCTTCATCTCACAAGCCATTGTAAGCAAGCTTGGATTCAAGACCAATCCGTTAAACATTAGCATCGCTGGTCTTGGTGGTAATCCAGTTGTGAAACCAAAAGGGTCAATTGATTGCACCCTCAAATCACTTTTTAGCAGTGAAGAATTCAGCATAACACCCATCGTAGTGGATTCCATCACTCCACCACTTCCCAGCACTAGATTGGAACCATATGTTATTCAGCTATTATCTGGATACCAGCTTTCAGATGAAACTTTCCATACACCCGGCACCATCGATCTTTTGATAGGCATTGATCTATATCCTCAAATCATCAATGGAATTCCATTCAGCTCCGGTGTTGATGAGTTATTCCTTCAGCCAACAGTGTTTGGCTTAGTAGTAATGGGGAAGACAAAATGCCTTTCAACTCCAGCTTCATCTCCGCTCTTCACTGGATTCCAGCAAAGTATTCAAGGGCAAAAAATAGATACAATTGACAATCCGGACAAGATAATGGTGGGCGGCGAAGTTGGTGAAACAGAAGAACCACAGGCACCTACTATCTCGCCTTTTAGTACTTTATCGAAGCAAGATAAATCAGCAGTCAATGTTCTTCTGTCCTTAAGTCAATGCCCTGTGGACAAAAGAGATCACGCATTCCTAATGCCAAACCCTATTTTTAATAAAACCACTTTTGTAGACAACAGAAATGGCAAATTGAGTTCCAAACCTCACATACGGTACACGACAACTTCGGATGTAGCGGTTCAAAGAGAACAGCGATCGCAAGTCCAGAATACCATCCGTCAACCAATACAGCATTACAAGTCCTCTCCAAACATCGATTGCATTTGCGCAGCAGAAGCAGCAACAGTACAGCAGCAAGCAGAATTTCAGTGCAAAACAACACCAGTTTCTACTCCAAACCCAGCACTCAATGAAACCGCAATTTCGACAACACATTTGGAAACAGCAACCATTACAAAATATGGCACAGCATTCAGCGCAGCAGCATTCTCGACGGCACGTTTGGCAAAGCAAATATCGCCACATCACTCTGCGAAGCAGCGTTCCCAAGAGCATATAACGCACTTGAGCCAGCACTCAATGCGGCAACTACCGCGACAATATTAAGTGCAGCAGCACGAATTTTAGCATTTAGTCAGGTGCCATCAGAAACACAATCATTCGAGGCTCATTCACTCTCTCTGAAGTCTCAGCGCTCTGAAGTCGCAAGAAATCAGAAATCATCAGTCACTTCGACATCAAAAGTCATGCGTAAACATTTGGGTAACACTCCAATGAACGAGGCAGCTATCGTTTGAAACTCCCAAACCACTTTGAACCTCAGCAATGGAAACGTCACCATGAAGGGTCAACTCGAAGGCACTCCAAAGGTAGCTTTTACGCTTAGAGCATCTTATCATTTTATCACTCACTCCGATCATCGATCATCTACTTCCAGCATGACCAGAATGTCCGACCAGATCTTGTCAAGTAGAGCAATCAATATCTTAAACAAGTCCATATGGTAGATTTACTATTTGTCCATTAGTTAACCCCCATCTTCCTTGTATATATTTTGTTTGTATATTGTTAGGCAATTTACTTCCTTTTATACTCGTTAGTAATCTTAGTTTTATAAATATAAGTGCCAAAATTCTTTATTTTGTTTAACCAATCGTGTTTTGTTTAACCAATTTTGTTATTTTGACCAATCAAAGTGCGATTATTTTCTTTTTATATTTTATTTACAATTACCATTAACTTCCTTAATTAATCATGATTGCTTATTTTAATTTCATCAAACAAGATGACAAGCTTTTTTATTTTGTATTACCAAATTTGTATTAGCACATCACAGCACTATGTTACGCTTTTTGTTTTCATTGTAAATTAGCGTAGCTTAATTTAGGTGGGCGGCTTGTTTAGGGAACACATCAAACTTTATATTTGAATCAAATCAAGTAAGCACATCACAGCTGTTATCTCGGAAATGCTGCATGTATGCCTCAGTCATTGTTGTGACGCCGCCATTGTTGAAGCGTAGACGCTCACGTACCGTGAGAGATTGACTAGACTGGCCAGTTGAAAATTTTGTGATTCCACTGATTTATTAAACATGGAGTAAAACACTACAGCGGCCGGCAAGGGGCCAAGAAAGGAAGAGAGAGAAGATGAACGAGAAGACTGGCACAACAAGAAAAGAAAAAATGCAAGTATCCAACCCACCTATATTTAACCTCCTTATAAAATACATGTAATAAAATATAGCAATCAATTTTACTCATTCACTTCTTTAATCCTTTAACTCCTCTAATTTTACAGTCCACAGCAATAAATTTTCACCAGCTCTTAAAGCAGAATTATTATGACAATATCCCTAACAGTCTTGGAAGGGATTGGCATAGTAAAGTAAACATGATTATTCCAGGACAGGTATTGATCAAAAATTACTCCGAGATTTCTGACAGAGATATGGAAACGATTAGGTAGTCCATTGAGGTAGAGTAGGGAATAGTATGAAATGGAATTAATAAGATACTTGAAGCCAATGAGAATGGTTTTAGTCTTCTCAACGTTCAACTTTAAATCATTACTCGCTGCCCAAGTAGTAATACTGTTTATGTCTTCTTGCAGTCTTCTGATCGTCTCAGTAGAATAAAAGGAAAGGTAGATTTGGAGATTATCAGCTTATAAGTGGTATTGTGAATGATGGATGGAACCAGGAAGGTCATTGACGTATATGAAGAAAAGAGTTGAAGGGAGCGAAGATCCCCGAGGAACACCACGAGTTAGTGAGAGGGGGGAGGAAGGAATTTTATTCTGAATAAAGACTGTTTGTGATTTGTGATGCAAGGAGGAACGGAACCACTTTAGGATGTCATTTGATATGGAAAGGTTTTGGAGTTTGAAAAGAAGGATTTCATGATTAACAGAATCAAACACTTTTGAAAAGTCAAAGAGGTTCAGGATGGAGATTTTTTGTTTGTCTATGATAAACATAAACAAACAAAAAATCTCCATGTCTTGGATGATGATGATAAATGTCTTGGATGATTTTCAACAAAGCAGATTGGATAGAGAACTGGGAGGAATAGGGGATTGAGGAAAGCTTTTTGCTCAAGGAAGGTATTAAGCAGTGAATGAACTAGTCTTTTGAGAGGTTTTGAAAGGTTGGAGAGCATGGAGATGGGTCTGAAATTGGAAACTTTGGAGGGAATCGCAACTTTGCTCAATGGGCGAAAATATGTATATGTATATGTTTACATGTTAAACCAGGGGTGACCTTAGATTAGTTAAGGAAGATAGGAGAGAAGGGATTGGTTGTGAGGAGTAAACATATGTGTTTCATATATCATTGGTTTATTGCAAAAAGTCACTAAAGTGCATTTTTTATACAAGTTAATTTTCAAATATGTTTTTTTGAATTTCAACATTATTTATCTATAAAAACATTTAATTTGCATGATAATTACTCAAATCCTTTTATTTACCATGTATAGTTACACTGAGCATACAATTTTCTGATTTCACAAAATTCTTAATTATTTGAGGTTATGAAATGCCATTTAATGACTTTTTGCAATAATGATATTTTTCTCAATTTTTATACTTTAATTGGCTAAATAATTATTAAGAAATTAAATTTTAAGAAACAATGAAAATGGAATAGATGAATTCCAGTCTGTTTTCTAACAGCAATTTTCAAATTCAGTAGATTGAAATCCAGTAAATATTTTCTTTTGCATATTGCATTTTTATACATTTGAAGAATGGAAGTCAATAAAAATAGACTAAGTGCCAAAAAAGCAAAAATTGATTTATTTTTATTCTGTTTTTAATATCATTTCAAACAACCTAAATTGTGGGTAAATGTAACAATTATAATAGTTGTGCAAAAAATGTCCAAAGGTGTCATAAGGTCTATGTGTTGGTCAGGCGATTTTATTTTTAGGCTGAAATAACTATTTTTATTATTGTGATTACATTATTGGACATTATTATAATATATAAAAATACATAATTATATAAAATATTAAAATGCCTGAGATTTTTTTAATTGAAAGACAGCTCGTTTTTATTGCCAAAGGTCAGCTCATAGTAAATTCTTTTCTACATTAAAGATAATCAGAAGGGGAATGGATATTTTATAAATTATGCAATATTAATATAAATCTTACCTTACGTTGCAAAAAAACAAAAAAATGGTTCAGATTTTTTGGCAAAACTTAATAATGAATAACTTAAAATCAGATTTTTGGCACTCAGCCTTCATTTATAAACTGTACTAGTAAAAAATATTTTTACTAACTTTTAGTTCTGCCCCTTTAGCTACTTTTCCAATGCTGGCTAGTTTTGGTGAATCAATATCGGGTATAGTTTGGTCGAAGCTGATTATACCGGCTTCAGAGCAGCCATACATGCTCCTGATGCAGTGCCTATTGCCCAGTATCTTTTTGGTGATCATTTTACGATGATCAGGCAGGAGAATTGATCCCGAGATAGACAAGACTTGAAGAGAGGAAAAGTCGTAGTTGTCAAGGTTTTCTTCTTGGCACATGTCTATCAAAATGGCTGGTCCTGTAAACCACTCTGTGGGCTAAAGAAGGAGAAAATTGTCAATTTATTAAATTTAAAATATTTGTAAAAATGATTCAGATATAAAATAATCTGCTTAAATAATTTGTATAAATAAGCATACTGAAAAAGGTATTAAGAGGAAACATTTTAAAGACCATATTTAATTTCCTCACCTTGTACTCAGTAATGGTTATCATGACCTCCTTAACAGACATTCGACTTGCTATAAGTATCTTGCATCCAATGCATGAAGAAATGGCAGTCACCAGAGTGTTGGAGATCCAGTACATTGGTGTTGTCAGCATCAGGATTGAACTTTCTGTCCAATAATCTTTCCTGTTGCAAGTTTTGGGTTATATAGAAATGTGGAATGTTTAAATAATACTAAAAAGTTGAATGCCTAGTAATCAGATGACATAATAAAACTTATACTGACATTCAGTGTACAAATTATTATTACTAAGTGTACTTATAAAAAAAAATGTTTTCTTGCCCACCAATAGTAATGTATTTTTTCCTGCTGAACACAAATTTCTCCATAATAACATTTAATTATCTTTTGATATATAGCTGGTTGAATTGTGCAAGGACATTGTAATTGTTTTACTAACAAAACAGAAATAGCTTCACATTCCATATAGGAAATTTCTATTTTGGAGCTTACAGTATAAAAAAATGAACCATTGATCGAAATTTTGTTCCGATCCAGTTCCGTCCAGTTTGTCCAGAAATCCAGTTCCGAAAATTTGTCTAATGACTTCCTACGTTCTCATCAAGCTGGCATTGATAAACATTGTTAAAGCTATGGACAAGGAAAGAAGCTTCATTTCAATAGTTAATGGAGAAATTTCCCAGAGTTAGCAATGCTAAAGACAATGATAGAATATTTTTTTGATCTCATATTCGTAAAATTGATCAAATACTGAGGGAGGGGAGGAAGGAAAAAGGCAGCTTGAGAAACATTTGTCTATTCCTAATCCTATTTATATTTCTAATTCGCGTTGAAAATCACTGCGTTCCTTAATAATACATGTATGTTGTATAGGAATAATGATTGAACTGACGCATCCAAAATTTTATAGTCACACATCACAGCCTTTGAAAACTAGTGTTAAAACTGATAAATTAAAATAAATTCCAACGATTCCCTTAAAATGATTTTAAATTTTTTTCCTAAATTCACTACATCTTGCACTACAGTATCCTTTAGCAAATTTCATTCATACATCTGGATTTGACCTGCCACTTTGAACTATATCTAGGAAAGTATCAAACTTATAATACTCACTTTTTAAATTTCAAACTTATTATCCCCTTTTCTATGAGTTCAGCAATTGAAGCCTGGTCATCATTGGTCCGTTTTTTAAAATCTTGCAACCATTTGTGGAACAAAATTTATCGTGGAATTTTTAAAAAAAATTAGTGAAAGACTTTCATGGACTTATAGGGCATATCATGAATACTATTATTTGCTTATAATAAGTTTATATCACCTGACAGGAAGTAGTATTTATTTGTTCCAATCTGCGTCAAGTTTCATACAGTGGATTTTGCTTTTCAGTTGAGAACAGTTTTTTGATTGGGATGAATAGTGAATTGTCCTATAAATAGTTAAAGAATCCATGGAGGTCCAGCGATGCCCAGAAGGGTATTTCATGGCACAAGTTGCACTATCAACATTTTTTAAGGGCATATTTTGACAAGGTTTTAAATTTCTGAAGGGGCACATTTTGATACAGTTAAGAGTTTTCGATGTGAAAATTTTCAAACAAGGCGCCAATGGAAAAAATGTGCCCAAGATCACAGCGTGTGATTGTATTTGAGCCCCTACTTTACTTATGCTACTTTCACATGAAGTGTTTTTAAGAAGAGAAAGAAATACAATTTCTTGGGAGGAGGGGGGAGAGGAATTCATTCCCTCCTTCAGAAGACAATACTTCCTAGACACATTCCTTTACCAAATAATCAACAACCATCGTCAGTTCTATACATACCATCTTCTTCAATTTAAGTTCTTCATCCACTCCCTCTTTACAACATCTCGACCCTCTGACCTCTAGACTCCATTTAGATAGATCTATATCTATCTCATTCCAAAACTCCTTTAATGCCTGCTCCACCACTTTTTGGAATATCTTTCTCTTAAAATTCGCCACGCCTCGTCTTTCTCCACATTTAAAACTCTCCTTTATCAGCTCCTCTTCAGAACTCGGTCAGACGCTGGTTAAATATGGATTAGATGATAATGACTTATTTTTCCTTATATATTATTGTTTGTTTAGTTTTTTGTAAGTAAAATGAAAACATATTTCATATTAATTTTTACAGTGTCCTTGGTTGGAATTTACTATTATGTTTATTTATTTATCACTTCTTCTAAATAATTATGTAGTGTTAGTTATACATATTTTAAATAAGAGAAGTTTTAATTTATTTACTTTTATTCTTTTCTGTTAGTTAATAATGTTTGCTTATTTGATTACTAATTACCCTTTCTGTATCATTATTATCATCTATTTAAGTAGCAAAGATTTTATTTCACCATTTCTCATTTGATTTTTATAGCAATGTATGTGCGTTGGTATTTATTTTAATTTTTGCTTGTGTAATCGGTCTTATGGTCAGAATTGATCATTATGTTATTAATGACATTCTTAAGAAATATAGTCCCAGAATAAAGTTGATTTTTCCATTACATTTTATTATATATATGGAACTTATTTCCAGGTATTTAAGTATATAATAAATTTACCCAAATTTACAAAACAATTATTTTTGGGACCAAACATACCACATTCAGAGGATACCCATCAATCATTCTACAGCGATAAAAAAGTACGAAACATTTATGTTGTGGACTCATTGGAGCATTGGAGGAGCCTCAAAAATTAATGAAAATAAAGGAATATAAAATAATATTTTGGGGTACTAGAAAAATATAAAACAATGATTTGGAGCCGGTTCAAGACCCCAAATGATCGCCGACTAACCGACCTAGCCAGACTGGGTCTGTAATAAATACATCAAACTGGAATGAGATGAATAATATGATAAAATTGGCATTAGTGATTTAACTCACATGAGGAAGTTATACATAAAAGCCTCATCCCGGACGATGACACCCTTGGGGTTGCCAGTTGTACCACTGGTAAACATGACAGCTAAGGCGTGGTCTTTTCCTGTCCACCATCCTTCCAGTACGATCCCTTCGGCACTATTTCCTTCTTCCAAACATTTGTAATAATCGAGGACTCCATCTTGACGGTTTGGACAAATGATGGTAACCGCCCAATCCAAACTTGAAACTGCATCCTTTATCTTGTCCAGATAGTCCTCTTTGCAGAAAATAACCTCGCTACGACAGGTTTTCAAGAAGTAAACAATCTCTTCTGCAACAAAAAAAGTATTTTATTTTATTTTTTAAAGGATTCACAAAAAGTTGTCATTAAACATAGTTAATATAATAATCCAACACAATACAGACAAAAAAAGTAAAATGATGAACAGATAAAAAAAGCAATAAGAATTTAAAAGTTATTCCACAAGGTATACCTTATTTAAATCCTCATTTTTATTTTGTCATTATATTTTATATCATAGTCCTAAGAGAGGGAAGAGGGATTAGCCTCCACTGTCATATCAGACAATAATGCAAACATTAAAGAAAACATTTAATTTTAATAAACTTATTATTTTTGTCATATTTTTATGTAATTCAATCTGGGATTAATATGTAGCTTGTAAGTAATAACTGAGGAGAAATATGCAATTTTTAATAAAAATTGGATATTACATCGATATTATGTATATTACTGCTTGTGGTTTTCTAATCATATAAAACCGTCAGCAAAATATATCTGTAAAAAAAAAATAATAATTGTTTATTTTGACAGTTCCTTCTTGCTTCGGTGACGTATTGAAAAACAAAAATGTAGGAAAAATCATCATCATTATTTTAGTTTCTATTATAGTTTGTTAACTAAAAAAAAATCTGAGTTAGAGACACTTCTCCGATACAGGTTTTCAATCATAAGCAAATTCAAAATGGTCGCATAGAAAAACATTCATCGTTCGATATGACTAATGATGATGCATACATTATTGAAGATTGATCTTAAGTATTTGAATATATGGGTAATATATATAAAGTGCAAGACAAAATAAATGACTTAATTTATGTAACAACGATTCTAAATCATTAGTTTTTAAAAGAGCATTGGAAGATTATACCAATTAGAGTGTAAATATAAGTTATCGATTTAAAAAAAATAGATAAACGGTCTGATTTCTCAGCCACAACCAGCAAGCAAAAGTGCCTGTGATACAGAGTCCTTATTTTCGTACTTTATGTTGTTTTCCACTATTACTTTATCCTCAGATAATAAAGTATTATAAAGGAAGAATAAATTATTATTTCAATTATAATTAATATTCAAGGAAGAAAAGAGAAACTATGTAATTTAGTTTCAATAGTTGAATGTGTTTGATTAATTCAATAGCAACAGGAGATATTCTATTATTTTATAGATTATTCCCTCCCCCCAAAATGGTAAAATGTAACCATCTTTTACAGAAAAATATATTAAAAACTATCTCTTAAAGTATTCTTGTTCGTGTAATTATATTTAATAGGACTTCAAGAACCACTTAAACACCATTTCCTATAGGTTATTAATTTCTCTGTTTTTTTTTTCAAATTAATTATTGTTATATGTATATGAAAAAAAATATATTTCGGCTGAAGCCTCCCCCTAAATTAAATCCTGGATCCGCTAGTGACAATAGGTACAGATAAAGATAACATCAAACATAAACGAAGTAAATACATTTGGATATGAACATAAAGTATTTATTCCATAGAGCTTACTATCAAGCTGCGCTACAATAGATTGTCATTCGTCTCTGTTTCCTGCTGCTACTTTCCAGTTTCAGACACCAATCATGGACCTTACATGAGTAGCCACCCCATGTACCTAGCGAAGCTCAGGAAGTCCAACTCTTCTTGTGCCATCTACTACAAGCTTCAAGTGAGTGTTTGTGGAATTTTATTTGGTTCCATCCTAGCTACATGGCCCGCCCAAAGAATTTCTGATAATTTAATTAATGCACATACATCAAATTCTCCATATGCTCTTAATTCGGCATTGTTCCTTCTTTTCCATGTGCCTTGTTCATAAACACCACATTCTCAAATCTGATAAGGAGCTGTTGTGCCTTATAAATTCAATCGTTCAACGTCGTCTTCCCTTCAGCCTGGAAAGGGTCACCAAATCTGATGTTAATATGAGCCATGGACTCCATTTCTTATAAGATATTATATACCGTGATATCCATTTCACGTAATATATTACATACTATGGTCTCCATTTCATTGAACATCAAGACATATGTCTGTCAGGATTCCAATTACTAGCCCATGATCTATATGCTTTACCTATGCCCATGATCTATATTTTAAATAATATTTCATGATTGCATCTCTTCCTAACTAAAGATACTGGTTATCTTCCCAGTAGCTTTTAATCTCTGCTTTTTATAACGTTGACCTTTCGTTAATGAATATCCCGACAGTATTGTTATTACGTCATGATGGCTGGCAATCTGCCGCAATAGCTAGACAGACTAGACTCTAGAATTTGATTGACATCGTATTTTTAGATATATAATTGGTAAGGTAAAAACAAATAGTAAAATTGAGCACATCTGATCGAGTGTTTCCTCCCATTTTTTCCCAGAATTTGGAATACAAAAGATGATAAAGGATCGATGTGCGAGAGCGGCCACATCTGTCATTCAAGTAGGTGGCATACAGTAAACCGGAAACTGAATTTATCACGAAAAAATTCAAACTTTGAATATGTTATATTTGAAATTAATATTATGATGAGATTAAAAAAAGTTACGAGTTCGCGCATGGTGCCGGAGGGGATTTTAAATTCCCCGCCATCAACCTACGGCTCGGGAAAATCCCGGATAGCCTAAAAGGCGAGGTAGGAAAGAGGAAAGAACAGGGGGGAGGGAATTGACTTTTAGTTAATTGAAAAAAAAATGATATGATATTCACTCAAAAATTTTAAAATTATTCTTTAAAAAATACAAAATATGTTAAGTTTTTATAAATTAAGAAACTTAACTTCGTTCATAGAAAGAGCAATAAGAATTGAGAGAAAACGCTATATATATATATATATATATATATATATATATATATATATATATATATATATATATATATATATATAACACCTGCAAATAAGTTTGAATGAATTACTACATACAAATTAATTTCAAATTCTTACAATCATTACTTTCACTTGGTTTGTTGCAAAAACGCTAGGTATATTTTAAAGAAGCTAACCTTTTAAGTACGATTTTTTTGAGTTTTGCCCATATTTACCAATGGAAAACATAATAAGTACATCTACATCACACATAAAGTTTAATATATAAGAAATAGTAAGACTGATTGCACAATATTCACAGAGAAAAAAAAACATCAGAATAATCAGTGATTTAATTTTAGTGAGATGCTTTTTTATGACCTTATGCATTAAACCTACAATGTTATCTAATATTTGAAAAACCTATTATTCTTTGACGCTTTAATGATGTAATTTAATGACGAATGTTTGAACGATATTCAAAACCTAACAACACACAGATAACATAGACACAACATGACAAGCAACATTATATAATCAGCGATATGAACCAAGATAACAATATTTAGTTCACATAGCATTAGTATTATTCTCGTTTAAAAGGACAGCAGTTTTTGTTTGTTAAATGTTAACCGCGAAAACTATTGGGCCGATTTATACGCGTTTTTCCAAAATGGTCCACATTGTCTTGAGATGATTTAAACTATATTCTAGAACTAAATCCTTTGGCGAGACGGCTTCCGTGCCGTGTTTGATGAAGATAAAGTTAAAGAATTCGCCAAAAACCTTTCTACATTCATCCCCCATCCAGAATCCCACCAGACAACACCAATGCAATAGAAAAATCTGGTGCGCGCAACACACGACTTTCACTTACTGCTCTACTTTGATAGAAATTATTTTATGGCAATGTAGGACTATTATAAAATTTTTGAGGTGCATTTTAAACGGGGCTAAAGCTTTAAGCTTGCAGCTAAGGAATCATAAATACCATTAAAATAACAAAAATAATATTTATTATATCGACGGTAGGCAATAAAAATCTAGTTATACCATCTGCTTTTATAAATTAGACAACTTCAGTCTCTGAGCATTTCAGTTGACAGAATGACTAACTCAAATTTTAACATTTTCGAGTAATGTCATTTTAGTGATATTTCTAGTTGAAAAAGATGTATCTATACAGACAGTGAGTAAGTTGATTCCACAGTAGATAATTGCAGTACTAAAATAGAGAACTGTGACTAAAGGTATAAATTTTGCCACTAGAAATATCACTAAAATTAAGAATAAAGAATGTTGAAATTGGAGTTAGTCATTCGGTCAACCTAAAGGCGCATATATGCCTAGAGAGGTTTGAAAGTATATCTGAATATTTAACGAATAAATGATTACGAGTTCTTGGCCTATTAGTTATTAAACTTTTATTTTCCATTGTAAAGTTTACTAAAATGAAATTACGAAATTTTCATTGTCTGCCATGGATAGGTCAAAAGTTGTCACACTAATTGTAAGTGGATAATGTTGGGATTTCACAAAGGGAAAATTCATCAAATTATTCACTAATTTAATTTTATAAATAAAATTACTTGAATAAACGGCCGATAGGCACCTAATTATTTAAATATAATATCTTATCTAGATGTGTTAAACTACAGTAAATGTATTTGAGCTTACAAACATATCCATGAAATATTTTTATATTTCACTTCTTCTTTCACACAAGTGCAATAAAATAGTATTTTAAACAATTGAATTGGTTTGATTCGGTGGATTTAAAAATAATTTTTTTTAAACATAGAAACAAATTTTAATGTTTACATTTAGTAAGAATATTCATTTAATTTCCTTGAAAACATGTTATTTTCCTGAAATATTTTTTTATATTTTTACTTCTCTGTCCGTTACCTTCTAAAAATGTATTTATTTGATATTATTTTTTCTAAAATTATCCGCTTTTCAATGATATATTATGCATATACATTCTGACTATTATTTCCGGCGATTCATTTTCAACCTGATAAGCATTTTTTTCACCTGTTTCCAATTATCATATTCTTTCAAACTTCATGTTTAGCCATTTTTTATATTACTGTCTATAAAAAAGAGTTATTTTTTTAAAAAATAAATCACATTAACGGTATATTAGAGGAAGACGTATATGGACATAGCGCGACATCAACGGGTATAAGGCCTTCATGATATTAAAGGCCATTTGATTATACAAT